CTCCGCAGCGCTTGCGGACCTCAGTCTCACAGCCATGCACCAGGACATGGGTATTGCATGGAATTTCTCGCACAAAAAAACAGGGAATTCAAACACCAGTATTTTGGGAAGCCCACACACACATGTCAGCACTGCAAAACGCACTGCAGAAGCTTGCGACTCCTCAGCGCTGGACCCAGTGGCTGCCGCAGTTGAGTTGGTTGCAGGGTTGATGGTCTGATTGGCTCCGTCGCTTGACGTCGAGGCTGCATTTGGCACGCTCTCCTTCTGAGACTTCGCTGACTTCGATTCACGCCCCGCTGCGGCCTTCGCGGTGGTCTCTTCTGTTGAATCTGTTGAGCCTTTTGACTCTGTAGAAGCTTCTGTTGAAGCTGTTGAGCCTGTTGACTCTGCAGAATCTGTTGGCCGTTCACTAGCCGTTGCCTGGGCTTTGGCAGCGGAGGCTGGAACGCCCGACACGGCTTTGGCCAACCTGGGAGCTGGACTCGGAGCCAAGGGCTTGCTCCCTTTGGCTGATGCTGGTGCCGGCGCCGCCATGCTTGCTGTGCTTGCTGTAGATGTGTGAGCGGAATTAGCAGAATTCGGCGCGCTTGCTGCAACAGGTGCTGGTGCAGGGGCGATCATGTTACTTGCTGGCGTCGGAGCGACTACGCTCGCTTGCGACGTATCAAGAGATGGAGCACTTGCTATAACAGTAACAGCTGGCGATGGCGCAGGAGGCACAGGAGGTGCAGAAGGTGGAGGAGGCGCTTGCCCTTCCACCTGCGCCACGCTAGGTGCCACGCTAGGTGCCACGGTGAGTGGTGCATCGGCTGCTGCTGCTGCTGCTGCTGTAGTTGGGGATTCTTCGAAGACAACAGCCTCAAGGTGGAGCAACACAATCATCATGTACTAAGACACTGCTATCGTCGCAATCAGATCGATCCAAAAAAGTACGTTGCAAGTCCGGATGTCGTGGCGAGCCTTGACCGGAGCTGGTGCCGGTACCTCAGGATGACTGCAGCACCGTCAGAAACATCGCCATTGCAAAAGTCTCTCCAAAGCTGCGACCACTCCGAACTTATCGAACTTAAGCAAAGATGTAGCAAAGATGCCGGCACCACGGGCATCGACTCCACAGCTGCCTTGGGCGACATGGCAGCTGCAGGCTCCGTGGTTGTAGCCTGGACAAGCCAGGCCAAACTGGGGCGCATCGCGGCCTCTCTCGGCCCAGGTGTATATAGTATATACGTGGGCGTGCGTGTGTGGGGGGCGGACTTCACAGTTTCACTCAGAGTCTGCATTAGATGCCTCGACAGCGGGAGCTGGAGACGCAACAGGCGCTTGCGACGATGCGCTCGCCGCTCCAGCAGGCTGCCCCATGAAAGGACCCATGGCAGCCATCGGGTTCATCATGGGGTTCATCATCAGAGGGTTCATCATCGGATTCATCGGAAATGGATATGTAAAAGGCATTGGCATCGAACCAGGAGGCATGCCCAGACTTCCAGGTGGGCCCGGAGCACCTCGCCGTCCTCTCCGCCCTTTATGACCCTTTGGCCCAGCCGGTCCACGGACACCGGGAGGCCCCGCGACGAAGGCATTAGCATCAACCGGTGCAGGAGCAACCTGAGCTTGGCAATGAAGGATTCAAGGTGCGAACTCCCGGTATTGATGCCGTGTGGCAGCTGGCGCCTTGAATGTCACGGAGTCATCTTCGGAGTTCTCACCTTAGCAACAGTCAGCCTGATGTCAGGTGCTGGAGTCCTCTGCACAACACATGGGTTCTCTCGGCGCGAGGCTCCTGCTGCGGGCATTCAAGCTGACCTACAGTTCGGTGTCTGGTACATGGGAAACCTTGTAAAGTAGGCAGTCCTCACCAACACAGGCAAGGCACCACGTGCAGCTTGTTGCCCGCCACCTGACACAATCGTAACTCGAGATACCCAACGAGCATGACGGACATAGCGTGCGGCAACATGCTGACGCATGCAGCACGCTCGAGGATGGATGGTTTGTTGGCCTCCTGCGTGCCAATGAGCAGAGCGATCTGAAAGGAAACTGCCTGAGAAAAATTGCCCCCCCCCCCCCCCCCCCCCCCCCCCCCCCGCCCCCTCATTCCAAGTAGCAGATGGATGCAAAAGGTGCCGTGTAGTTTCACACTTTATGGCTGGTAGATCTATGAGCAAGGAACTGCGTAAATCAAAGAAGCTCATTGTGCTACTTCCTTATGCTTCCTGTAGTTTGATGAGTTGACAAGCAGCTTCACCACCAATAGCAAGATACAAAGATCCGGCACCCCTAAACTTCAGCTCCCTTAAACCCTTTTCCACCAGGGACTCTCGGATGCCAAGCCCTTTAAACCTTAAACCCGAAAAGCCCTAACCCCCCCAACTTTGGGGTCTCTGAGGCCCAGGCCCAGGCGCGCTTGAGGCGCATTCTTCGTTATGCCGCTGCCCAGTGGGCACAAGACAAACAGCTGCGTAGAGGCATCTGACATCTGACGTTTAGGCTGCTTTGGATTGGACGTTCCCCTGCTCACCCCTCCCTACGCGCGCAGCTAAGCAGCCAGGGTGTCACCATCCAATCGGTTTGCTCTGCACTTTGCTCTGTGCTCTGTGCCTTCGTGAAACTCGTGGTTGTGGCCCACAGCCTACTCTGGAAACAAATGGCCTAGCTCAAGTCGAAGCCTGCTTCTGCACCTGTGAGTGGTCGGGGGGAAAAGATGTGCGCAGCTGTAGCACTACTGTCACTGCCTGCAAGAATTCCGAGATGTAGGGCTGCGGCGGATGGCTTGAAGGACTTTCGACTTCAAGCTCTCGTAGCTTACATAGTCTGGCAGCTTCAGCAAATTAGCACACCTGGGCCCAGCTGATGTCATTGTTCTTCTTTGTTTGATTTTCAGAGTCGCGATACAGGATGTGGATTTTGAAGTCAGGATGCGTCGCGCTGGTTGGAAGTCGTTCTGAATCTGGCACGCGGTGCACACAGAACTTCGGATTCAGGTTCTGAAACCTCGGCCGACTAGGCGTGTGACAGCATGCGCAGCTGCGGGAAGCCCCTCTTGCACCAAGCCCACAAAACCATCCTGCAGCCAGACTTCCCCAACAGCGGAGCGCGACTGCAAGATGTGCAGAACCTCGGCATTCACTTTATGATGGCAGGTCTAAGTGTTGAATCGTTGCCCTGTCCTGGCTGGAAGCTAACACAACTTCAGCGCTCGCTAGTCAACGTTGCACCTCAATCAGTTCTGTCTGGGTTCGCGGGTGGCGCTGGGGCCGTGACATCAAGAACCTGCCCATATCCTCTGGTTCCAGATCTTCTTGCCTTAACTCCATTTCTGTGGCCAGTGCAGAGAAGCAATTGATGTGGTTCCCAGAGGGATTCAAAGCGACTCAGCTACTCCTTGCTGCCCCTCCAGGGCGAGCGCAAAAGCTTCCAAAGCCAAACAATGCAGGGGCTGTCGTCCTGGCACGCAGCCAATAAGCACAACGCTCTAACACACAACGGACAACTGAGAGCAGCCGACTGGATATGAACCGCTCTTGCAATCAACGCTCAGCCAGTCCCCAACGCCTGGTAGCCGCCGGAAAGTACGGTGTTGGCACGGAGATCTCGAACATCAAACCCGGTGGTGGAACCGGAGATCAAGGTGTTGAGCTCCTAAGTGGCAACGGAAGAGAAATGGAAGGCGACATGGAGTGCATTCATATTCTAAGGCCAGGGCGTATGGATCAAACATCTTCAGCCAGGCAACAGGGAGCACCTACAACACGGCACGGAACCCACCTACCGGTCCCCCATCACGCCCAATATGGGGACAGCACGTTAAGCCGAACTTATGTTGTCCGCAGCTCACGGATGTCGGCAGAATTGATTTCGGGAAGGCTGCACGAAGGAGCAACAGCACGGACAGAAATGTTGACAATCAGATTCTTTGCTAGAGCGGTGACGAAGCACAAGGCTCCTGCATGTGTCTAAATCCAAGAAATCTAAATTTTGTTCCAGCTCAGCCTTCTGCAGCCCAGTCAGGAAGGCGGCAGTGTGTCGCTGGAACTGCACGTTCGTCCTGGCATTCAGCCAGCTACGCGCATCTGAAACCTGTCCGAACGCCATCTTCCAACCTGTAGTTGGCCATCAGGTGAAGGTAGCGGGTCAGATTCTCGCGCGTCACCTGTAGGTTAGCTAATAATCCAGATGTGAGAACAAGCCCTAAGTAGTCGCTGCGGGGAAATTATGTAGATGCACCTTGTGCACGCACAATGACACGCACAAGCCCTTCCACATGCTTCCAAGCCAGGTGCCGGGATGTCACTGCCACCAGGAATAAGGTCGATGTCCTCCGGACTGAACGGAAACCTAAGCATACCTAAGGCGTTGGATTCTGTGGGCCTTGTGCACGCCCTTCTCGGTGACAGAGATACCTCAAAGGCTTTCAAAATGCGATATAAGAACTTCGACCTTCTACCAGGGGTGCTCATGATGTCCATGATGCTACATTGTAACATCCGAATCCATGATGCTGAACCATCAGGCCGGCGGCTAAACGTGATGCCAAGCCCCTCTACGTCTGAGCACTCCTGTCCCACAAGCAATGCAAAGGCAGTTCTCTGGATGTGAAGGCAGCGAAGGCATCACTTTGCATCCTTGATCTGCAACATGTTCTTGTGCAGTTCTCTGTCCAAGGATGCAACGTCATCTACCTGCAGGTCTGTCTCAGAACATGTCCCTTCCAAGCTCAGGCAATGCACCCCGCCTCGTTCACGCGCCCGAGGAGACGGTTTACAAAGACCCTGCTGAACTGTGGCTCCAGCAAAAACATCTCGTAGATCGCCTGCCGGTATTTGCCAGCGCATAACCGACTGGTGCCCCCGGAACTCTGCGCAAAGACTAAAATCACCAACTGCGCTTCAAGAGAGCGGGGCATGGCCTTCCCCACAACCTTGCCAAGAATGGGAATGTACCCTCACACACTATGGACACAGCAGATTCTAGATCAACACCTGGCCTTGCCAAGAAAGGTGTACAAGTCAGCAGCTTGCCGGTGTTTGGTGAAGGCTGACGTGGCAGGGTACAAGGTGTGGTCAGATGTGGCACTGAAAAGGCCGTACCTTGCAAGCGAATCATCGCCGAGCTGCTGAGTCATCCGAGCTTTGCAGGATCTTTGCCGGCTGAGGTCGCAACTCTGGGTCGAACATCTCCCGGCAAATGTGCACCATGAACTCCTCTCAAAAGAACGGTCTTTTTGTTTGACTCTTGCATCTAGAAACTACGGAGCTGACATGCCTTGAAGAGGCCGCCACCATCCACCCCACTTTCTGGAGTACCGTCAGGTGCGATGAACTCCACCCGAAACGTATCGCGAAGCCCGTGCTCGTCGTCCAAGCCTGCATAGGCTTAGGGCTTAAGGCTTGGGGCTGAGGGGCTTAGGGGCCCGAAACCCCTAAACATGGCTTTGCTTGCCCCTTGGCGGTCCTCCCTGCAACCTTGCCTTCAAAAGCGGCGATGCCATCATCAACAAGGAAGTTTCGGCGTATCTGATGCTTCTCCATGGCCTTGGCGAAGCGCTTTGAGACAATGTGTTTCTCTGCTTGAAGATGCTTGCGATGGAGGGGGAGAGAATGGCAATTGGGCAAAGCCTCTTGGTATCTTAGTAACTTAGTATCGGCCGAGCGCGTCTGTTGGAGACAGCCACGAACAAGACGAAGCGAGCAGTGCACCCACAAGGGGCCAAGTCGACTGCAGGCGCCCCCCCCCCCCCTCCCCCCCCGACCCCTTTGAAGGTCTCAAAAGACCCCCTGATGACCCACAGCAAGGCCGAAAGCAAACTGCAAAAGAGCCAGCATTCGTGAAAACACTTGTCTTCAACACGGTTTTCTATGACTGTTTGCAGCTGGAAGTCCCAAACAGGACGCCCTGTGTACATTGAACAACTTAGGGCCTAGGGACCTTGCGAAGAAACCGAAATGAGGTCCCTCTTGACTTTTTGGTGCACAAAGCTAAAGTTTGGAATGGAACAAAATCAATCGGAAAAGCAGCATTGGAAGAGCAAGCCCACATCTTCAACATCTTTCAACCACCATCCTCCGACGTGAGACGGTTTAGGGGCACCCAGTGCCTGAATGAAGTACGGGCCACCCAAACCAACCCTTCAACTCGGCCAGGAACTCCTCTATTGGGCGTGGGAATCTGCATGGTTCATATATGTTCCCGAAAGGGAAGGATTCGTCCTTTGTCTGTGCGAGCCATGTCATTTTGTGGGAAGCGATCTTTGGTCGAACCGCTCGAACTTGAAGCAGGAACAGGCTCAGATCCAGGCAGACGGGCCCCAAGGACCACGGTACGCCCGCCTTTCTTCCTGAAGAGTGCAAAACCTCTCTATGCCCTTTTTGTTGCAGGGGTGACCGCCACCTGATCGGCAAGGATGGCTGCGTGTAGAATGGAGACTCGGTCCTCCCAAAACAGCCGAAGACTGCCGCACAATGATCCGACTCCACCCAGGACCCAGAATAAGCTGCTAGCTCCTCAAACGGCAAGACATGAGGCATCTCGGCCAGCGTTGCTTGCAAAGCTCTTTCAGCCAGTGTCTGCGAGGATGTCGCACCTCCCCGAGTCATCGAACACTGCATGCATTGCGTCGCTCCTTGCACTTTGGTCCTCACTTCCGATCCTTTGAGGTCCGTGCTCGTACTGGGCATGCTGGGTGCATTGCCTCGCTCGGGTTCCTGAGGACAGCTCTCATCTCTCTTCATGTGAAGCAAGTCGGTTGCAAAACTGTGAGCAGCAGGAGGACATGGAGAACTCTTGGCTGTAGCACCTTATACCCTACACGCACACCATCTTGTAACCTCAAGACGCTAAAGACAACGCAACCCCAACCTTAAGTCAAGACAACAACCTCGGCACTCAGCCCAACCCCCCCAACCCAGTTCAACCCCCTCAATCCTCAGCTACCCCTCAAGGCCCCAAAAGATCCCAGCACCTTCAAAATCAGCCTAAAAGGCACCACAATGTGTCAAGGCCCCCACTCCCCCCACCCTGGAAGAAAAACTCATATGAAAACTGATGCACTTGTCATGAAAAAACCAATGCAAAACATGGAAATAGCAAAGGCAGATGAGAGAAAAAAAAGTGCCCTTGGTAATTATGTCACACACACACACACACACACACACACTTACTGACTCTCGAAAAGGCGAGTTGGTCCGACTTCATCTCTCGTCGCTCGCTATTCTCGCAAGCACAGCACTGCCTAGTTTGTCGGGTGAAAACCAGATTGCAGAAACAGGAAAGGTGCCCGACTGTTGTGGGAGTCCTGTCCGCCTTTTCTTACAGATACGCTTTTCACACCAATTATTCACAGGCTGTACACAGACGACTTCGTCCCCCCACCAAGAGAAGCCGAGGCAGGACTCCTAAGCATGTTGGGCTTTTTCACAGTTTTTCTGTAACACCCAATTATCGACAGCAATGCTTCTGATCATTGCCGGACACGCTTGCCTGTGAAGCTTCCTCCTCATCAACCTCCATAGGCTCATCCTGCCCGTGATCCAGAACAGATGACTGGGGATGCAGATGATGCCAATGCAGCCCTAGCCTCATCATGCATTGGCTCCATCGATTCATCTGGGATATCAGTGCCCAAGTTGATGGCTGGAGGAGCACGCCGCAGCCTGACGCGCGAGCCGAACGCATGGCGAACGACAAGGCTTGCCGACATAAGGCTCCAGCAGCGTACGCGATTCTGGGATGATCCAAGCCTTGCCCAGTACAGGTCAGACGCAAGTCGCTACCAAGCAGTTCTAGCTCACCATGATGCCAGTTGTTGCTTGTGACAAATGCCTTTGTGCGGCCTAAACCAAAAGGAGGCAAGCAGACGCGATGTTACCTACGAAAAGGCTGTGGGTGTGACTAGGGGTATGTCGCCGTCCCCGCCTCTTTGTCGTGCGGGCTCCCAATGTCGCAAGATGTTGCAAGGATGGGCTTGTCGCAGAGGTTTATCGCGCGGAGGCTTGCCGCAAGAAGGACGGCGTCGTTACAAACTCTACGTCGCAAAAAGACGCCTGGGGCCTGTTACAGAATGACATACCCTGGACTTTTGACTCGCAGCCTGCCTGGGGTGTGGGCCCTCATCCCTGTACTTGCGTAAGGATGCGCAGCCATCAACCCTAGAAGCCCAACCAGAAACCACCACTGCACCCATCATGGGTGATCTTTTGCTGAAGGCAGCCTAGCCTTTTCCGATCTGATCCTTGGGCCGTACCGATCGTGTGCAAGTGCCTGTTTCCTAGCCAGTTTGAAGTTGTTCGTGTGTTGCTCGCTTTGTCATGTTCATGCGTTTTGAGGCGTCCTCGAGCAGCCCCCCAGACTTCTCGAATGAAATTGTTGCAGAGCATCTCCTGAGCCTGCACCGGGCCTCCTGACGTGCTAATCGCGTGAGGCGCGGCTCGCTACTAAGGTCCGGACACCATCGCTCTCCAAAATCGCTTTCCGCCGATGACGATGATAAAGCAAGCTGATCTGAGCTGACGGACTCGTACTTTTCGAAATGAGGCCTAAGTCGCCGGCCGAGTCCCAGACCAGGGAAGTAAGGCTGCTGCGGAGAGCCCTGGCTGCAGGAAGCAGACCCGCCTGAGTCTCTGAAGTCTCATTAAAACTTTACAGCCTCCTTAAAAATCGGCAAGGTCGAACAGCGCAAAGAAATTGCAAAATACCCCGGAGTTGCAGGCCTGGTCTGGCATCGTGGTCACAAAGTGATACGTGAGCCGGTTCAGGAAAGGTAACAACTCCCGCACCTGCAGCAGAATCTAGCAGATGCAGCACGTGCCGCTGAATGGTGTTCGGCACTATGCGGGCGCTTGTCTCAATTCATCGCACAATGCACTTCTCCGTGGAAGAGCAAACTGTGTGTCGAAACTGATGCGGGCCCATCGCTGCGCACGATCCTGCATGTTTCTGATATCTGGGCACTAGTCTGCCCAAACATCAACCTCCGTGCTACGCTGCTACGAAGGACGAGAACATCGAAAGAGCGCGACTTTTGAAGAATCCATGCCCATGCCCTTCCTCGCATGGGCACCTACGATGGGCTTAGCGCTTTGCTAACTACCAGTACAGGTAACATCTACAGAGAATTCAAGGCCACCTCGACTTGCTCTCAACTTACACGATGGCAAACTACGTGCCGCTTCCCCAGGAGCCAGATTATGCCTGAAATCTTTCCATGCGGGTACAGTAGGCTTTCAAGCCGCGACTCGGATGTCTCCCTGAAGGATATGGCCGGGACGGATACAACATTCCTCCCACGCACGCACCCCCCCTCGACGGAGAATTTCGAAACAACACATTGGTGCAGAACCGTCTGATGGAAGCCGAGAGCTTACTAGTAGAGGATGCTGGAAGATGCTGTACAGAAGCTGGGTTCTTTCAAGACGCCGCCTAAACACAGCGTCCAGTCGCAGTGGCTCAAAGCCCTTCTCCCACAATCCATATGACCTCGGGATACCTCGGGGGCCTTGAAACACACATGCAGGCCCAGTGCAGGCTCAGCAGCCTCCTCTAGCCGTAGGGGGTTGGCAGCGCCGAAGAACTCGTAGTCATACATCGGCTGGAGCTGCAAGGCATACACCTTTCATTGCTTGGAACTGCTTGGAACGTTGACAATGACTGCCAATCAGTGCCTGCTGGAATTACTTGCGCTCTTTTGTTACTCTCGTCCAGGGCTCCGGCAGCGCAGAAGACGCGCAGTCGAATGGCCTCTGGCGATGCCAGTGCAGGCGGGCCCAGAGCTTCGAACACATCCTCTGCACTCCGATTCCTGCAGCAGAGCAGAGGCTGGCGACTGACAGCGCAAGGAGCGAGTGATGCGCACTGTCCGCTGGACTCACTTCCGATTCAGTTAGCAAGTTCATGGCCTCATCAAACCTCGGAAGGTTGGGAACAAACGTTCTGCAAGAGGAGTGGCAAACGCCAGGGTCTGCAGCACCTGCAGAGGCTTCTCTAGGAGTCACCAAAGATCACAGAGGGTTCAAGGATTTTTTGAAAGTTTTGCGCGACTCCATGCTGCTGGGAACCTCCTGAGGAGGGTCACATTCAGCCTCCGCTGTGCCATCCGACCTCATATATGGCTTCTTGCAACCCAGGCTACTGGGCTGCCACAACGTTGCAGGACTGTGTTGCCCTTCCAAGGGTCCCAGCGGAGCAAAGTATAAGCGGCATATGGCCAACAGGATATCATCTCTGCCACGATCCACGGATGAGAGGAGCAAACGAGCGAAGCTACCACCTGCGTGGGAATCAAGCTAACTTTCTCCATGTGTCTGCACCTCGCATGAAAGGTCTAACTGGGGCTGCCACGGTTTAATGTCGCAGATGCCCTGGCACTTGCCTTGGCATCCTCGGCCCCAATGCCGACCTGCTCCTGAAAGGCATCACTTCACGAAGTGCGGTACATCATGGTACATCTAAGATTCCATCATGTACGAGCCCCTGGTTGAAGCATGTCCTTGGCCCAGGACAGCCAATGGAGGAAGGCCAACAGCTCCCCGGAAGCTGTGGAGAAGCCGCTTTCATGATGGAGAGCGAATCTCTCCTGTGACATGACAGTGGCTACTTACTGCTTCATGCTGGCCCTATGTACTACGTCTTGCGCTCTTGGCTGGATTTTTTTGGGCAAAGTCACAAACGGCACTACACAGCCCTACGGCGCTTTGCACTCACTGGTGGCATGCCGAACTGGCAGTCTCCAGGATCACGGCGATGTTGTCGAGGATGTGCGCAGGGCTGCACGACCTGCTCCGAAGCACACGCTTATCAACGGTGGCATTCTTACACGTCTGCATGGCTTACAAGTATAGTAGGAACTGCTGCAACAATTCGGTGGCCACATATGAACGCCCCACCTGTTGGGTGCGGCTGCCCCCAGAACCCCCGCGGTGTGGACGAGCAAGCTGCATAAGCCTTGGTATTGCGGGCACACTGGGACCCCCATGCCGCCAGATGGTACTTGAGGTCCTGGCGTTGTAGCGACTGTGTGAGGCTTGGCTTTGCCACCTCGTTAACGCTGAGAATTCTGAGAAGCTCGGGAATTAGATGTCGGAACGAAGTGCGTAGCAGTGCACCTCACTTGTGCACAAGCTCTCGCCGATCTGCGGCGTGGACAAAAGAAGTGCCAGCAACTCCTCCCGGCTGCTTCAGAGTGGATGCGTCTTAGTAATGTGTCACGTTTTTGCATGCTATGCTGCTATGCACCGTCCTGGCGACAGCGTAGCGAATGCTCGACCGTTGCCAGAGAGATGGCGTCCAAGCCCGAGCACCTCAGCTTTAGGCCCGGTTTGGAGAGTCACGCATCTTCATACTACATGTAACACTTCTCTTCCGCAGCCAAAACCAAAGTCCCAACAACCACTTTATCCTGCATAATGATGCCCGGCTGCATCAGATTGACCATGTTGGCGACCTGTGCTTCATTCGAATGATCACCATCGCAGTGTGTGCTACGGGCAGAACGCCTCGGAGTAAACATTGAGTCACTCTAGGCTGATGCCTGCAATGGCTCAGAGGAGCTGCACAGCGGTGACAGCACCTGAAATATCTGGCGATCACAGAGCCACATTTCTCATCAGCAAGGGCTTCCACTCCGCCTGGAAAATTTCAAGCCGTCTCAGCAGCTTGGCCTTAGATAGTCCAACACAACACGCCTTCTCATCGCTGGGAGCTTTGGAGTGAAGCTCTGAAAGCTACGGAAGTTGCGGAATCTGCGAAAGCTCTGGGCGCGGCAACTGTCACACCTGAATTGATCCCCAGCCTCGGCCGCACGATGCAACAAGAACCACTCGATCCTTCGAAAACTCGGGATTCGGGGCGGAATTGCTGAAGCACTTTCACGCACTAAGGGCCTGTCGCCTTGTATTCAGGGCTGGGAGAAAACATGGCCTCAGGCATATCCGGCATCTGCCTCTACAGCATCTTGAACTCTGCAACGACGTACCGTCTGCATCAAGTAGGAAATCGCAGAATTCACATACAAACATACCTTGCTGATTGCCTCGGCTTGCTGGCAAGATGCTTTCTGCAGAGTCAGCAGCACCCGAGAAGCGTCCAAGAAACGCTGGCAAGCTAGTAGCGCGGCCAGAAGCTTCCTTACCGTGACTTAGCATGACAATGGAACGATCTTTCCCCCCTGTGCTGAGTGGACACGCCTCATGAAACAAAAGTTGGCTTGCTTAATTGGACACCAACATCACGAAGCGTCGCGTAAGCCGGACATCCCTCTTTCCAGTTTTCATACCTTCCTATAGGAGGATTCAGAAAACAACGCAGTTCTGACGAGGGACTCCAGCAACGCCAGCAGGCCTTGTCGCGTCATGTCTTTTGGCGCCTGGGAATCCTCCATCGCGAGGACATGGAAAATGTTGCCTTAGTTGGGTAGACGCAGCTCAGCACATGCAAGTGTGCATGGGAACATTCGGTTCTCTCTGGGAAGATACGTGGAATGGGAAGATTGCGGTGCCAAGGTGCAGCCTTCCGACTGGAGACCGGAGAAGAGCACCAACTCCAGCACTTGAGACAGTCTGGCCTCGTCTTTCTCTCTCCTGCAGATGCAAGGCCCATGTGGCTTCACACACTGTTCAGGTCCTGACGGCAAGATGTAACTGCCTTAAAACCATGCCCAACCTATGCCCGAAACCCGAAACTTTCAACGCAAGCCTTTTCTTTAACGCATCCACCCATGGATTGCAAAGCCTGCTCATGAATCGCACAAGAACTCTAATCTGCTGTCCTGGCCAAGCGAACACCGTATAAACACAAGCAGAACAAACATATCTTGTTCAGTCCTTCGGCGCAAAACCATAATGCAACGCCCCAACGAAAAATCTTGCTCAGTCAATGGAAACCCCATTGAAACGCAATAAATTGTGTTGATTCGGGGTTTTCGGGTGTGTGTGTGTGTGTGTGCGTGAGAGTTATGTGCAAAACCAGTGTACGGCTTCAAAGGTCTGACTTCCGTACATCTTCCAGGGATTAACTGCACACGACTTAGCAGGGTTCTGTATCAAACGCGACAGAACAAACTTGAAAAAAGTAGCTTTTCTTCCAGCCGGTCCCTGCCAAAAAACCACGCCTGAAGAACAAGGCAAAAAGCCGCATCAATGGCACCAGCCTGAGATCAGCAACACTGCACATCATGCCGGAGTGAGTCCGCACACTGAGCCGCGGACGCGTGAAAGACAAACTTTGCCTTCTGCGGTGGTGGCAGAGTACCACTGATGCTGCTGATGCCGGCATATTTCTTGTCAAAGACCTCACTTCCATAATCTTCGAGACTCCAAATTATAGCAAGCTATGGTAGGCTAGCAAGTCATCTCTGGGTCAAAGGCTTGTCGCTTCTCTGCCCCTTGAAGCTCGCGACATCGATGACCCCGGTAGACAGCCTGGAACCAGCTTCATGTACTATCGGTCATAAACCGTGCTACATTGTACTTACAATTACTTACAACATGCGAGATCATACCAGTACCACTGCGCCTTGATGTGAAAGTAAGGATACCAAGAATTACAGCATTCATGGGTGCCCTCAGTGGCCCCGCCCTTCTGCCTGGATCCTTCTGGAAGCAGCTTCCCGTATCCTGTCGCAGGTCTCATGCACACCCGTAGATGGCAAGCTTCTTGAGTGGATTGAGGCTGGGCAACACGCACCCACACCCACGTAACACTCAGAAGCTCAGAGCTGACATTTCAAACCAGGTCCCTGCCTGCATACATTTCCTTCTGGTCTGCGTCTTTGTGTGTTTGTTTGTGTGTGTGTGTGTGTGTGTTCGTGTGCTTCTCGTGTGTTCGCGATACCCGCCTACCAACACGCATCGCTTCTGTCAAGGTCCCCGTTCCTTGTCGCACAGACGGAAAGTTTATTCACCACTCGTTGGTGGTGCTGGTGTGCCCAGGCATTTGTTGGATCATAAATGCACGAGTTCGACGACAAGATCGCTTTTGGCCTCAGCCTGGTCTGGTGTCACTGAGACTCGGGGACGGCATTCGATGAGAAATACAAAGCACTAGCAGAACTCGTAAATACAGTGCTGAGCCCAGTATGAGGAACTAAAATGCCTTCTTCTTAACTTTGAGCTGATGCCAACTTCCTTATATCTATGCATTCCATGCGTAATTAAAACCCCTCAGAGACTCAGAGACCTTTTTGAATCCACTCTAAAAACCCTAGACCCGAAACCCTAAGCCCTAAATCCCTAATTAAATCCTGCTGCTTCAATCAGTTTGTTGTTTTGGACCGGCCTCTTGCGCTCCCGAGACTCTCGCTCTTGATGCTGACCTGAGCAAGGTTTTTGTTGCCCCTCCTTAGCAGTAGCTGGGGAAAGAATTCCACATCGCAGGGATGTCCCATTTCTTGCCGCATGCCAAGGATGACCAGGGTCTAGGGGTTGTTTTTTGTCGTGGTTTCGGGATTTCTGTCAAGCGGGCCACTCACACTGCAGGGTAAGGCGATGCCATGCATCGCTATGCAGCTGCCACCATGTGATATGATGTGCTTGGTCCATGGCGCTTGACGAAGTCCGAACGGCTTTCTTCGGCAGAACGAGCACCTTTCCTCCCGCCTGGGAAGCATGGGAGAACACGAAAATCCACTGTTTCCCTACCACCCTAAGTCGCGAAACTCGAAACGGCCCCACGCTTGCCACATCCCTGCATTTTTGTTTGCACATCCTGGCGGGCCCCGGCCTCTGCCGCTTAAATTTACGCGGCCGTTTCCGCTGACCTGATGCGCTGAAACCCACCAAACCAACCACTCGCAAGACCGCTAAAGACCTACCACTGGTCTAGTGTCTCGCTCCAGGTTGAATTGTGCTAAAGACCGGCACCTTTCCATCAAAGTCAAACATCGCAGGTGCCGGGAAAACTGAAGCGAATTCAGCCTGAGAGATTAGAAAAGTACAGTAGTGGTTGCCCACAGTTGTCCTACATCGTCCTACATGCATACGTGCGAGGGTCGTCAGTCTGATTGGCGGATGGAAAGATGTATCGGAATAGTGTCTGACTTCCTGTAGTTTGTGCCTGTGTGGCTGCTTGCACGCTAACACCACCCTTCCCAAGCTTCTCCATCATTAAACACATGACTCACGGCTGCAGGGGCGCACCACCAGGAGTGCCAAAGCTCAGATGCAAAATGGAACGTCGTCAACACCACCAGATCATCTGTATTCCTCTGTGCAGCAGCAAACATGCCATCCTATTTGCAGATGTGGCGGGTGCATCCATTGAGGCGGATCACACGACTGTACAAGGATCTATCGTGATCTAACCCTGAATTGAGTGGTAGCCATCACGCTTGGATTGGCAGAACGTGCAGCGAATTAGTTTGATGGCCCCGCGCAGGGGCATCCCGAATGAGCTTCGAGAGCTGTTTGCACACGTGCAAGCAAATCAAGGCACGGTTGCATGGTGATTGAAGTCGCCACCCTTCTTGAATGCTGATGCTCAATGCGATGGCGGTCGAGGCTTGAACGGAGTACCTCGCGGCTGTGCGTTACAACGGTCAAGATGAATCATGTCCGGTCTCAAACTACATGGATGGAGCCTTGCCCTCGGCGAAGAGGAAAGCAACCAGCTTTCGCGGGAGTATTGATCTTGTCCAAGCCTTAAGGTGCTCTCTGCAGTCCATGGGTGGTACATTACGCAGCTTGAAATTAAGAACTCAATCGCTATCCGCGTAGTAGCCGGCAAAGTCAGCTGTTTTGCCTCTGACACGTCGGAGGCAGTCCTCCTTTGCCCCTCTTGGGTTCTGTACACAGCCATCCCTTGTGGCTGACGTCTAAGAACTCTCAGACATGAGGAACTTCAGGAGTCCTCAGCTTGACCCTTGACTGGTTCTCAATTCAGGTTTAGGTGCAATAGCTGAAGATGCTGCTGCAGCTGCTTTTCTCCGCATGTGTCCATTGTCTGCGCTGCGGACAAGCGGCCAACAGCAGCTGTGACGATTCCTGATGGCACAGTTCTGTTCAGGGTTGCTGCTTCACTTCGTCATCTTTATCTTGACTCCAACCAGCAAATCTCTCATCTTGCTCTTGAAACACCGACAGGATGAAGGGCAATGTCTTCCTGCTCTGGGTTCTGACCCGCCTGGGGAAACTTGAGCGTGAGCACGGCCAGTGGGCACCCAGGTGGTGAGCAGCTCATGCGCACAGCTCTTCACCTAGCATATTGGCACAACCTCTCATGTAGCACATCCGATGTCAGGTGAAAGCTACTTGTACATCGGACTCGCCTCGGTGGGATCGGCGGAGATGGCTGCAGCATCGGCATGGGCCTCTGCCAGTACCTACACCGAGAAGTCGTCGCTGGCACCGGGTGCCCAAAACATTTCCTGTCTTGGGGGAGCTGTCGAGGACTGGGCCTCCTGTATCTTCAATTCAGCTGCGCAACGATCTTCCGACCAGTTGTGGTGACAATAGGCTGAAGATTCTTCCCAGAACCTCCTTTGCTCGCGCAAAGCACGATTGCAACCTATCCGCACATGAAGGAACGCAGGTGTTCCATGTTTTCTGAGGGGCACTCTGCGAATATGCGGCCGAGGCACTTAAAAGCCGGCCGCCAAGGCTGGGCAACCGAAAGCTCGCAGTAACCGGGTGGCCCTGCACCTGCTAGCGGCGGCCCTGTTAGCTGTGGATTGCTCCCCCTTTTCGAGTTTGAGCAAACGACGCATAAGTTGTCCTATATACGTCGTCCTGCCTTCCCACCACTGCTTGCAAACACAAGTCCCGAGTGACGCGTCCTTGGCTGTCGAGGTCTCGGGTGGCAATCAGAGTGAAGTCAACCCAAGAATGCGCCCAGCAGCAGCGCGTGGGCAATCAGTGTCCTGGTTGCACCCACGACCTGTCTCCATGGCTAGTTTGTGAACAGACAGTCTTTGGAGCTGGCCAGACAAGGCTGAGAACCCGGCCGCTAACTCGCGGCTTGCCATCTTCCAATTCAATTTCTGGGAGCTGAGCGCACTCCTTCAAGACAAAGGCTCGTGCATGGCGACTTGCGACTTGAGGTGGCGTAACAATCATTATAACCGAATAACAAAATGACATAATAACAAAAATGATAGCAAAGTAATAACATAATAACAGAATAACGACCTATGTAGTGACATAATGACATAAAAACAGAACTTCATGCAACAATCATTATAACCGAATAACAAAATAACATAAAAACAAAAACAATAGCAAAGTAATAACATAATAACAGAATAACGACATATGTAATGACATAATGACATAAAAACATAACTTCATGATAGCATGAAAACAAGATATCATGATAGCATAATACAGGTACTAACAAAGTAACATATCAAGATAAAAACATAAAAATAGAATATAACAACATATAACATATGATAGGAAAGGATTTAACAACATAATAAAATCACAAGGCATTAATGTAGTAGTCAGCAATAAAACGTTAATACAATACACAAATATGATCAATACTCAATAACACAATAACACAACAATCAAGCAATACAATAAAATAAACATATAGTATGGACATGTAATAGCAGAAAATACAAATATGAACATGTGAATAGAATACTTGCAATAATATAGCCATATAAAAACAATACTCATGTGATATAGTCACATAACAATATATCCTTTTGACTGTTAAGCTATGTTTAATATTATGGCATAACAAGCAGCTTGTGATGCCGGCTCCTTAAGTCGTGGATCCACATAGTTGGTCATGCAAAGATGCCCGGAGCTGCTCTTGGAGCCAGTTGCCAGACTGTATTCCTGCGCAGAGGGAAGCTCTCATGGCAACGTTCGTGGATGATGTTTGTGAGGCTTGCAGCCAGATGTTTTCGGTTGAGGAGACCCCGCAGTCATTTCGAAACTTGGGCAAACTTCGAGATTCTTGTTGGTTGAGAAGCCCAGGAGGAGGGGAGGGCTTCCAAACAGACTTGACACTTCTGGAATACGACCCAGGGTGGTCAACACACATGGGAAGCAGCTGGGCCGCTCGACCGCGGAGAGTGGGCTTATACCGTCGCGCCGCATGTTTGTGCCGCTCCAACGAAGATTGTGCGATTGCGCCGGCCGCGTCGAGCTGCGGTGCAGGTGCAGTTGGGGTGCGGGTGCTCAACTACCACGCACAAAGTGTCTCAGATCCACGTTCAAGGGCGCGGCAAGGTGTTCTGAGCTGGTAGCACCAAATGCCCAATGTTGACGACTGAGACTGAGGCTTCGTTGACGCGGTGTCGTTGTGTTTTGGGCGGGTGCCCCTGAACTGTTGACAGAGCTGACCAGCAATCCATCAACCCAGCCCAGTCCCGAATACACCGCGGTGTCTCCAGCGCCAGGTTGCACCGAAAGCCGTTCAAGCACTCGTTGCTATGTAGGCCGGAACAGGAATGACCTGTCTGCGCAGCCCACCGAAATTGTCTGAAACGCAGTCCGGAAAAGTCACATCTTCTGTAGCCTGCAGGTAGCTGAGGCGTGCAGACTCCGAGAAAACCTGGACGAGGAACGACGCAATAGACGCAATGGTGTTCCTTCTGCGCCTAGAACAGCCTCGCTAGCTGCGAGCAGGGTGCAGTACCAGCCCATGTTGCAGTCAATGTCACGTCCATCAGCCTTCGCCTGGGCAACTGCAACTCAACAGGAGCAGCCTAAGCTCTGCATACAGCTCCGCCGAAATGCAAAACAACAGAGAGAACCATGAGGATACACACACACATATACATAATTTTATGATATGATATGATGTTACATTATATTATATTATATTATATTATATTATATTCTGTTATATTCTGTTATATTAAACTATCCTATATTATATTATATTATATTCTGCTATATTATATTATATTACATTATATCATGCTATATTATATTATACATATACATATGATACATACCCTGAGCCGAGGCCCCCCACACTGCAAGGAGACCCGGAACTCAAGCCCAGGCAGCGGCCGCGAAAGCAGACCCGGGAGCCTGTAACCTCACTGAAGCTCTTAGTGAGGGAATGAGAGGGTACCCTCTACAATCCCTTGAACTTTAAAGGGTATACATAGGGAGGATAGAAGGTGGTACCACATGCTCATGCTCAGACTTTAAACTTGAACTGCAAAAGTGCTGGGCCTGTCCCGACCCCAAGGAAGCATGGTCGACTTCTACCAAATGGTGCGAAGCATATCCGAAACAGTCGGCCCTTGACAGGTTTAGCCATTCCTTGAGCCGAAGCTCGCACAAATCATGTGGGTTGGCTGCGTCGCACACTTGGTGCGTAAGCAATGCTCGTCGGCATATCCTCTGCAAACACCTTGCGGCAAGTGACTTCAAATCCATGGCTCTGAAAGAGAACACACTCAGAACTCAGAATCAAACAGAAGACAGAGCGGGCCAGCCTTGCAAAGGGGCCATCGCAGTCTTCATCGTAGTAGCACTCAGCACCTTCTCAAGAGATCGGTTGCACAGGCATGCTCGAAGGTTTATCAGCCCACCCGGTGGCCGCTTCAGCACAGGATCCAGCTGACAACGGCTTTCGCCTCAGAGCCGAAGAGTCAAAAGTCAGAAGCCGAAAGGATCAGTTTTCAATCCCGAGAGATGAGTGCCAGCACCCAAGCCAAAGGAACATGCTTGGGACACCGCATGGAAGAGAGGTGAAGCAGGGCCTTTGCTTCCGAACTTCAGAGCATCGGTATTTCTGGTCTTTAAGCCTAATATGGAGGTGACAGAATGTGTCGAGACCCGCGGTCTCGCGCGATCCCTAAGGAAGCGACGAGCAGTATGGGGCTGTCGTGGGGCAGGCTCCAAACGCTCGTGCCCCAAGCGCCAAGCGAGTCACAGTCTTCCTTGGCAACGAAGCGATTATACTTATAACAACATGCTGCGCGTCTAGCGGTAGACACGACTGCAACCGAAATTCTTGAAGCAAATGGGTGGATCTTGAGTCGAGTCTTCTGGCAAACAGCTGCGCACCTCACATTGGATCTCCTTTTGTCGGTGGCAGCGTTCATGCGATGTTCACAGTTCTAACATGCCATCGTGGGACCTCTGGCTGATTTCGCTGACGCGAAATAACAATACAGTTAAGTGTTAATGATGTCAATGCACGCTCCGTGCAACGGCAAGGTCCTGTGCAAAGCTTCGCAGAAGGAGCACTGCCGCCCCGCGAAAGGTGACCATCGGAGGCTCACTCGACGCGCCAGGGCCATGGCAACTGGTGGAAACTCTTGGCCCTAATTAGGACCTTCGTGATATCTTGTGTTCCAATTTCTCCTGACATGGGATGCGCTGAGTTTTCGAGGCCAGCTTTGGGCCACAGCTGCCAGAGCGAGGGGCGCTGCGCTTCAACCCTAGGCTGTGCCAGCCCGAGAGAAACCCGCGTATCAGTCTGCAGAAGTGTCTGAGGCTACAACGTTCCTGCAGCTTCCGCGTGCTGTCTCTGCGCAGCTTGTACACCCTGGCAGCTTTGTCGGTTGCACGTTGGACTGCTACCAGCCCATGTTCTTTTGTGAGTTTTGTAGGTACGGCTCAACAACTAGCCATTGCTGAGCCTCAAACTTACCTGAGAAGTCTGGTCAGTGGAACTGGGGTTTAGGCGATCAACGGATCTGCCACACGTCTTGTACCCTACGTACAGGGCCTGCCCGTGAATTGTGCTTGAACGCAGTCCTATGCCTGTGCCAATAGGCCTCATACATCCAACGCAATTAGAGCAGGTCGTCTGCATCCATTGGGTGTAGTGTAGAGTGTAGAGTCTCTAGACAGCCTTCGACCAGCGTCGACATGTCTGCTAAACAACCGCGCCCTACCGAAAACAAGCTTACAAGATCCTACCAGTACAAGCAAGGATTGGCTTGTGCACAACCTTATGCGCATATCTCAGCAAAGCACCCCAACACGCTCCTTTTGCCCAGGCGACGCTGCAGAAGGCATGGGCCTGAACCGGAGAGCCTATGCAACGAAAGACTTAGTAATACCGCGCACTTGCCCCCGTAATCCTCGTACCCAAAGGCAGCCCAAGTCACACCATGTCCCCGCAGAGTATCGAGAGTGCTCTCTCAGAACCAAAGTCATCCCAAAGTTCATGAGATATCCGAGTGCATCAAGCACGAGCAGAAGGCATTTCCCAGCAGAGAGGCTGAATCAATTGCCAAAAATCCACAGTTGGATGAGCAGAGGCTGAAACCATCCGCCGTCGTCAGACTGCCCACATCAGCCCCGACATCCGCGACAGGGGCTTGGGCAAGCCAATAGGACGAGGGTTCTTTCTTGCGGCAAGCCCGCTCAATGTTGACGACCTTCCGCTGAGGGGAACCTCGGCCTGGGGGCATCAAAGCTCAGAGTGTTGAAACGATGGACGTCTGGCAGACCCACTGCCGTGTCCTGCGTGTCTTTCCAAGCTTTCGACGAGGCGGAGGTCCCGAAGAGCAGCCCTCGGCGACGTGTCCACGGCAGGCTGCATCTCCAAGATAGAATGCGCCACATCACGCAGAGCGTAGGCCACACTTGGACCTGCAAGCCCAGTTATGTTCTGCACCAAGCGTCCAGACATGTCTCTGAGTTCCACCTTTGCTCTTGAGACACAGAGCGTGCCATTTGTACCAGAAAGCCGCAAGTCCAAATCCGATAAGCCAGAAATCTCTGCAGGGGCAGGCCTCGGGGCACTCAAGGAGAACAGCCAAGCTCCAGGTATCTGATTGTCCAACGAACCTGCCCGCAGAGATGCTGCGAACGTGTCAAAAGGCAAGATCTTTGGCCTCACACGTCGTATGACAACTCCCTCAATCTCCAGGCTGCCCAAAACAAGATGCAACGCAGCAGCGAAATGCACAGCCACATCCACAATCCAGTTCGAATCTTCCTGCATTCGCCAGGATTGGAGGTTCATGTAGGGCAGGTCATCAGGCATGTAAGTCACGGAACTTGCGGAGAAAGCTATGATCTGCCCAATAGCCCCGGCGCTGATGGCCAGCTGGGCCACTCGAAACGCTGGCTCGAACCTCCAGTTCTCAGAAACAAACCATGCATTGAATCGGTTGTGGCTCTCTAGGCTCTCCAACATGTCCTCTGCTTGACTCACATTGGCGGCTGCCGGCTTCTCTGACACGACTGCAAGGCCGACCGCCAAAGCTGATGTTACAAAGGATGGCTGCACCGAAATTGGCAGCACGACGTCGACCAATTCCAGCTTCAGCTCGCCGGAAAGGATCTCCCTCCAACCCTGATCCCCCCAGAGGGGCACTGGAGGTGCTCCACCATGTCTGACAACTAGCTCCGATAGGGCTTGCGCCGAGGATGCGGACTTGCTCCACACTGCCCGTAAGTCGAAACAGTCTTTGTCGTCCAGTACAAGGGATGGACAATGCGCCTTTCTGGCGAAAGTTCCGGCACCGGCCAATGCAACTGCCACCCGACGCTTGCAAGGCTTGAGGAGCTGTGAGGTCAGCTGTTTTGAGAAGCAGGCAAAGTCGGTGGAAGTGCACAGCTCCGACTTCTCGTTTGAGGCACCGATTCTCAGAAGCAGAAGCACCAGTGCCACATGAATCCGCACACAGCTTCTAGCGCACATTGAATTGCAGTTCATATGAAGAGAGGTGATGAGAAGGCTGCGTGACAAAATGAGACAACCCAAGGAATGCACACGGAAAGATCCAGGAGAGACACACGTGGTGCCATGCGCCTCTCTTCACCCTCGGCCCGAGCATGTCCAGACTCAGCCTTTGCCTCTCAAGGAAGAGGCCGGCAAAGGCCTTGTCAGTGTCTATGATATGCTGCGCAATGCAACATGAGGAGCCTTCTCCAGCTCTTTGCGGAGAGAGGTGATTCCCTGCCAGGCCCAAGGAGCTGATTTGCTGATGCGCAAATGTGTTCAGTGAGACCAACGAATACAAATGCCAACACACCTTGTTGATACCAGTCTGGCTCAGCCCTCCGAGTCTGTCAATTTCTTCAATGTGGCACACTAGATCTGACCAAAATCATCGACACCACCATGTCGCGATCTCCCTTCCTTACCATGTCATTACACCTTCCTACTGTTGAGGGCGGCGCGACAACAATTAGAACCACGCTCAGCCTGAGAAGCTGCTGAAACAGCCACGTTTGGGCCATAAGGGCAGACTGAGACAGAACCTTGCACAGGCCTGAGTCATCTTACATGGAACATAAAGACGAGGGTAAAGTTTAGCGTTTAGGGCCTAGGGTTTATTCTTCCTTTGAACAAGGCGCTTCCTTTAGTCAGGGGCTCGCGCTCGCCTGGGACTGCTTGAACATGTGCGCCTCAGACTCCTTCAAGGTGTCCTGCTGCTTCCCAGAGTCTTGGCTAGACAAATATAATATGCATATACATGTGTGTATATGTATATATATATATATATGTGCATACGTGTTAATATAATATAGTATGCGCATGTATCTCTCCTGCTGTTGCATCCAGAGAGTTGAGGCACTATATATGTCTATATTATACTCTTCCTTGCACAAGCCCTGCGAGCCAGGTGTGACAGGCCTGAAGCTCAGCTATGCGTCCTTTCAGGAAGTCTGCCTCAGTGTTGAGGCCGGCAACCTGGTGCAATGCACGAGTTTGCCTCCGGCTTGAAGGCAGAAGTCGTTCCCACCTTCCCTTCAAGGGTACCGATGTGACGCACATGCTCCAGGAGCTGGCCTTTGGTGCCTAGGCAGGTCCACGCTCTGTGACTTGGGGCATATGCCTGCATGTTTTAGGCAATATGCTGGCATGCGCCCGCCTTCCTTGCTCTCCGAGTGCTGCTTTCTTGCCTCCTCGAGCTCGTGTCGCACACCTGGCCGCATCATTGCCAGAGCATCTATAGGGAACTCGTGAGCAAGCGAACAGGCGCACATGCTCTGATTCCGCCACTAAGTTGCCAGCTGGCCAGCAGTTGCTGGTGCTCTGTACGGTCGGAATCATGAGCTTCGGTCAGTGCTTTCCTCTCGGCATGTAGCTGCACGTGCAAGTCCTTGCGCAGTTGGACTCCCCAGCGCTGTGACGAGAAAGCCGAGAAGGCATGGTGGAACTAAGGACTGGTGATGGTCTGCAAGAACTCCGAAAGTGGTCGGAAAGAGTCCTGGATCTTCTCCTGGTGTTTCTCTCGGTGTGATTCCCGCTCCCGCTTCAGCCTGCAAAGCAACCCTGCGAAGCCTTGGGCTATACAAATCTATGGTTAATCGTCTACAATAGGGCAAATGGGGGGCCCAAAAAAGGGACCCCAATCAAGAACCTCATGGTAGTAGTAGTAGTAGTAGTAGTAGTAGTAGTAGTAGTAGTAGTAGTAGTAGTAGTAGCAGTAGCAGTAGCAGTAGCAGTACTAGTAGGACTAGTACTAGTACTAGTAGTAGAGTGGCTGCAGCCGAAGGGCTCCTCTCGTTCTGCTCTCAGCTGCTCCTTGGCTCGCTGGAGCTCCACCTGGGCCTCACGGAGCTCCTCTGCGCTGCAAAGGCTTAGGGAATGAGGGAATTCAGCACCTTAAGGAATGCCTTAGTGGGGCTTATGAAGGGTCACAAGGTACCAAGGTTCCCTCGGAACAGGTCCTAGCACAGTAGCAGACACACTTCCAGCATCCTCAAACCTTGCGCCTTGCAACAGATTCGAAGCCAGGGGTTGGGGTTTAGGGCTTAGGGGTATACCTAGACCATTCTCCTCCTGGAGCTGCAGGTTCTGTCGACCAGCAGCCTGCACTGTGCCACAGAGACATGGCAGATGGCAAGAAGGATGCAGAGGACATCCAGGGGATCCAAGATCCTGCATTATCCCTGGAAGCTTGGAGATCACCTTGACAGCATTGACATCTAAGCTGAAGTCTACATTGAAGCAATCAGCTTCAGAAATATTCAATCGTAGATTTCATGTTTTTGGTACATGACAATTTATGATCCTATTGATGTTGATACATGTGGGCTTTTGCTGACAGTGCTAGACCGTTGCCCGAAGCGAACCGTCTTGACGAAACAACACGTGCTCAACCCCTCGCTAGGCCGTGGCCCTCTCAGGTTTTTGCCAGAGAGCCACGCCCTGCCTCAGCAGCTGCTTCGTTGCAACGTTGGCTAGCAAGGCGTTCCGCAGCAGCCTTCCGGCTTCGCCACCCCGCCCCCGCTACCCCGCCCCCGCTCTCACTGAAGATGTCGGAAGCATGTCACAGCCTTTGATGCCATAGCGCGAGCAGCCTCTGCAAAACGCGTCATGTAAGGCTCATGTCGAGGCCAACTGCAAAGTTGCCTCCAACTCCTGCTGCAAGCTTACCTCCTTCTCCTGACCGGTTCTGTTGAGAACCTGTCATGGAAATGATCGGAACATTCACACAGGCACAGTTTGCCCGTCGCTGCATGATCAGGCCAAGTGACGCAACACGAAAGGTGCCCAGCGCGCCGAGAAAGCGCACACGCTGCGAGACCAAAATCAATCGGCTCTGAGCTTGCTATGGCGATAGCATACTTACATACACGTCCGCTTAGTAAGTAAGTCATTCTGGACACGGGGACCCCTGCGGCGAGTCTGCGAGGACGCTTGGGGTCACCAAACTTTCCACGCCGCAGGGCAGACCAGGGGAATGGTTGTTCAATCATGCATGCCCAAAACTATGTATCAGTCAAGATTCACTTACTGCTGGTTCGTAGGGAATGGGGGAATAAGGTACCCTATAATCCTATAATATATGATCCCTTCAAGGGTATATGCAGGCCCTTATTCCCTCATTCCCTGCTAACCAACAGTAAAGGGTTTTGGTGTTCCTGCCTGAGGTCTGGCTTTTCCTTTCAGAGAAGACTCCAAAGTTCAAGCAGGTCGGGGGGGTGAATCTTCTACAGAGGGACGGTGCCAGTGCGCTTTCGAACTGTGCAGCGGATCCCGAACGAAGTTCTCAAACCCTAGGTATTAGTTACTGGGCTTGGGAGGCAACAAATTTCCCAAACGGTGTGTCAAGACTAAAGGGGTCCAAGAAATCAGGTTCGCGCACGTCCCCGTCGCGGAACTTGGGTTGCCAACGCTTGGGGATGCGTGCACGGCGAACCCCTCCCATCCAAAAGCACATCCTTATGCTGCTACCGTTCTGATGAATTTGTTCATGGGTCGTGATCGTAGCGATCATCCAGGGAGTGCTGTTGGCCAGGAGCGCCCGCACCAATCAAGAAATCTGTGCAGTGGCCGCGCTCGCATCATGCCTGTCTCTTCTGACTTGCCCACCCCGGGATGATCCTTTGAATGGCAACCACAAATCCACCAACTTCAGTTTGTTTGATGCAGTCCCGTGCGCATTGCTCAGAAGCCTTGTCAGCCCACTGAAATGGCTACTCGGCTACTCGTCTCCACCCTCTAGACCCTCCGATCGGGAAACCATGAACACCGATGGCTGACTTCGTCGTGCAAAGCAGCTCAGCATCACCCCGTGAGCCTGCAGCTCTGTCTCTCGAGCCCGAGCCTGCGACCACCCAAGCCACGCAAAGGTTATATACAATATACTATAATATATAGGATAGAATATCGAACATCATATTGTATGATACATATAACATCTAACCAGCTGCAACTGCAGGCAGACTTCGCACCTCTTCAAGCTCAGCTTGTGCTGACTCCATTTGCTGTTGCCCGTCATCGAGTTCTGCCATTTTCCCCTGACACAGAGCGCAAGCTGACTCAAGGTAGGCTGTTAAAGGCTAAACTGGCCCGGAGGAACGCGGTGGGAGAACGGGAGGATTCTTCTGTGCGAGTTGAAGGGGTCGTCTGGTGATCCTTTCATGTGGAGGAGGTGGCTGGGTTCTCCTGGCTTTCTGCTTTTCGGGATGGGGCTAACAGCATCGATTCACTGAGGAGTGGCTCCATGAAGGATCCAGATGTCGAGGCACCTTGTCTCGTTTTGCCGAATTAGATTCTCTAGCAGACTCTGGCAATGGTTTTGTTTCCATTACATTGAACTACCGCATCTTAGGAATTGCTCCTTCATGTCGGGGAACACCATTCCGAGCAGGGGCACTGCCGCGTTCACTTCCAGCCTGCATCTCCACTTCTTTGGCCTCCTTGATTTGGCTCGCCTGGCGCCAGCGATCTGCGGCCTGCATCTCAGCATCACGGACAACGTTCCCGACTCACTGCTTTACCTCCAGCCCTGCCTTTTTGATGGCCGCCTACAGGGCTTTGCGAAACAGGTGACACGAGCCGGTACAGATCACTATGCCACCACCATGTACGCGTGTGCGCCTTCGTGGCCTCAAGCTCAGCGCGAACGTTGCCTTCCAGCTTGGCTGCCTGCTCTCCCCATGCGAGAGCACGCCGTTGGGCTTCCGCAGATTGCTCAACCTGAGGCGAGATAGCTGCATGATGCTCTGCGTGACGAGGAAGAAAACTAGCGACAGAAAAACCTACTCCGTCGTGGTGCAGCACAACCTGCCCGGTGTAAACTCACTGTGATCCAACCGTTGTAGGCCCCCTTCCCTCGCTGCCACGTTCCCAATGCACACCACCACTACACCCACATTTCGTCTTCTCAATACAATGCCTGACTATGCATGACTTGTTCAGGCGGGGACGGTGGCAACAACAGCGGTGCGAGCCACTGCCACACGCCTTGCGGCAGCCTGCGTTCTACAAATTGGACGATGGACCAAGGGACCCGAAGGGGGATTGCCAGGTCCCGCCTCAACAGCTGCACGCCCAGCTCGGGCAACAGTCGCAGTGGGAAGGTGCTCCTTGGCTTCCCTACATATCTGCCGTGAAGTCACGCACCCCACATGAGCTTCGGTGAGCTTTGCATCTTGTGAACGATTTCAACTGGTATACCTTTCTCGCATCTAGTCAGGTCAGGTCTCCAGAAGCTTGCCTAGATCTGCTGATATCTTTTCGCCTGGGCCAACCAGTGCAAAGCCGAAGAGGTGCTCGTCACTACTAGTCCTACAGCAAGCACCAAGCCTTCTTCAATGGTACCTTCGGAGTTATCAAGCCAGTCCTGCAGTCATCTCACTCGAGACATCTAGCGACTGCCACACGGAGCAACATCGCCGACTTAGCGTACGTCAGCGGCTCAGACCACGAGACTATTCGCAAGGGAGTTTGGATGGACTACTGCGAAATGAGTCGACGCTATTGCCATCCTGCCTGCCACAACTTCAGGCTTTGAGACAGCTGCTGGTCTGCAAGACGACCGTTGTGCTGCCGCACCTGCTGCTCCTTGACGTAAGGTGTCAAAAGGGAGGTGCTGGTGACTGCGCAAAGAACCATGCAGATTCAGCATCTACAAGAGACCCTCGGTCCTCACGGGCAAGCGTCTCCTTGAGTTCTTGCCAGTACTCCTTGCGCACCTCTTCATCACCTCACAAGGCAGTACTACACCTGCCTTCACATCTTGACGCATCTGCCCTGAGCATTGCTGTGCCCGAGCAAGGATCGAGCCGACCGCTTGCTGCTCCCATCTGTCTTTCAACCTCGGATCGAAGACCAACCCACTTGACAATAAAGGATTATATAGGACATCTGTTACCTCTAGCCATGGTGGTTCGTGTATGAATGCGCATCAGCCACTCAGCTAAGGAGCTCATGGCGCTGGTTTCGGAAGAAAGTTCGAAGGGCTTCGTCTGTCATGGGGAGCTGTGTGCCATCGGGCAAGGCCTGTCCGGAGGCAGTTGCAACCCCATACAGAATCATCTGGCTTTCTATGCTCTTCGGGGCAAGATGCATCGAAACGGCCCACAGGCCCATGCCCAACCGAGCTACTGGTACCAGCAATGGACCTCCATCCCCAAGACTGCAACATAGCCGCGATATTCACCGATGTTGCCACTCCCTCCCATCAGCACTGGCGGCAGATCTGCCCGTCCCTTTGCAACCGGGTGCCCACACAATTGTTCAAAATTGATGTATCCTCCTCATATCGTAGACAGTCTGGGTCAAGGAACTGCACGAACATAATGATACATTCTATGAATATTAACACATGGAGTTTGATCTAGGTAAACCATGCGCCCTCTTTGGCACCCTAAGTTTTAGAAGGAACATGTTGCAATACATATAGAGACCCGAAAAATGCGATTTTGATCAGTCGACCGTCTGCCATGGTATTCGGGCATGGTGACGTGCGTGTTGTCATAGTCGCGCATGCACGAGATAAGCTGCACATGCAATATACAACTCCAAACATTCAGCGCCATATGGCCATTGTGGTTAAGCTTTCTGTTACGTAGGCGCGCCTGCTTGTTAAGTCCCATGAGTCTTTCCCCGTCTTTATCTGACCCCTCGAAAGTGCTAAAACTGGCCATGCAGCCAGAATGGGTTCAGTCTGTCTTGGGTATGTCCGGCCCCATGTTGGGGAAGGGGTCGGTTTACCCCCTGTTCTCTTTCATCTGCAAGTATTTGCAAGTGGGCCTGCCAGTCTTTTTGTTCTGCTTCGACTTCATCCTCCCTCACTTGAAGTATCAACAAAGTCTTTACAGATGCCACACACAGCATCGTCTTCATTGTGATTAGCAAACTCGCCAATGGTATTCAACACACGTTTTCGAATGAATCAAGTGACTTCATGGCGGCGGGAAATATTGTGGATGTTTATTTTGTGGATTGGGGGATCAGCACGTTCTTGCATCCGCCATGTCGTGCAAGAAGATACGATCTTGGTTTGCTCCCTCGCCTGGCCAGACTTCAGTTGCTTCAGCTTCTGGGAAGCGATACCCCGAAGTTCGTCAGCAAGGCTGCCACAGGTGGTGTGCTGCACCTTGAGTCAGCACTTCTGGGGCCGGAGAAGAGGTGCTCTGTGCAATGCAGAGTGCAGCGTGCTGAGCGTCGATCCGCATCCCATGCGCCTTTCACACTCAGCTGCTTTGACTCATTCATCGCCTCGACAAGATGCTGCAACAAAGCCTCGGCAACGCGAATCATCGTGAATCACATTGTGTCACTTCTGCTGGAAACCCTGTCAATACGCGACCATACGTGACCCGAGCAGCCTTGGCATTTCGCCAAAGGAAAGCTTAAGCTCCACAGTGGCATGCATGGTTGCCACCTGAGCGCCAGGCCGCGAAGGAGGCGCAGCCAAGCGACTGCCCGCCCACCATCTTGGGATGCCTGTGTGCACAGGATCACAAGCTGCGTGAACCTACAGGCGGGAGGCACGGACCGGCACGGATGCAACCGAGCAACGAATGGCATATCGCAACGAGTTGCGCCTGCATGGCCTTGTGAGTTGCACCACTAAAACGGGATACAGTCAAAATCCCCGTTTCAAAAACGACCTCCACGCCAGCGCGAAACTCGCTGCGAAGCGACCTGAAACTGTCGGGCAGCCACATTGCCCCAACCCCCAACCGAAAGACATGAGAATCATCAGGCCCTGAGCACTCAACGAATAAGGCACTTCACTGAGGTTTTGCATGTCATTCTCCGCACCTGCTGGCTGGACCAACGTAGTGCAACTCCTGGAAGTTGCAGTTGATCGGCGGAACATCGCTCACTTCTGTCTCCACTGCACTGCAGCTCTCCATTCTCCATTGACTTGCAATTCTTTCTCCACAAAGCCACTCACAGGAAGACACAAAGACGTGTATATACGCCAGCCCCGCCATCACAGGGCTTCAGGGTGCATCATTGCATCTCCACTCTACTGACTGTCTACTGTGCACTGCACTGCCCACTCGGGAGCTGCGAGCGGCTGCGGAAATATGGCACGGTGTGCGCACACTCGCCCATCATCCTATCATTCCCCATCTTCAGCATCTGGTACGCCTCTTCTTGCCGTGCTTGCCGTCCCGCACCAGACTGCAATTGTGAGATATCGCGAGCAAGGCCATGTGTGGAAGCTCCGACTTCTCATGGGCTTCCACAATCGACTCTGACCAACACCCAATGCGTTGACCCCAAAGCAGCCGTTTCTCTGCACACTGCTGATTCATGCTAAGGCATGCCACTACGGGCTGCTCCCGATTTACAGGATGCCAGTCTCGAATTACCTAAGCTGTCTATAGTCAACAAGCTCTTCTGGAACTGCCTGAGCTTGTCTGAAAATCAATGGGCCCTGATCAGCATCTGCACCCATCTCCATCCCTCCCCGTATCAGTGATGCCATAGCTCGCGGCAAAGGCATCAGAAACTAACTTCGGCATGAGTTGCTGAGCCGTCCCATGTCTGGCAGACATCACACACATGAAATGGCTTGCCTTTGCAGTGGACAACAAGCATCATCACTACTGGCATGGCGTGGTTCCAAGCTTGCATCTTGTCCTGTGGTTAAAGAACTGAAGAAGGTTCTGCCGCACCTCAGCCGAAAAGATCGGGAAACCCTTCTCGACCAGAGTTTGAGTTTTGCTTGAAACCGTAAAAACCCGGCCTCTTTGCCAGCCCCCCGTGCATCGGCAGCATGTAAAGCTTGCTCCAGGTATTCCTCAGAAGGCGAGTCTCGATGTGAAAGCATGGTGAAAAATTAACTGCAAGCCCGAGAGGAACACCGTTCCAAAAACATTGACGGCTCGTGGTGAGTTGTTGCTGCTGCTAAGAAACATCAGCACTCATGGTGTGACCAGCAGCGTCACGCAGTTCCAGCACGAAATCCCTCAGCCTCAGTCTGTTTTCTCCTTGTGAGCGCAGAAGAGCCCGCCTAACTTATTCGGGGTCCCGACGCCCACAGCAGAGCTGGTCGACTCACCTCCTCGAAGTGACTAGCGGAAGTGCACAAAAACAAAGCTCTCTCATGGCAAGTGCCAAAACTCTCCATCCTGGCTCCGTTCCTCCATGTGCTCAGCCTGGGGGTTCAACACAGCGTCTTGCAACTGAAAACTTCATGCCTTCCCACTTGAGCTGTAAGGCCCAAACAAATCGGCAAACCAGTGCAAGCGAGCTGAACACCTGTAGCACTTGTAGATCTTGCAATTGAACAGCAAGCGTGTCCAGGATTCTCCCTCCGATATGCTCCAGCAACCTCCGTCGCGCTGCAACCCAGCCGCGCTCTCGTTGAGCGTTCCCTTTGTGTTCAGTACGAGGACAGAGGACAGCAAGGAGCATAAGGACATCATTTGGGCATCACCTTCAGCCGGAATTGAGCATGACACAGCGCTTTCAATCAGAGCACCACCACTAGAGTCACTGGAGCACCACTTCCAGCCAAGCAGAGGGCGAGTGCGGTCTGAGTCGGTATTGCCAAATCCTTCACCTCGGTGGTGGCGAACCATGTAATTAACCAGCGCACCTGAGGCAAAGAGGGTCAAGAAGGGAAGAGCTGGAAGCCCCAGGCAATCCAGATAAGCCAACACTGGAGCATGCTCCTCTTCGGGGTCCTGCTCGCGACTGCAAGCGTCTGCAACTGAATCCGTGTACGCGCGGGCGCGCGGGCGCGCGGGCGTGCGGGCATGAGGGCGGGCGTGCGGGCGGGCGTGCGGGCCGCGGGCGTGCGGGCGGTGCGTGCGGGAGGGCGCGGCGTCTGCGGGGAGGCGTGGGTGGTGTGTGTGTGTGGGTGTGTGGGTGTGTGTGTGTGTGTGGTGTGTGTGTGTGCGTGTTGTGTGTGGGTGTCTGTGTGTGTGTCTGTGTGTTGTATGTGTGTGTGTCTGTGTGTGTGTCTGTGTCTGTGTCTGTGTCTCTGTGTCTGTGTGTCTGTGTGTCTGTGTGTCTGTGTGTCTGTGTGTCTGTGTGTCTGTGTGTCTGTGTGTCTGTGTGTCTGTGTGTCTGTGTGTCTGTGTGTCTGTGTGTCTGTGTGTCTGTGTGTCTGTGTGTCTGTGTGTCTGTGTGTCTGTGTGTCTGTGTGTCTGTGTGTCTGTGTGTCTGTGTGTCTGTGTGTCTGTGTGTCTGTGTGTCTGTGTGTCTGTGTGTCTGTGTGTCTGTGTGTCTGTGTGTCTGTGTGTCTGTGTGTCTGTGTCTGTGTCTCTGTGTCTCTGTGTCTCTGTGTATCTGTGTCTCTGTGTCTCTGTGTCTCTGTGTCTCTGTGTGTCTGTGTGTCTGTGTGTCTGTGTGTCTGTGTGTCTGTGTGTCTGTGTGTCTGTGTGTCTGTGTGTCTGTGTGTCTGTGTGTCTGTGTGTCTGTGTGTCTGTGTGTCTGTGTGTCTGTGTGTCTGTGTGTCTGTGTGTCTGTGTGTCTGTGTGTCTGTGTGTCTGTGTGTCTGTGTGTCTGTGTGTCTGTGTGTCTGTGTGTCTGTGTGTCTGTGTGTCTGTGTGTCTGTGTGTCTGTGTGTCTGTGTGTCTGTCTGTGTGTCTGTGTGTCTGTGTGTCTGTGTGTCTGTGTGTCTGTGTGTCTGTGTGTCTGTGTGTCTGTGTGTCTGTGTGTCTGTGTGTCTGTGTGTCTGTGTGTCTGTGTGTCTGTGTGTCTGTGTGTCTGTGGGTCTGTGGGTCTGTGGGTCTGTGCGTCTGTGCGTCTGTGCGTCTGTGCGTCTGTGCGTCTGTGGGTCTGTGTGTCTGTGTGTCTGTGTGTCTGTGTGTCTGTGTGTCTGTGTGTCTGTGTGTCTGTGTGTCTGTGTGTCTGTGTGTCTGTGTGTCTGGGTGTCTGTGTGTCTGTGTGTCTGTGTGTCTGTGTGTCTGTGTGTCTGTGTGTCTGTGTGTCTGTGTGTCTGTGTGTCTGTGTGTCTGTGTGTCTGTGTGTCTGTGTGTCTGTGTGTCTGTGTGTCTGTGTGTCTGTCTGCGTGCGTGCGTGCGTGGGTGGGTGTGTGTGTGCGCGCGGGAAGTTGCAGGGCAGACTCCATTCCCCACATGCAGGTGCACTGCGCGGAGTTTTTTCCTGTTTATGGTTCTTGGAAGAGAGGAGCAGGGAGGCAGCGACAGTTCAACATGTGGTGATGCAGCATCCTGTCTTATTCTTGCAGAGAGATGTGGGGAGAATGATGGGTGAAACTGTTGTACTGCACAATACAAAACAACGCCCGAACACAAAGTCATGAAAGCGGCCCACCCTTGCTATCTCCAACAAGCAGCACAACACATCCACAGCACACGTCCAATCCCATGGTACGAATACTTGATCTCAATTCCTGTCCCCTAAAAGCCACTACAGGAGAAGTTGCCCTTGCAAATCCCGGGAAAAACCCAAAATGCCCTGGAGAACACCCTGTTCGTAAAGAATGTTTGCATCACCCCGCACATCGACGTCATCCTCCTCTCTTACTTGTTGCTGCAGGCAAGCATGTACAAGATCTGTGGCACCCATATGAACAACAAGTGTGTAAGTAAGTGTGTGTGTGTGTGTGTGTGCGTGTGTGTGTTTGGTGTGTGTTTGGTGTGTGTGTTTGGTGTGTGTGTTTGGTGTGTGTGTTTGGTGTGTGTGTTTGGTGTGTGTGTGTTTGGTGTGTGTGTTTGGTGTGTGTGTGTGTGTTTGGTGTGTGTGTTTGCTGTGTGTGTTTGCTGTGTGTGTTTGGCGTGTGTGTTTGGTGTGTGCGTTTGGTGTGTGTGTGTTTGGTGTGTGTGTTTGGTGTGTGTGTTTGGTGTGTGTGTGTTTGGTGTGTGTGTTTGGTGTGTGTGTGTGTGTGTGTTGTGTGTGTGTGTTGTTGTGTGTGTGTGTTTGGTGTGTGTGGTGTTGGTGTGTGTGGTGTGTTTGGTTTGGTGTGTGTTTGGTGTGTGTGTTTTGTGTGTGTGTGTTTGGTGTGTGTGTTTTGGTGTGTGTGTGGTGTGTGGTGTGTGGTGTTTTGTGTGTGTTGTGTGTGTTTGGTGTGTGTGTTTGGTGTGTGTGTTTGGTTGTGTGTGTTTGGTGTGGTGTGTTGGGTGTGTGTTTGGTGTTGTTTGTGTGTTTGGTGTGTGTGTTTGGTGTGTGTGTGTGTGTGTGGTGTGTGTTTGGTGTGTGTGTTTGGTGTGTGTGTGTGTGTGTTGGTGTGTGTGTTTGGTGTGTGTGTGGTGTGTGGTGTGTGTGTTTGGTGTGTGTGTTTGGTGTGTGTGTTTGGTGTGTGTTTGGTGTGTGTTTGGTGTGTGTTTGGTGTGTGTTTGGTGTGTGTTTGGTGTGTGTTGGTGTGTGTGTGTGTGGTGTGTGTTTGGTGTGTGTTTGGTGTGTGTTTGGTGTGTGTTTGGTGTGTGTTTGGTGTGTGTTTGGTGTGTGTGTGTGTGTAGGTGTGGGTAAAGGCATTTGAGGATAGGTGTGTGAGTGTGTGTGTGTGGGCAGGCGGGCGGCATTTGTTGCTTGTGACATTCGCAAGGTGCAAGCGTGTGTCCTGGTAGCTCCAAAGCCAAATGCCGGCAGTGCAAGCCCGTTTGCCTGAGCCAACCTGTCGGACTCGCTTGCTTAGTTGCCGTGAAGGCCTAAATCTTCGACGATCAATGGGCAATCTTACCGAGCATGAGCCTTGAACTGAGAGACACCTTGCTGTACACGACCCAAGAGTGTGTTCAGAAGATAGCCTTAGCTAAACCCTGACATCCCGTCGTCGGTGAGTCGTACTGCTCAGTGTAACACACACATATGCACACATTCCTGAATCTGAATTTCCTTCTCAGTGTCTCTTCCCGGTGCCGTACATTCCGCAAATCGACACCACAGCGATACCTGGCAGCATCTGCAGATCTGGTGGAGTTGGTCAGGTGTGGCTCCACGCCCCTGCGGCAAGCTCAAGCTCCCTCGTCATTGAGGCTCCGACGCCTTTCGCCGAAAGCTTCCAGGGCTTGCGCACCCTCGGTGCAGACCTCGTACTGCCACCTTTCGGATGGTCACAGTTCGTCAGAGACTCTACTGTGCTCAGCACAGTGAGCCGAGTAACATCACGAATGAAAAACTAGCATTCTGCTCCTGCTGCTTCTTGATTCAGAAAAGCCCAAAACCCATCCCAGAAAGTAAAGAACGTCTCGGGGGCTAATTAGGCAAAAACTGGGCTACGATAATACAACAATCAACCTGGACCCTGGTAAACGCAACACAATGCTTACTGGACTTGTTGAAGCTGCCGAACACCCGTCACAACGAGCTTTCCTTCCTAAAGCAACATACCTGCACCCTTACACTGCGGACGCAGTTCTAAAAGCACGGCGGGAAAGTGGGCCCTGGGCCCTCAGCCCTCAGCTGCCTCGGAAACTGCCACGTCAGCCAAGACAAGACAGGACCAGGACAATAGACCCCGTGACATCTGAATCCCAGGGAACCCACAACCCGAATGCTCTTGCGGGCAAAAAAACTTCACTATGCATTGAACCTGTCGCCTTCGCGTTTCAACAAACCGCACGCCATTGCGGACCAAAGTGTTTCACTGTGCGGCGGCGCGCTGAGCCTCGGGGCCCTCGGGGCCCGGGACCTGGTTTGCATTCACAGACCCACAACCCGAAGCACGACTTGTGGACGCTACGTGCCTTTCCCCACGAGCAACTTGTTTCGGCACAACACGTGCCTAAGTGTGCCACAATAGAGTAGCCGCCGCCCGTCAATGATTATTCGATGATTTGTGGGGTTTGTCTGTTGGCAGTGGTCCTGGGGTGCTTTAGCTACTGTGCTGTACTTCCCCTTCCCATTCACACCTGCTGCCGGCTCGTTGCACTCGCAGTAGCTGTACTGGCTCTGCCAAAGTTTGGACCTCCAGTGATTAGATTCAGATGCATCTCGCAACGCGCCGCAGCATCAGCCGTGGGCGTTTCTACATCGCAAGCGCTGGCCCAGCCTGGCACAGATTGAAGATGGTGCTCGCCTGCCAGTAGGACAGCCACGCATTGCAGTGGGTGGTACTACGCATATCAGTCCAAGTCCAGAAACACTTTGCATTGGTCACCCTTCAAAGCAAAGACGTTCCGAGATGGATCTGCTGTCCATCAATGCAGATGGAAGAACAGAGATATGCCAGCTGACAACCCTCCGTCAAGAGAGTGTGTGTGACAGAGATCTCAACCACCATAATATGACAGCGCATTTGCATTGCACGGCCTGCCGCAATCCTTAGCGAAGCACCCCCCCTCCTCTGTCGTGCAGGATGTGTGATGGCTGACAGACTTCCTGAGCACCTCACCGTGAAAGCCTGACCATGCTTAATTCGGTAAGGCAAGGGGCGAGGCTTTTGCATTTTTTGCAGCGGGCTCTGGATCAAGTCTTTGTCACGCTGGGCTCGGACTCGTTCCTGTCGAGTCTTCCATCACCGAAACACACAGCGGATAGATCCCTGGATGCGAATAAGGAAATCAGAAAACACGAAGAAGCAGGGTAAGTCCGGCTCCGGTGGCACGTCTGGCTTGCAATCCAGATTGTAGGTGCCATTGGGATTGATGCTGAGAACCTCACCGGCAGACACAGCCAAAGGAGCACTGTAGAGTAACCGGTTTCACTTAACAGCGACTGTTGCAGAGTGGATCTGCGCAGTACAACATACAACAAGTAGCCTTTGCCAGAATCCAATCGCTCTGCGATGCACTGAAATACCTCAGCGATGCCACAATCGGACATCTGGACAGCGCTACGGATACCCTTTCAGCCCTTGCATCGCACCATCAACAGAGAAGGAGCACAATTCGGCACTGCACTGACATTGCATTGTTGATGCTTGACAGTGTATTGCTGAAGCAGGGTCCCGCAGTGCAGCAGTGAAAACATGCTCGCTCCCTCCCAAGGTGCAACCGGAACAATGGTAGGTTTGGAACTAGATCAGATGGGTGGACATGGCGCGAAGATGCTCAAATGCTGTGGCTTTGTGATTCTAGCAGAGTCAGGATGGATTGCTTTACTTGCACGTTTAGGACTAAGTTTGAATGACGGCCAAGTGACTCTACCAGCTCCCCCGGCTCAAACTCCAAGACGCCCGATGCTGACAGTCGGCCTCATGCTCAAGACACTGCTGCTGATTCGATGCTAAGAAGGCTGGGGCGCCACACGACATCTACAGTTGCTAAATTTTGCGGCATTTCACAGCATACGTCCCCTGTGGCCGAAGTTGAAGCATTTTTTTAGATCTTCATTTCGCTGACAAGCAGCTTTCGCGTGCCACCGTGCAGGATCGAATCTTCTCTGGAGGTACAGCAGGCTTGCCTTGGATCCCGAGTCGTGTTCTCAACAGGTTTGCTCCCAGCGCACATGCGACTTTTGGTGGCAAGGTCGCAATCCAAATCGTAGGTGCCTTTTGCTGCATTCACGGCCACAACCTGGATGGACGAACATGCAGCATCCTCTCGCATGCTACTTTGCGATGTGCCCAGCCTTGGCAGGAATCCAAGAACCTTGAGATGCGCTATAGTACTCCACGACCTCACCGAGCTTGAAGGCCTGTAAATGGCAGACGTCTCAGTGCATGAGCTTACATCACCTGCACAAAACGGTCTGAAAGAGATACTGCATGAGGCCTCAGCCTCGGATGAGTCGCCACTGGGCCTTATAAGAGATGCTTAGCGGCGTTCTTTGATCTCCAGCGCCGCCAGCGCCCCACTGCATCCTTCCCGATGCCCCATCACCCCCGAACACACTGTATACCAGGCATCCCGTTCCTTACCCGATGCAAATCACACGGCCTTAATTTGTGAGCATGGAAGCTAACTGTTGTGGAAATCTTGGCAGACCTGCTGATGTTGACTTCGGCTCTGGGGCACCCGCGCAGCCCAAGACCCGGCCCAAGAGCCGAACCACGCCATGCGAGATGTGCATAGACATGCATACGTAATCACGAGGTGGCGGTGCAAGCTGGTAGCTGGTAGGAGGAGTATACAGTATAGACTCGCCAACTGTCGAAAGCCGTGGGACAGATCCAAAAGATCGACATGGTGACAACAGCGATTGCAGTATGTGCAGTCAAAGCTGGCCATGGAGCCACCAGTGCGAACGAGCAAGCCCGAGGCGGTATGATTCCTCCCCAAATGGAAAAACTCATGAGAAACGTCTGCCTGCAGTCTGAGGATGGGGATGCCGCCACACGCTGGACACGCACATCCCCTTGCTTTTTGGTGCGCGGTGTCTGAACTCTTCAAGCTTCAACTTCGGGATGCTTGCGGTCGTCAAACTCATGGCTGCACTCTTTCGCAGCGCTTTCTCAGCAGATAGGACTTCTTTAAAGAAACATTGAACCAGGCTGGCAAGCCAAATCCAGGTCCCGAAACCGGCTCGAAATGCTGTCACGTATTGTCGGATACATTCGCTGTCATGGATCAGGCACGTCTCTGCGTGCTCGCGCCCGTTGGGCGTGCACTGCTTCACAGCCTTTGAGATCTCAACTTGATGACGCAGGGCTCAGGTATCTTGAGTTCTCAACCGGCATGGCTTCTTTTTGAGGACACGTTTGATTCCAGAGCCCTGTTTTTAAGTCGATTTGAGACATTTGCCTTGGCCCGCCTCCTCAGCCTGCGCAGGTGGCAGGCACTCTGGAAAGCAGGAACCGGCAAATACCCAACTGCAGGGACAAAGCATGACGTGAGTTCATGAGCAAACCTCTACGTTATGTCGCAAGGCTTTGTTTAATGGTTAAGTGGGCCTCTTCGGATAACCCAAGCTCCACCCTCCTGCAGTTATAGCAAATGGGATCAACGGATTACAACGCCATGGAACCAGACATTCCCTCGCACGGTGCTGGCTTTGCCTTAGTTCTGCAGTTTTCCGATGCAGCCGACAGTTAGATTCAGCTAGATGTTCAAGGGCAGGCGCAGCGAGGCAGCTGTGAAAGAGGGAAGGTCTTGGAAGACCTCTTCAAAAGACAACGAAGCTGCGACAAAAGGAAGGCGACTGAGGCATCTTCGACGCTGATCAACCCCCTTGGCCACAACATGTGCAAGCTGGGCAGCACACTCAGCGGGACCCAGTGTGTCCAGATGTGCCCTATGGGCTCACATTGAGCCCTCAGCCTGCCCAGCCTGCCACAAGTACAGACCCACATCTTCCCGGCCTAGTGTAGGGATCGGCCGGCAACTGCACATACCCGTGCACTCCTTCGACATCCATCATGAAGCAAGCAGGACCTTTTTCTGACACCGCCCTGCACTTGTTGTGAAGTTCAGGCGAGAGGACTTCTTCAAGCCGGATTGGGAAAAAAGCTCGGAAGCCTCACGGCCTGGCTTAGCATTTTGTTTCTCAAGCTGTCCAAAACAGATGCAGCCAACACGCGCATGGCAAATGTACACTGCAAGTTAAAGTCCAAGGTTGGCTTTCTAGCGACTTTTGCACCTGAGCCACAAAAACGTGGAGTTCCTGTAAAATCAAGTCCTCCCCTACCTACCTACTCCTAACTACGGTATCAACGATTGGCGGCGCCAATCATCATGAAGGCCTGGTTCACACCAATGTACGGCATCACCAGTGTCAAAAGCGGCATACACACAAACCACGCAGGGCCCAACCACTTCATGACCCCTGTAACTGTTTCATTGAGGATAAGCCTGCCGATCATCAGTTCCCACCATCCCCAGGTCGCCAAGGCCTGGCCCCATGTCAACTTGGCCGACTTTTCCGGCGTCATTTTGGTACGCCCAACCCAGAGGTAGGTGCACGGGTGGAGCACATCCAAGGCGATGAGCGTGACGATGATGACTGCTGACAGGACTCCGGTATGCTTGCGCCCTTCGACGATGTAGTAAATCCAAACGCCGATGGCACCAAGGATGAGGAGAAGGGTCCAATACTTGACCAAGTTTGTGGATGTGACTCCACGATCGCCACCAAGCCAGAAGCTGATGTCTTCCCCGTAGAGCTCGTAGCGCAAGAAGTCTTGAGTTCCCTTGATGATGGAGTACAGCAGAAGTGGTGCCGAAATATAGAACAGCTGGGTGGATCGCCAAATGTTGTCCATTGACAAACCAATCACCTCGTTGGCCTCCATGCTCGTTGAGAGGGTGTAGCGCATTGATGAAGCAATGACCATGCCCCAGCTCAAAACTTGCACGGCCAGCATGAAAGAAAACATGCCAGTGGAAGAGAAGTGATAGTTCCGCTTGGCGAAAATGCTGTAGTAGTTGAAGCCAATCCTCACATAACATGACAGAACACCAGGTCACCCCTTGCGCAACGAAGGCGGAATGACTACTGGCAGCAAGATTTTGATAAACATACGTCAACAAACAGGACCCGGCCGCCACGGCCAAGTGGTTCCTTGTCTGTGGGAATTCGGTGTTCAGGTTGCTGGCTGGGTGTGTCTCTGTGTGTCTCTTCTCCTCTCTCCTTCTCCTCTCTCCTTCTCCTTCTCCTTCTCTTTCTCCTTCTCCCCCTCTTTCTCCTCCTTCTTCTTCTTTCTTCTCCTCTTTCTTCTGATCCTTCTTCTTCTTCTTCGGTCTTCTGCTTCTTATTCTCCTTCCTCCTCCTCCACCTCCACCTCCTCCTCCTCCTCCTCCTGCTCCTCCTGCTTCTCCTCCTTCTCCTCCTGCTTATGCTTCTTCTTCCTCCTCTTTCCCCTCTCTGCCTGTGCACGCAGCCCGCACAGGGGTTGCCCGAAGGGACGCTGCACCGAGTCAGTAAGTGAGACAACCCCCAGTATCCCTCGCTGTCTCCTTCTGTGCATTTTGCCGTTTCTCTCCCTCTCTCCGTCTCTCCCTCTTGAAAGATGCTCAACACGGCAGCCTTTATCGATCGGTTGGCAACTTGTTTTCACCTCTCTCGCGGGCATACCACATTCAAAGCAGCCCGGAGTCCAGAAGAAGGCGCACCAGAACCAAACGAAGTAGGTAAGGTTGTCCATGGAGATGAGGAGGCGGCCCCACCATCGCATCTCGTCTGGCCACATGATGGGCACCTTCAGCCCACAGACTCGCTGGATAAACTTCAGCACTTCGGTGAATATGAAGACCATGAATATGAACACGACCAGGCTGACGACCCAGATGACGAACTGAAGCGTCATGGTAATGTAGGTCTCAAAAAGCTCCGGGTGCTGCTCGAAGTAGGCGCTGTGAGCTAGCAACTCAATATTCCGAAACCAAGAAACCACCGGCTGCATTATCTGCTGGTACCGCGCTTCATCCAGCAAGCCCCACTTGACAATCTCCCAGGTGGTGTCGGTCTTGCTGACCAAGCGGAAGAGCGATGCAAGGAAGCAGAAGAAGAAGATCAGGGTGAACCAAACCATGTACACGCCCTTGTGGCAGCTGAAGAACGTCTGGAGCGAGAGGACCACTCCTCCCTCGGCCCATCGCTGCACGGCTGCCAGGTAATCGATTGGGTTCTTCGCCATGCCATAGGACAACCTGCGGTTGATGAACTGCGACCTGCGGCCTCGAAGCACTTGCTGCAAACTACTTGCCGTGTCTTCGACCTTGCAGCTCTCATGGAACGTGCGACGCTCAACGTACTCCTGGCTTCTGCGCTTGCTCTCGGCATCACGAACCCGCCTGCGCTCCTTCTCCCACACCAAATCACCCTGCGGATGCTTGATCATCCATGTGCCGTTCGTTCCGCAAGAGCTGACACCACCACAACAATTTCGAATCATACAGTTCAGCCGGAAGAACTGTGCATTGTTGTTGTCCAAATAGTCAAGCTTGTCCTGCATCTCGTGGAAGAACTGGGGGCATTGGGTGAAGCCCACATATGGGTTGAGTTCCATATCATCGTCGAAGAAGTATGGAATGGTGCTGTGAAAGAAATCCGTTTGGAACTGATGCCTTGCATCGCAAATGCTGTACAAACATGGAAAGTTGTCCCTCTCATCTCCATACATGTTTTCTGGCTTGTCTGCGTAGAGGCACAGGTAGTTCTCAGAGAAGTTCAGCCCGCCCGCCTTTCCACGGCTGGTCCGTAGCGGCACATTGTTCATGAAGGGGTCATCATCCTCCATGCCATACACCATCTCACGAGCCTTTGCACGAAGCCTCAGCCAGTCCTGGTTCTCGGCATTCTGGGGGACCTTGTAGTACCAAGTTCCTGGGGCCACATGCTGCGCCTTGATGGTCCGCTCATCTTCCATGGGCTTAGCCCTCGCCAGGTAGTGCAGGCGGAGCGCCAAGCTGTTGCGGTCCTGCGGCTCCCAGTCGGCCACATCATCCAGGTGGAGGTCCTTCTTTTCTTTCTTGTTGCTTTTAAGATCCTCCTCCAAAGCCTGTAAGGCAATGTCCAGAAGCTCAATGACTTGAGGCGGCATTGAACTCCAACCGCCTTCTTTCCTCAGGCTTCGCAAGGCATTCTTGCCACTCATTCGGGCGAGAATCTCCGGCTCGATCTCCCCAGGATAACCATCCTTCAGCTTGGCCAGATCCATCTTTTTAGTGTCCTCCACCCATTGCTGGAAGAAGCGGCTCACATTCTCCTCATAGCTTGCTCCTCCGAAGTTCGGTAGCTTTTCAATTACGGCCGCAAGCTTCATGAACATTACCTTTTGCTCTGCCCTGTGACCCTCGTCGACGAAGGCCACATGATAGCGACACCGGCAATCCTTCGGCATGCAACCAATGGCGCCCACGATGTTGCGTAACACGGTACATTTGTTCTCGCCTGCACTTGGGACGGTCACAACTATGTACCGCAACTGGGCAGTAAGTTCAGGATCGTAGCGGCGGAAGTGCGGATATGGCGAAAACACACCCGGGCAAAGCATGACTGCCTTCACGCCGAAGCCGATCAGAAGCACATAGCAGAAGAGCCAAACAGGAGCCGTCTGATTTTTCTCATACCCAACAAATCCGATCAGTGCGGACTCGTTGATGTATCCATCCTCGGTGCAGTTTGCCAGAAGTTCTTGATCCGACTGACAGACGTGTGCGCAGCGACCGGAGACGGCAACGCAGCGATCGTTGAAAGGCGGGGGAGCTGCTTGCTGGCCAGGCTTGAATCGCTCGAAGCCATTCTCATAAAGGCTGCTGTTGACTGCGCAGGCCACTAGGTACAATGGCCCCTGCCGACCATAGCACCAACCGGGATCAATCTCTAAACGGTTTAGTTGGTTCAACCTCATTGCATGCTTGCTCACAGGATCCTTGATGGGCAGCCGCTCCTCGTCATACTCATTGTTCCGATGCTTGACAAGTGGCTGGCCATGAAGGTCCACGGGAACTGGTGGGTCGGTTTGAGTGTACTCGGTTTGGTACAGCTTTCGCCACTTGCCTTTCTCACGCGATGACTGCAAGATGAACACACGTGGTTGACTGAAGACATCCGTCCCCTCCGGAATGGGCATGGCACTCACAGTCACACGGAATCGTGGAAGGGAGGTGTAAACAATTGGTGTTTTTGCAGTGCTGTCTGGGTCGCCGCCAAAAGAAGATGTGCCACTTGTGCCACTTGTGTCTCCTGTTCCAAACCCAGAAATGGAGCCATCAGGATCACCCAGGCCGGGGGGCAAACCGCCGATTCCTGGAATGATCTGCAGCCGTCGCATGTCCTGCTCGGTTCTCGGGTCATACATGCACTCGTGACATTGCCAGTGCTGAAAGTTTTCCGTGGTCGTCTCGCATTCACCCGGCATTCGTCCTTCAAGGCACTGTTTCATCTCGACGGCTCCCTTGAAGTTTGCTGTTGGGATCTCCGTGCCAGCAACTGATGAAGACGTCATCTGGATGGTGCCGTCTGCGCTGCAGCCCTGCATCAAGTTACCGTTCAGCACCGAGTCACAGGTCCAGCCACAAACCCCACCAGCACTGTAGCAGTACGCTCCCAGAGCAGCATCATCAAGTTCATGGAGTTGTTCTATCTCTGCAAAGTCATCAGGGCTCCATACCAAACATGCCAAGATGTACATGCCAGAGTCGGCTTGAGCAATGTCAGCGCCCACTGGAGGTCGAATGCAGGAGTCTGTGTCATGCGTGTAAGCATGGCCAGCCGCATCAGACCATGCTCGCCAAAAAGGAGACGGCCATGCATGTCGCCTGTCTGCAACAACCCACCAATCATTGAAGTCTGCCGAGGCTAGCAGTACAGGGTAGACTGTGTGGACATAGGCCTTCGACAACACGGAGTGATTCAATGTAAGACTCACCCTGAAATTCATCTCGTTTGTCCTGTATCCACGCCATGACGAACAGGAGTAGTTGCAGCTGTCTGCATTGCTCGGCAGCGGGGATATCTGGATCGCGTGATTCACGTGCTGGGATGCGCCACGACCACCACCTTCTGCCGCAAGTTCCTGGCCGTTAATGGCAGCAATGGCAGGCCACTTGGGGTATCGTTCGTGCCAGTACTGCGTCGGCATGGGGTTTGTGACCAGCCACTTCGTCCACAGCGGAAAGATCACCAGAAAGATCAGGAACTGGCACACGTAGAAGCAATGGCAACAACACGCAGCTGTGAAGGCAGGTGTGCAAGCACCGAGACCTTAGCAAAGCTCATGCAGACTCGAACTGTGCCGCTGCCATCAGCCGCCACAATTCTAAGACAATGCAAGACATTGCAAAACACAAAAGCCTGCTGCAATTATGCAGTGCATGTGCTGAGCCAGGAACGGCGTCGCTTCAAACTGACCAGTGTCTGATTTTCCGTGTTGTCGTCATCAAAAGCCTCCTCCCCTCCGTCGTGTGCAGCACCTCAGTCACCATCGTTCATCATGTGTGAAGTAGTGAACGACAAGCTTTACACTCAACTGTCAGTCACTGCCGTGCTGTGGGCGGCAGAGCAGCCATATGTATCAGCTCCCGTGTCCTGCATGTCCTCGGCACGCACACTCTTGTGGGATCAGGAATGGCGCGCACACTCTTGTGGGATCAGGAATGACATGTTTGAGTTATACTTGTCAGGCTGCGGGTCCGCTCTCAATGGCCGGTCGAAAACCAACTTGAGCGGAACAAAAACAGCAGATTTCCATGCAGATCCTGCTACCTAGCTTTGTCCAGACGTCATCAACTGCTTGCACATGTCCGCATCTACAGGAAGGTGTCGCTGCTGCCACCAGCGACCAGCTAAGCTGGTGCATCACACTAAGCACCACAGCCACGACAGCAACTTTTCCTTGCAATCCATACAGCGGACGGGAGACTACGTGCGTTTTTGTCAAGTTAAAATGGGCGCAGATGCTATGTGGGCTCATCCTGGAGAGAGCTACGCAACAGCTCAACAAGACTGAAACCAACCAGCTGAGGATTAGTAGTAGTAGCAGTAGTAGTACTGAACTCAATTGACAATGTTCTTGTCGCATCTGCGTTTCCTTGCCCGTGTTACTTCGATCAAGGCGAGGGTTTCCTCTCAAGAGTTTTGGAGTCTAAAATCGATGTATCAGTCGCATCTACCGGGAATCTACCGATTGGTGGTAGACCCGATCATCATGAAGGCCTGGTTCACTCCAATGTATGGCATGAAAAGGACGAGGAAGGGCATCAGGACGAACCAGGCCGGTCCCAGCCACTTGAAGACGCCGGTGACCGCGGAGTTGAGGATCAGCCTGTGGAACATCAGCTCCCACCTTACTGGCTGAGATTTCGAATTTCGGGGGGGGGGGGGGGGCAAGGGTCAATCTGTATATGGTTAAGCCACAAATGCCCCACAATCTCGGGAAAACGCCAAGAGCTTGAAAAGTTTCCCACTCAACACCTCAGCCACCAGCCCCGAGTTACCAAAGCCTGGCTCCATGTAAGCTTGGCCGACTTCTCCTTGGTCATCTTCGTGCGGCCCACCCACAGGTACGTGCATGGGTGGAGCACGTCCAGCGCAATCAGGGAGACGATGAGCACTGCGGACATGACTCCTGTGTGCTTGCGCCCCTCGATGATGTAGTAGATCCATGCACCAATGGCACCCAAGATCAAGAGCAGGGTCCAATATTTCACAAGGTTTGTAGACATCACTCCGCGATCTCCGCCCACCCAGAAACTGATGTCCTCTCCATACAGCTGGTATCTGATGTAATCCTGGGTTCCCTTAATGATGGAGTACAGCAGAAGTGGTGCCGACATGTAGAACAGCTGGGTGGATCGCCAAATGTTGTCCATCGACAAACCAATCACCTCGTTGGCCTCCATGCTCGTTGAGAGGGTGTAGCGCATCGAAGAGGCAATGACCATGCCCCAGCTCAGGATTTGCACCGTAAGCATAAAGGTGAACATGCCCGTGGATGAGAAGTGATATGTTCGCTTTGCGAAGATGCTATAGTAATTGAAGCCAATCCTCAGCACGGCAGATACGCTGCGCGACATGCGCAGGACAGTGTACAGGCAGGCTTCTAAAATGACCTAGGGATTGTGGCTACTACGGGTGCGGTTGTGGAAGCATTGGAAGCCATTGATTGTGTCGCTCGCTATGGTATGTTCTATCAGCAGTCGCTGAAGTCTAGCCAGGGCGCCAGAAGAAAGCAGTCCAGAACCAGAGGAAATACGTCAGGTTGTCCATGGAGATGAGGAGTCGCGCCCACCAGCGCATCTCGTCCGGCCAGACGACCGGCAGGTGCAGGCCGCATCGACGCTGGATGAACTTGAGCAGCTCGGTGAACAAGAAGACGAGCGTCAGGAAAAGGATCAAGCTTGCGACCCAAATTGTGAACTGAAGGGTCATGGTCACGAATGTGTCTAAAAGATCTGGATGGTTCTTGAAGTACTGGCTCTTGGCAACGAGCGCAAAGCTTCGCAGCCACGACACGACTGGCTGCTGAATGGTGTTCGTGTACCAGCTTTCATCCAGCAAGCCCCACTTGACAATCTCCCAGGTGGTGTCGGTCTTGCTGACCAAGCGGAAGAGCGATGCAAGGAAGCAGAAGAAGAAGATCAGGGTGAACCAAACCATGTACACGCCCTTGTGGCAGCTGAAGAACGTCTGGAGGGAGAGGACCACTCCTCCCTCGGCCCATCGCTGCACGGCTGCCAGGTAATCGATTGGGTTCTTCGCCATGCCATAGGACAACCTGCGGTTGATGAACTGCGACCTGCGGCCTCGAAGCACTTGCTGCAAACTACTTGCCGTGTCTTCGACCTTGCAGCTCTCATGGAATGTGCGGCGCTCAACGTACTCCTGGATATGGCGCTTGCTCTCGGCATCACGAACCCGCCTGCGCTCCTTCTCCCACACCAGATCTCCGGAAGGATGCTTGATCATCCATGTGCCGTTCGTTCCGCAAGAGCTGACACCGCCGCAACAATTTCGAATCATGCAATTCAGTCGGAAGAACTGTGCGTTGTTGTTGTCCAGGTAGTCAACCTCGTCTTGCATCTCGTGGAAGTACTGGGGGCACTGCGTGAAGCCCACGTAAGGGTTGAGCTCCATCTCGTCATCGAAGAAGTATGGGATTGTGCTGTGGAAGAAATCAGTTTGGAACTGGTGCCGAGCATCGCAAATGCTGTAGAGGCAGGGGGCATTGTCTCGGGAGTCACCGTACAAGTTCTCCGTCTTGTCTGCGTAGAGGCACAGGTAGTTCTCGCAGAAGTTCAGCCCGCCCGCCTTTCCGCGGCTGGTGCGGAGCGGCACGTTGTTCATGAAGTGGTCATCATCTTCCAAACCATACACCATTTGCCGTGCATTGGCACGTAACTTCAGCCAGTCCTTGTTCTCAGCGTTCTGGGGGACCTTGTAGTACCAAGTTCCTGGGGCCACATGCTGCGCCTTGATGGTCCGCTCATCTTCCATGGGCTTAGCCCTCGCCAGGTAGTGCAGGCGGAGCGCCAAGCTGTTGCGGTCCTGCGGCTCCCAGTCGGCCACATCATCACGATGAAGGTCCTTTTTCTCTTTCTTGAGGTTTCGTAAATCCTCCTCCATCACAATCAGGGCATCCGAAAGAGGTTCAAGGACATGGGGCGGCATCGCTCCCCAGCCGCCTTCCTTCTTGAGTGTTTTCAGTGCGTTCTTGCCACTCATCTTGTCCATGTCTCTTGGATCAACCTCTCCATCGTAACCATCCTTCAACTTCTTGAGGTCCATCTTTTTGGTGTCCTCCACCCACTGCTGGAAGAACTTGCTGACGTTCTCCTCGTAGGTAGCACCCCCGAAATTTGGGATCTTCTCGATGATGGAGGCCAGCTTCATGAACATGAGCTTCTGCTCAGCTCGATGGCCCTCATCGACAAAGGCCACATGGTAGCGGCATCTGCAGTCTTTTGGCATGCAGCCGATGGCGCCAACAATATTCCGCAACACCGTGCATTTGTTTTCTCCGGCGCTCGGAACGGTGACAACGATGTACCGCAGTGAAGATGTGAGGTCGGGGTCGTAGCGTCGAAAGTGCGGGTATGGTGAAAACACACCTGGGCAAAGCATGACTGCTTTGACTCCGAAGCCAATCAGCAGCACGTAGCAGAAGAGCCAAACCGGAGCCGTCTGATTTTTCTGATAGCCCACATATCCCACCAAGGCATCTTGTTTAATGTAGCCGTCCTTAGTTGCGCAGAATCCCTGCCTACCCCTGCAGAGCAACTACTCCAGCAACGAATGATGAAAGCATTCGAAAGCAATGCGGAACTGCACTCGGGGAGCAGCCGTGCAGTTTGCCATGGGGGTCTGGTCGGGTTGGCAAGCATGTGCGCACCGACCGGACACTGCAACACATCGGTCATTGAAAGGTGGAGGAGCTGCTTGCTGACCGGCCTTGAAGCGAGTAAAGAGGCCCTCATAGAGAGTGCTGTTCACTGCACAGGCCACCAGGTAGAGTGGACCCTGTCGGCCATAGCACCAGCCGGGGTCGATCTCCAAGCGATTCTGCTGGTTCAAGCTCATGGCAAGCTTCGAGACTGGGTCTTGTACCGGGGCAAGCTCCTCATCGTAAGAATCCGACTCCTTGACCTTCACCAAGGGTTTCCCATCCTTGCCCACAGCAACGGGAGGCTGCGTCATGCCGTAGTCATTCTTGTAGAGCTTGCGCCATGTCCCGCGCTCGTCCCTGGAGCTCTGCAAGACAAAGATCCGGGGCTGACTGAAAACATCTGTGCCCTGTGGAATCGTAGCTCCACTGACGGTGATGTGGAAGCGCGGCAGCGAAGTGTAGATCGAGGGAGTCTTAGCAGTGGAGTCGCTGTCTCCCCCGCCGCTAATGCCAGGAAGTCCGCCACTAGTATCACCGATTCCTGCGGCAGTGGCTGGATGCAAACTAAACGCTGCAGCTGCCCACTACTGACAGGAACATGTTGAGTCTGGCTCGAAACTCTACGGTGCGTAGTGCTGCACCGTGCTGGACCTAGTGACCCAGTGCACATGCGTCACAGTGCAAAGAGTAAGCTAAGAGTGCTCCTGGGAGTGGGCTATCAGGATCGTCCATCCCAGGCAAACCTGAGGGTAGACCGCCAATTCCTGGAATGATTTGGAGGCGTCTTCGCATGTCGTCCTCCGTGCGAGGGTCGTACAAGCACTTGTGGCACTTCCACTGCTTGAACTTCTCCGTTGCCGTCTCACACTTCCCCGATGTAGCGCCATCCAAACACTCTCGCATCTCCACGCTGCCCTGGAATGCGGCCGCTGGGATCTCTCGACCAGCAACGGAGGATGAAGTCATCTTTATGGTGCTGTCTGCGGTGCAGCCCTCCAACAAGTCGGAGTTCACCACCGAGTCACACGTCCATCCGCAAACACCACCTGCTGTGTAGCAGTACTGGCCAAGGTCCGCATCATCCAACTGAGTTTTTGCTTCGAGCTCAGCAAAACTGGATGGGCTCCAAACCACACACGCCAGCACGTAGACGCCAGAATTGGCTTCACGGGTCACCTTCGAACCTTCCGGTGGGCTGATGCATGTGTCGGTGGTGTAAGTGTATGCGTGTCCAGTCTTGTCTGTTTTTGCACGCCAGAAGGGTGATGGGTAGGCATGTCGCCTGTCTGCAACCACCCACCAATCCGCAAAGTCCGCACTTGCCATCAAAACGGGGTAGATGGTGTGCACATAGCCCTTGTTGAGCACAGAGTCGTTGACCGTCATACTCACGCGGAAGTTCATCTCGTTGGTGCGGTAGCCACGCCATGACGAGCAGCTGTAGTTACAACTGTCTGGTTCCGTTGGGATAGGTGACATCTCGATCGGATATTGCACAAGGCTTTCTTCGGCAAGCTCCTGTCCACCAATCGCAGCGATGGAAGGCCACTTGGGGTACTGCTCGTGCCAGTACTGTGTTGGCATTGGGTTCGTTACGAGCCACTTTGTCCATAGGGGGAAAATGATCATGAACAGGAAGAACTGAACAACATAGCAGCAATGGCAACAGCAAGCAGCGGTGAGCGGAGGCCGGCATCCACCTCAGAAGTTACAGAGTCCCACATCCCGAACATCCCCTATCGCTTGCCATGACAAGTGGATCATATCGAACCCTGTGAGGAGCCCACGGGGTTGCTTCACATTCTCGCCAAAAACGTCATCCATGCTGTCCTCGTCTTCCGTGTCCAGCGACGACGTGGCGGCATCAACATCTGTGGAGGAGCCTGACCAAGAATGTGGACCACTTTGCATTCAACCAACATGGACTGCCAAAAGCCAACAGTTGTTCAGAGGATAAGCCCAACACCATCGTATCCATAGGCGTAACCTGAGCACATGAAACCAAGCGAATGAAAACCACTTCAATCGCCCAACAGGTCCGATGCAGGGTGCAAGCCCTCTTGCCGGCAGGGGGCCGCCATTGGCCTGAATGAGGTGGTCTCGAGAACCCATGACTCCGATGTTGGCCTGACCGCAGCAGTCGAGACCATGCTTTGACGTACCCAGTATATCCCAACACGAACATACCAGAATCTGTTGGCTCTGCAGCAAAGTCGCTTGATGGCGCTGTTGTACTCGTTTCTGCCTTGGCTTACTTACTGATGGGCCTGCGGCCGACTGCGGCCCTTCCTCAAGACGGAACTCAAGACGCAACTGTTCATTATAATTCCTAACTTGCGGTGGAGCGGCAGATCGGGTGCAAAAAGGAGCCCTTCCTAAAGCTTTGACTTGAGAGGAAGCGGCTACAACGGTTACTTCTGCCCAACATGCACTTCCTTTGAGCGCAGCAACGACTGTCGACTCGACATCTTGACGACATGAAACAACGTGGCACATCATGACACGTGTCCGCAACCGAGGGGAACAGCACTCTGCAGCACTCTGACCCAAGCCTCTAGCGCTGCGACCAGGATGTTTGTAGGGAGGAGATTCCAACACCAACACCTCCCCAAGGCATCGCTGCTCGCTGGTGACCCTTGTTCTTGGGCGTGTGGGCCTTGGTGCATGCAAGGGATCGCAAGGGATCGCAAAGTTGGCTAGGAGATCGGAGGCAGCCCTGAAACTTTGCAGCCGTGAATCTTCGATGCTCTGCACGATTCTGCCAACAGCACCCCTGTGTGATGCCTGAAGCCAGAAGAAACATCCATGAATCACAACAGGACTACCACGAGCTGAGCTTGCTTCCATCCCCCGAAGCCCCTTACCTTAAGAACACCAATCTACTCTCTTCTAGGTTACCTAGGAATCCCATAGCTTCTTTCAAAAACACAAAAACAGTGGGAGTCTTGATATCTTTAGGGGCTCGATGGTGTGTTCACCTTAGTCCACCAGCGGCCAAGCCTCTAAACCCTGCAAACTCTATAAATCCTATAGACCCTGAACCCCCCAACCCCGCTTTTGTTTTAACCCAGACTCCTGAACCCCTAAAAAAGCCCCAAACCCTGAGGTCCAGTCAAGGGATCAAGGGGATTCGGGCCTTGGAGCCGGTGTCCAGGCCCGAATTGGCCGAGGAGGCCGTGATCCTGCGCTGCTCTCAACATCATGGCTTGGGTATCTGCCGTGTGGCCTACCTCAAGCTTCTTAATCAGTAATTATGGCCATGCAAATTAGCAGGCTGCGAAAATGCTGCTTCTGCTGTTGCAGTGCTTGATAGATCTTGGCAGGTTGGTGACCTTCAGTGTCATCAACTAAGGTGCCAACGCCGTTGCGCTCGCAGTCGACGTCCGCGCAGCTCTGTCTTCAACATTCTTAATGGACTTCCTGAGGGCACAATGTGGTCGGTCCATCAGAATTTAGGCGACAGGCATGACCTAACACGCCTTGAGCTCATCGCAGGCAGCGGTGCCGTAAATGCTGCAGGTGCAGGACCTTCACCTTCCTGCAATACAGCGCGAAGACAGCACAAGCAGCAGCAAGAGCAACGGCTCCAGATAGCTCCCGGTACTTATTTGCAGAAACTCAGTCCTCGTAGTAGATCTCCTCGATGTGTGTCGTCTCCTGGTCCCCCAAGTATGCGCTCGCACCCGGTCCAGCCAATTTCTTCGAGCTCCTCCGGGCATTTACGCATTGATGGAAGCGACGGGCGGCAGAGACCGTGCCTCTTTCTTCGCTCACTCGTGTGTTCGGTAAGTATTTTTCTAGCAGTAAATCTAAGCAACATCAGCAGCCAAGCGTCGTCTTGATCCTGGTTTCTTTCGTGTGGGAATGTGTGTGCCTCGGCTGCACCACCCAGAGATGTTGTATACACATATATAAGTATAGATGTATACGCACATTACAGATGATTTTTATATCTACATACATGAATCAGTAAATACAAACTATATATATATATATACTGTATATATGGAAGATATAGACATACATAGACAAATATTTCACACTCTGTAAGACCAAGTCGCGTGTGAGAATGCGTGTGGGAAGTTGTGTGAGAGTGCGTGTGCTTCTCTACCACCTCGGCCGCTGAACAGCTCACTGGTGAAGATTTGCGAAGCTGGGCATCAATATATGTCAAACGTCAAACGTGCCTGCTGCATCGCACACCCATTTTCCAAGGGCTTGCAGAGACATCGCTGTTGGCCAATGCAAGGCGCGATAACTGTCGACATGAAAAGCCTTGGGCAACCAACATTCCACCTCAAGGGCAAGCCTATGTACACTGGACTCTTCTGAAACAAGCCTAGGAGAGAAGTTCGCGAATTTTGCAATTCTGCTCCAGGTCCCGAACTACGGCCTGCACATCCGAAAGCATCAGTCGTGGGCAACACAGCATTCGTGTAGCCTAAGGCTGACTAACATGGCTCCTATAGGGCTAGGGCCAGCGGGACTAAAAAATGATCAACGATGTTACGCCGAAGCCTGCCGCTCCAACTCGCGCAAGCAAACGTGCGCGGAGTTCTCGGCTGCCTCCTCCAACTCCGCCTCCAACCTTGACAGCTCTGCTGCTTGTTGCTCTGACATACCAGAACCCCCCCAAACTGCCCTTTAATCAAGGGGACTTATATACCCTAGTGTTATGGTTAGAGGGTAGTTGGGGGGTGCTGGTAGGTTTCTCAAATCTCCCGCTGGCCTCAGCTGGACAGACCGAGCCAGGCCTCGGTACAGAGTCATCACAACTCGACTATCGACTGTTGGTGGGCGAATCAGGGAGCCAAGTCAGGAAATAAGACAGACATTACGGGAACACACGGCGTTGGCACAAAACTTGCTGAGCTGGGCTGGTTTGAGTCTAAACGCACTGGATGGAGCGCCTGCTGAAAATAACGTTGCCGCGCATCGGTTCTGTCATTTTGTCACCTTTTCCTTGCTTCAGTTCGATGAGCCTGCACACAGTAATGTGTGGGTGTCAACGTTCCGTCCCCTCCCTTCTTCATAGAACATCGGCAGAACTCACCAAACGTGTGCTGGGTTCCAACATGTTGTGCGTCCCCTTGCCACCTGGAATTCACCGAATGAGACGGTTCGGTTTTAGGACCTTTTCCATGACAGCGGCGGGCTTCAATATGCTGCCATGCTGCCCCTATTTCTGCTCCTGGAAGTTACTTCATGACAGGGTTCAGTTTCAAGATGTTGTCCCTGACAGCGGCGGCAGCACACTGCCTCCATGTTCAAGGCTGAAACGTCCTTAGATACCAGCTACTAGTCACTCCCGCAGTACCTCACAGAAACGTAGGAAGAAGAGGGGTTGGCTTTAGCATAAACTTCCGCATGGCCTGTTGCCTGGACACTTAATCAGAAATAGAAAGCTGAACCGCAGGACGCCCTAAAACTTCACCGGGCCCGCTTCCCCGCCCCCAAGTGCTGAGAGACCCGGCATGCCTGTCGCAGGCACGGCGACACGGACCGAACCGAACCAAGCGAAGCGTCTAAGAATCGACAACAGGCACGTGATAGGTTAGGTCCATTGCAAACAGTACAGAATGCAACCATGCCCGCCATGCAAACGTGTGTGAGTGGTACCGGGCAATTGACACGAATGGCAAGTCTCCAACACATCGTGCGTGTGCTAGCCAGCAGCTAAAAACCCAGCCCCATATCATCCTCCCGGAGCAAGCCGCTTGCATCAAGTGTTGTTTGGCTCTACTGCATGCCTTTTGCCTGCCCGATTTTGCTCCCCTGCCTGACTTCCACTGCTGTCGCTCTTGGGCTTACAAAATGAAAACAACCACTTGCAACCAGCCATCCTGTGAATGTCTCTGCACCAGGCTGAGTGGGGTGGAGCCACTTTCGTCCGTCTCTTCGCGGTCAGCTCCTCCATTAAGAAGGACCTGTGTGGGCCAAGGAAGCTATGCTTCTGCTGGCTTTAGCAGCACATACAGTAGAAGCGCAGCGAAAGATCCTCTCTTGGCGCGAGGCCTCCACCATCTTGCAATTGTTCAGGCAGACTGCCTTCAAGTGAGGCTGTTAAGAGCTCTCAAACGAGACTTCGCAGCTGAAAATGGACGAAGTTGAAATCACTGTCTACTCAGTCCACTCTGTGGAGACACGTTTACTGGAAGCTCGTCAATCCATGGGTCAACGCATGTCAACGCACCTTCATCATACAAATCAAACTTCGCATAAAAACGAAAAGCCCTGAAAAGCGCCAGAATCTTCGGGGCCTCTGGGGCCTTTCAGGGGCTTTCACAGGCCCTCCCAGACCCCGGCGGCCTTTTCACCAGTTTTAGTCAAGGGTCGGAGGCCCCCTTAATTAAAACCCCGTCCCCCCTTGAGAGCTAAAGTTTGCATTCAAAAAACATTGTTTGGGCGTCTACAAGGAGGCCGTCGTGGGGGGCCAAAGAAACAAAACACAGAGTCGAAATCTGTGTGGAATGTGAGGTCAGACTGCAACCGGTGGGAGGCCCTCGATACATGGCCAAAGCCAGGCTGAAGCAAACCATGCCCTCAACCCTAAACCCTAAACCCAAAACCCTATGGCTGGCCACCGGTTCACGAGTTTCATGCCTTTGCCTGGTGCAAGGCCGTGAAGCTGAACTCCGAGCCAGACCAATTGGCATCCGCCTCACGGCTCATCCGTCATGCACTATATTCCGTTTTCCAAAAGAATACATTCTGAAAACAGAAGACCAGAATGATATGAAGAGTAGCATCAAACAAGAAAAGTCAAACGCACCACATCGCAAAGCCAAGCACGGCCTTCGCTGCGAGCAGCACCTGCTGCCCGGAACATCAGGAAAAATCGGTGAGAATGATTATGAATCGCTCTCGCGCCCCACCTGCCTGTGCTATCTGCGGATCGTCCAAACCAGCAGCCCTATAGAGTGGAGTTTCCCTGTCGGCATGATCCTCCTCACGTATCAACGGTCATGAGCATGGCTCCGGCCCCCTTGACCCTGGCCACGATCCTCGTTGACATTGGCACCGCTGCTTAGAAGCTGCTCCACCTCGCGCCGGGTAAGCCGTTGCTGACTATTGCTATGGCTCATTCCTGCCAGGCACTGTCTAGTGCAAACCGCAAGTGGGAAACGGGTGGCTCAGAAAGCGCAAAAGCCTTATTGACTCTGCACTATTCGACAAACATGATGGCCAGGTGTGAGGGAAAGCGTGTGAAGGCGATGTCCAGACAAAGCCGTGCATCAACAAAAAGGAGCTTTGTTGTCCAGACATCGGCATGTGGGAAGTTGCTGAGCGGATTCCTCAGGCTGGCACCAACCTCACGTCTCCACAGACCACTGCAGAGTGAAGGCTAGGCGCTGCAGGCGCCCCGTCCACAGCATAGCCCTTACAGCTCTTGCTGTCCATTGTCTATCTACCGGTTGCTGCAACTGGCCTGCATCTGGCTGAACACATCACCTTGACCCCTTAAACTTAAACAACAATTTGCGGCATCCTGGGTCACAGCGTCTTAGACACGATGATTGAACATCATACATAGTCTTGCCTGCCCTCGTTGGGACTAGCTGTCACTGTAGGTTGGAGCAGCACTTACATCTGCTAGTGCTAGCGCGGCTAGCCTACGGGACACTGTGAGCCAGCGAAGACGCAGCACCCTCGTTCGCCACATGACGGTATCTTTCAGACTCACATGCCAATGTGGCATGAGGCTCGGGCCTTCGTCCTGCCAGGCTCCCAGGCATGGGCAATCTGTCCCAAGAAACGCTACCGGCAAACGAAACACCGCATCAGTCCTGACTCCTGGCTCGTCATCCACCTTCTCAGACAGCGCCATAGAGCCGTCTCTTCTTACAGACATAGCCAATGATGGAGTCTGGGCCAGCACCATGGAGCCCTCCCTGACGGACAGTGCCAAAGATGGCTGCCGAGACTCAGACTCTGCCAAGTATTGTATTGCGTCGGTGTTTTCCATGGCTTCTTCCGGCAGCGTGAGAGGCACCGATGATCCCGAATCCAACGAAAAGTTGGCTGGCCCCTTGCCCTTTGGACCCACTCTGTCGGATAATGTCGTTGATGGCTGCTTGCTTCGGGAACTTGGGCCACTCGGCTCAAGCCCATCCAGCTTGCCGGAGTCTGCCCGGCCAGAAAGGGCTTTCGAAGTCGGCCTGGATGTTGAGGGAGAATTCAACCTTTCCGACAAGGAAACGGAGCTCTGCGGCGAAGAAACTTGAGTCCAACGAGGTGTGGTCGCAAACTGAGCCGTGGCTGAGGTGACCTTCTGCGACTTGGACTTGGAGACCATGGTCAACTTCTGGGATTTGGCACCGGCTCTGGGAGGGGAATCAAGCCGTGCTGCGCGACTGAGGCGTTGTGAACCAGTCAGCGGAGAACCCAGAAACTGGGTTGGCATCCTGCCACACTGGAGCGGGGGGTTCAACGCTTGATTCACCTTTAACTCACCTTGACTCGCTTGACCCCAACTTCAAGCTCACGCTCTCACGCACCGCCTTGGGCCCATCAATTTGGTGCTGCCTCCGAACCTTAGCAGGCTGGCACCGAACATGCAGCCGAAAGCAGAAACGGCACAGGACTGCGTGCGCGAATTCCGGCTTCCCACAACCCGGACAGTCCACAACGTCTTCAAGCATCTTCTGATGAATTCGGACGTGCAGCCCCGGCCGATTCCAGTCGCGGTCGTAAAGGTTGCCTGCCTGGTTATCTCGGACCTGGAGCATGCAATAAACGCGTCAATATGCGTCAATGCTGGGTGCGACATCAAAGATTATACTGTGCTATGCTGCAATGCTGTGTTTTTCTTTCCAGCACTTTCGCTACGGCGGTGAAGCTGAGGCCCCAAGCATCCTGCAGCAGTCCATTAAATGCCGAGGCCTGAGGTTTCGTTAACACTGGCAGCCTGTAGTCTTGGAAGGAATGGTCAGCATGTGTCAGTATAGCTTTGGGAAAAAAATGCCTGCCTCCCATATCTGGGACCCCTGCCACCTCAACAGCGCGTCTCACTTTCCGCCAATTGGGCCCATACCCACATTCATCACCACCTTCAGGCAGGTCCGCAGGCTGCGCTGTTACTGCAGGAGGCAGTTCCCTGCCTGCCAACGATCTGTCCTCCTCTTCGTCTTCACTGTTCGGCCTGGTTGTGTGCATGTCACGCACGTTTCGTTGCGGTGGCCACATCATCGGCTGCTAGAACCAAGTCATAAACCCCCGCTCGCATTCTCTCTCCTCTGCTTCTTCTTCTTCTTCTTCTTCTTCTTCTGATTCTTCTGCTTCTGTCGGGCTTGAGGGCCAGGACCAGGAAAGGTTCCCCTGACCCCCGCGCGCCTGACTTGAAGCCGCGGAGTCAGCGTGATACGGAAAGAAAAGATGATGAACTCACACGCTCTCTCTCTCTCTCTCGCTCTCTCGCGCTCTCGCGCTCTCTCTCTCTCTCTCTCTCTTCTGCACAGCGGAGAGGCCCCGCCTAGAGGGAACCACCTCACTCTCTCTCTCTCTCTCTCTGTCTCTCTCGCTCTTTGCTGGCAGGGCACTTGTCACCGATCTCAGCTCCTCGTATCTGGCCTTCCTTCAGCATCCCCTGGGACACGACACGGACGCGGCCCCTTCAGCTGGGTGTCGCATTCAGTCAGCCAGCCTCCAGTATGTTGCCAACACCTCGTGATCCACCAGAACCTGCGCGCAAGCTTCGGGTTTCCGCCCTCTTCTGCGACTTCCAGCCCGCTGCAACCCGCGGATGCACAGGGATCAAGATGTGTTCCACCTGCCTAGTTAGCAAATCTTTCCGGACATTTTTTGGAGTACAGCCCCGCACGAATCGGTTCCTCGGTGGTCAATGCTACACGACTACACGAGCTTCGCCATCTTCCCTGGCTCACATAACCACCTGCAAGGCAGAAACGAGGCTGTGATGCTCAACTGGCAACGCATTCAAGCCCCTAACCACGCATGTCGTCCAACTTGGATCCTCCACTGAGATTACATTCCAAGACCGAGCCATGTGAACCCCGAAGCAGCAGGCTGCTGATGATACTGGACCAAGCCATGGTAACATGCCTCTTGGTCAGGTTTGATTCTGTTGCAAGCACAGACACGGGAGATCGCACTTGCGCGTCTTCAACTCTGGATGATACCGCTCCATGAGAAGCTTGGAATATGTGAACCTTATCAGGCACAACCACGGTTCCGACGACGGCTGCAACGCCCAACTTCCAATGTGTCTTGCCTGAACTCAGCAAAGTGGCGGCAAGTTGCTTGTACAGCGCGAGGAGCCGTACAGCGCCACGTATCGCTCCAAGTTGTAACAGAGCCTCGGCATGCATGAAATTTGCTGTGTAAGTGCCCGTATTCCTTGTCAAAAAGTGCTTATAGCTGCTACTGGATGCTGCGCTGCTATGCACTATCAGGGGCCCGTTCATATTAAATGTGCCTGGCTGCTGGCAGTTGGGATCTTTGCCTCGATATTTTGCCTCAAATAACAGCAGACGGCTGCCAAATTCTGTCTCAAAGCGAAGAAGTTCTCCGGAATACTTGCCCCAGTATGAGCCCGAAGCCGGCTGCTCCTTGACAAGATGTTGATCTTCTCGCCTCTGTTCAACAGCAATTACGGTTCCGGAGCAGGCGCTAGGACTCAAGCCTCACCTCATTTTCAACTCGTAGGTTGGCTTTCCCACCGGTCCGGAGTAGTGGCGGAAGGCTGCATCTTTCGGACCTGCCAGTGGAATCTCCTGCCAGAATAAGATGCGCTGCTCGTCTTGCAAAATGTAAAGGCGCTCTAACTGCCTAACTGCAGCCCTCCTTGTCATTGTGCATCTGTGCTGCTTCTTCCCAAGGCATGATGGTCCATCCACGAGCGGCCAGAGCATACTGAAGCGCAAAGTCTGACGAGTAAATCTCTTTCGAGAATTTCTCCCCGAGATAGTTCCTTGGCTGCTTGGTGGGACCCAGCAAGCACCAAGCATTAAAAAAACCAGCTTGTGTCGAGTATCCAGTCAATCTCAGCGACGCGCTCATCTGAAAGAGCATCCAGTATAGCTTCTCGTCTGTAGTAAGACCCTCCACACAAGCCAGCCTGGACATGAAACACACTGTACATGCCCTGCTTTGGGCATGCTTCGCACTCCAGGCGATTCAGGACTCCAATGCTCGGAGTTCAGGTCCGGGCTTGCTGGTTCTTCTTGCGCCACCTTGAATGGCGGCATGGCTAACAGCTGCAATGATACGGTTAATGCTGTGCAAACGGCGCAAACACCGTGGGCGAAATGGGTAGGGTTTTCTTGAGCTCACCACAACAGGCTTATACGCAAATCTTGAACGGGGGCGAAACCAAAGCACGAGTAAGGGTGCTTGGGGCTGCACAGCAATACTATCACCAGCCAAAAGCCCATGGGCATTGTTTCATGTGTCACATGGAGAACTCCAGCAAGTAGCTACACAAAACAGCGTCCCAGCACAGTCTCATTGTTTCGTTGGTGGAACGAAACGCCGTTGCCCAATGTTTCGCGAAATCACTCTAGGCAAACCTTGCGTAGCCCTTGGAGACAGGCTTTGTTCGACGCGGACACATACACAACATTGCCCTTGGTGGGGTTGGTACACTTGTCCATGCTTTCTTGCACTCGGCAGGTATGCTTGCTCTGCCAGAGGGGCGCGCAACGCAATCTGAATCGCCAGTCTTCCGTTGTCAGAGTAAATTCAACCCAATTGCGAAGGCCGATGTGTGCAAATCAAATCAAAGCTTTCAAGCGAACATTGAAAAGCTGGTGTCCGAACCTCTTCATAAATTGTCATAGCATTATGGGTTCGCACTGAAGTAAATCGAAAAACACAACTAATAGCATCTTCCGATTCAAAAACTAGTGACAAACATCGAGCAGGTCGGCATCTAGCACGTCAACGCCGTCAACATCATCCAATAGTACAACATCAACCACATCATCAACCAGCACCCCTATGTCGAGCACATCAACCGAGGTCGCAATTCTGAACGTGTCGCATTTGACAAAGCCACTTGTACCCATGCACACGTCGCTTGGCAAGCTTCTCAACCTTTGCAGCAGGGGTGTCACAGCACAGGCAATTCGAGAATTTCCGAACATGCAAGCGCATGGTCCTTGTGGAAAAGAAACAGCCAAGAGGACTATTGGGATAAGCCCAAATAGCTTCACGGAACGCATTCCGCGAACAACTTGGCATCAGACATAGTCTGCACCAGCAAAGCTGCGATCTTTGACCAGCACTCCTCCGGCATCATGCTCTGGCGGCTTCTTGATTGGACCATGAATCCTTGCAACTGCACAGATTCTGATGGCTGTTAGACCCTGGTAGACCCAACATGATCAAAACTCCTGCCGCGACTCCATCTGCAAGACCCGAAGGATTAGGCGCGTCGCGTGTTGTCAGGCTCCAGCATGATGACGAACTCCGTGTTCAGGGTCTCGGCCGCATCGTACAGCCTCACACACGCAGCCGGGCTCAGGATGGAACATTTCAAACTGAGCCCCTCGCCTCCGAAAGAAGGGCCAGGGATGCCAGCGGTCGTTGGCAGGGGGGCAAACAGTTGCGCTGCAACCTTCACCCAGCAAGGCATGTTCAGAGACCTGACGCGACCCTTGCGCTTGTCCTGCTTCCGACTCTTGGAATCACACCTGCAGCCCCCCCGAAGAGGTCCAATGTGGTTCAAGAATTGTCAACGCAACAAAACCGAACGGACACAAACCCCATCAAGTTCCGAGCATGCCCCGAACGGGCCGCCGAACAGATTTCGCACGAACTCCGGGGGAGGAAGGGGGGCTTCGAACTGGCATTACACGGGCCTTGACATTTCCACTCTCGTACTAGATTGCAGCACTTTGCATTCACAGCTTTTTGAGCTTCTTGAACTAGGGCCACGGGAAAGTCCAAGACTGACCAGCTGCAGGCTGAACTCTGTCCCTGCTGGTTCCCAATGCAAACTTGAATATATGGGGTGATGCCGCAACAGTCAAGCTTCACCTCGCCCCCTCCAACAGCAAAGGCAATGCTGGGACCAGCAGAACTGTTTCTTGAACCCTGTCTGGTTACCGCGGTTTCCTTGCATCCTCTGGGTTCATGGCAGTCGTGTCGCAAGCAGTTTGCTCGCATGTGTTTCTTTCTGCGACTGCGTCTCACTACAACTCAGCTAAGCCTTGCCGCGGCGCCTTCTGTGTGATTGCACAAGGGGCCAAAATCCAGCCCACCATCACCTGACTTCGACATGGTGGTCTCAAACTCCCTGCAGTGCGGTTCTGCAGACAAGCGGCTCATGATGTAGATGGGCGATGTCGGAAATACCTCCTTGAGTTTCCGCACCTGGAGAAACCAGAGGAAGTTTTATGAAGCCCACATCTTTCTGTGTAACTCTGCAGCCTCAATCTTTCAAAGATCTCAATTCTCCGAGCCCACAAAAAGGGGTGAGCGGTGAGGACCAGCGAGGAGGGGGGTTGGTGAGGAGGGGAGTGACCACAGAGAACGCCTCTGCGCTTTGGACTTCTCTCGACAATGTATGCATGAGATCATATTCTATACTGCGAATGCTTACTAGTACCTGAAGTTCCTTTCTCTTCTGCTAGCTGGCAATTGAGGGCACACAACTGGGCAAAGTCTGAACAAGGATGAGCCTTTGCAGGCTGCACAGGACATCCAATGTCACCTAACCGATTCGAAGGCGGACCTGGTAGAGAACTGCGGCAGGAGAGTGGAAGACGTGCAGGTAGAAGCCGTACTTCTCAACTTGGAGCTTTAGCAAATTAGTTCACCACATTCTGCAGGTCTTTTTAAGGTCGAAGCCGTGCTTCTCTGCGCGGCCTCCAAGCCAGGGCATCTGCACCAAAACCCTGCACTAGAGGCGGCTGAGGGCAGTGCTGCCATCGGTGGTGGCAATAGGAAGCGCAGGTTCGCCTGCAGGCACTTGATGGCACAATTGTTCGTGTCAAATCACCACCTTCAGGCTGCCTGTATTCGGCGAACGGCTGCGTAGCAACATCTTGCCCGGCTCACCTGGTCGCTGAAGCCCTAGCTCTACCAAAAGATGCACAGGACCACTGCACCATCTAGTGCAACGCAACACAACCACCCATTGTGCCCCGCAGCAACTTCACAAGAGTCATACAAGTGGCACAAGCTCGCAAGGTCGTTGTCGCAGGGCTTTTGCTGCAATTCAGGATGGTATCTTTCGATTAAGCGATCAGAATACCTCGGCTGCATGTCGCAGAAAGAAGGAAGTCTGCCAGTCACTCAGCCGAGGATCTCAAACGGCTTTTGATTTGTGCATCGATCTGTCCCCCATCGCGCAACATAGCGATCGAAGCTGTAACCTTTGCTCAAGCTCCCACAAGTTCAAGACAAGTGCTGGGTTATGCTGAGTTCAGAGATTTTCGCCATGTCACAGACTTGGCACTTTGGATCGCTTCCCTGGGTACAGGGAAGGATGGTGCCAAGGGAGATGGCCAGAGAAGCTCAGCAAGTCGGTTTTAAGGGCCTGGTGCTCTGCATACTCCTTGAAGAGCTTGGCATCACCCGGCTGCGCTTCCGGCGCCTCACAAGGCACATCAAGGCACTCAAAGCAGTAACTGAAGTAAGTATGACTGTCTCTATCTGTCTCTCCTCTCGTCCGCCCAGACATGCTGTGTTTGGGACTCAGCATCGACTTTGCGGTTCAAGGCCCCCACGTATGTCGGCTGACTTGCTGGCCGGGCGTAGTGATGGAAAGTTGCAGCTGGGCTTTCCGATGAGGGGAGAACCTGCCGGGTCTGTGTGGTGAGCAAGCGAGGACCGCGGACGTTGTGGGCACCTTTCCTCGCCTGGTCATCATGTACTTGAGCAGCTTCAGACCATGGCATAACCGTCCAACCGCGTGCTGCAAGGGCGTACCTTACAGAAAAGGTCTTGGAGCGAGCCTGCAAACTATGCAGCTGAAGCGTAGGCACTGCATGGCGAAGTCTGAGGAGAAGATCTCCTCAAACGTAAATCTGAAGTGCCAGAGACTGCGAGCTTCTTTTGTCTCCGGTGTTTCGTTCTCCCTCAGCAAGCGGCCCTTCCTTTTTGAAACTCGCCACCCGTGCCGCGTAGGAGTTTGCCTGCGGCTTGCAAGCCTTGTCCACATCGAGCTGCTTTGAAGCCGCAGTCAGTCCTCTCATGTCAGTGTGCGGCGGTGCAGCGGGAATGTCTTGCTCTAAAGCGTTTTAAGCGCGAGTTGGCTTTGCACTAGAGCTGGTTGGTGGGAACGGCGATTAGCCAAGGAGCCTTCTGCACCGTCGCCCAGCGGCCCAGCAACGCTTCCACGTCCTCCGAGTCGCTCTCGGAGGCCTCCGGCTCTTCTCCAAGCTTGCGACGCTTCTCGCGGCGCTCCTTGGTTCTTCACGAGCACAGGGCACAACCCTCACGCCTATCAGGGTCGCGTCGACACTGGCAGCTCACAGAAACACTTCTCAATCAAACACCCAGAGTCGTCCTCCTCTGCCTGTAGGGCCTCTGGGGCATAGGCTTCACCCAGCGACCATGCTCTCTCGCCGCCATAGAATTGCACAAACAGTGCATTCACCTTGAACTTCTCCGACTCAGGCAGCGCATTCCTGCTTGAAGCTGGCACTGGAAGCCGTCACTCAATAGCCCACCCTAGAAAATACGCATCCTACTCCAGTACTCTTCAGTTCCTACTGACATGTAGTACTCCCTGTGTATGTATCAGTTCTTAGGCAAGAAAAAGCTTAGAAAAAGATTGTCTTTTTACCAACCGAAAGGTATACAAAAGGGGAAGCCTGGAACAGCCAAGCTGCAGGGCGCCCCGGTAGAAGCCTGCTACGGCCCGCGGTGCTTCCAGTGCCAGCTCCTCGGCACGCTTCCGCTCGCGAATTTGGTCCAACTTCAGCGCCATGATTCGCTTCTGCGTGCCATCTCCAACACAACGAAAGTTTAAGCCCATGTGCTTGCAGATCTGCCGGATGTCTTCTCGTCCAGTGCTGTTGACATCTGTCCCGAAGCCAAACTCCAATCGCAGCGGGTCTTTCGAAAAGGCCTCTAAGGGCCTCCAGTGGGGTGAGCTTTGCAGTCGATTCCAGCCTCTCTGATAGGCCATGAACTGACACACGAGCGTTAACCTCCCTCACTCGCTTGAGCCGGGACTGGCAGCATTCCGGACGCCACATGGATGTGTAAGCATCAGAGCCAGCCGAGCTTGATTGATCTCCGCCGAATTTCCCCTGGAGCCTAAGCCTAACCTTAAGTCAGCGCTACCAAGCAAGAAGCTCCTTGCTATGGTTCTCGGCAAGCGTGTTCCAGTCTATCTTTGCCACGTTCTCATCCGCAAAAGAATCCAAGACGGCAGCTGTGCGGTAGTAGGACCCTCCAAGAAGGCCAACCTTCCGGGCTTTGCAACGCCACTCCGTAGTGTTGAACGATTGCGTGTTGTACACTTTGCGCTGTTCTTTCCTAGCCTGCTGGCTAGTGGGGTTCCACTGGAATCCGGGCACACGCAGACGAGCCAGCCCCTCGACCTGGGCCCAGGATATCCTCACCAAATGAGTATAGGAAGAACCCCCCCATGGCTGGGCTGCTCTCAGCTGTGCCCCAAACATCTCCGAAGCTGAGACCGTGGCATAGTCACTGCCACCAAGTCGTCGATCCTGACGCTAGAGATGTTCGAAGTCTAATTCGGGGCAGACGCTGTGTGAATATCTGCAGCAAGCAGCAGAAGAGTGGTTCCCAAGATATAGAGCAAACATACAGCAAACGCACGCAGCCGCCTTCAGAAGCACGCCCCCCGCATCGAAGTCGGGCTTGCGCCGTATAGTCCCATGAACCCTGGGAGGAAATGGATCTGCAACCGAAATGCTGTGAAGAAGTTGAAGTTTGAGCCCTCCGTATCCAGCTCTATCCTTGTAGATGCAGGATGTTGTTCTGGGATCGGCATCTAGAATAGCCCAAACCGGCCCAAACCTATATGTGTCAACAATAGCACCGCCTCCAACATTATCACGGACGTCGACAGATATCTGCTACATGAAGATGAATCACGCAAAGCGACGTAGTGTCAGGCTCCAGCAATATGACGAATTCGGTTTGCAAGGCTTTTGCGGCATCATGTAGCCTCCTCAAGAAGGGCCACCTCATCTGGCTTGCATGCGAAACCACGGGACGGAGAATTGGGACATTCTCTCCGCTTGACTGCGGGACTTCACTGAATTCCTGCCAGCGGCGGATGCCATCGGTCATTAGCAGGTGGACATAGCACAAAGGTGCAGCCCTCCACCCCACAAAGAGGCGCGAAGTCCAGGTATCCTGAGTTGATACTTGCTGATATTGAAATTCTTGGGCTACAGAACATCTTCAGATCACCATCGCGGCTGGGTCCCAGCCAAGCTTCCGTCACTCATCACATAAATCCTTGTGAAGCCAACTCTCCAGCAACTACGGTAGAAGGGGTGCAGCGAAGGTGCAACACAAAGCAGTCATCTTGCGAACCCAGCATCGGGGATCCGGGAAAGAACTTCTTGACCTCCTTGTGGCAGTCGCAGTTCCGTGCAGCTGCACTTAAGCCCAGGCATCGTCAAGCGGTCAGTTTGGCATGGAGTCGCAAAAAACATTGCGGAACATCATGTACATTCGGCCGGGGCTCTCTGACTTGGTGAATTACAGCTCCTGGATGCCCATGTACATGTATGTAGAAGCCGTACCTTATCGGCACTACACAGTCCAGCTTGTTCAGCGAGAATGCAGCGGAACAACTCGTTGTGCAAGTACGGTACCAAGAGCTGGCTTGGTCTTGGCCACTGGGCTGTTCTTCAGCTGCAGACTTTGGCAGCTTGATGTCTGTTTGTCCTCGCGATGAACGTCGCACGAACTAGGACGAACACCAACATCGCCCCCCAAAAGCCCAGCCTTCTGGCGCAGCGCCCCCGAGAGTGAACTCGAAGCCAACGCTTGCCAGAAGAGTGGCGCGTTCCACGGGCGGCCCGACAAGGAAGAACACCTGTGCAGCGCCATGGCATAGAGCTCATCACCCCAAATGATGCCCCGAAGTCGCGCCGAGCGGCCACCACGCCCGCCACGAAGACGCAAAGCCATGTCCGGAATGGCCAACGGTGCCCATTCGCTTTGCGCCTGCCCGTGCGGGTGGTCACAAGAACGCTTCAACCTGCCTGCATGCTTACCAATCTGGAAAGGTGCATGAAACGCAAAACCAGCACTGTCCGACACCATCGCTTTCATCCCTGGACCTTTAGACTATAGACAGTCGCTTGCATTGTCCACGCGCACATGACTTGTGTCAGTCCTGCGTAAGCAAAAAAAGCAACCCCAAGGATTGCCTGGCCATAGTCTTTCAATGCCCATGCGCCATGTGGAAAGACCGGACAGGCCATAGCTGTACGACTACCTTGCGATACCTTTTCTTGCATCTGTTCATATGACCCAGTGGTGGATCAATGGGGGACGTCAGGCAAGTCGAATGCGACTTCTAATCTAAGGTATGCATGCTGCAGTTTGTCAAGACACCTCATGGTTCTCAAACGACCGGCTGTGTAAAACAAGCAGCATGGATCATCCCGATGGGAACAAGATAATACAAGCTTTGAAGCATGCAGGTTGCAAGGGCTGCAGGCGACCGTCAGCAGCAACCGGAGAACTTGCCAGTGTGTGCGTCCTCGGCCCAGCCCAGTTTCTTTTCTTCGGAACCGGCACCAAGTGTGGTACACGTGTCTGGACTTCCGTCCCGCGCAGCTGGGTGCATGGCCAGTCGTCCTCGTAGAGCTGTTGTGTGTTGTGCGCACGCACTTGCTGCAGCAGCTGTTCAAAAGCAGCCGCTGTACCTGTGGCACACAAGCACTGGAACGTCACTGTGATAACAGTGATAACAGCCAGCGGCGCCTGTCTTAGCACACTCTACGTAAGGTCCCAGCCGTACTTTGCGCGCAGCTTTCGCCACCCAGCGGACTGGCCGGGCGAATCTGGCGAAATCTCCGAGGCGTCCTGTCTACACATCTACGAGAAGCCTGGCTTTCTTGAGTATGTGGGCTGACTATCCGAATTGCTTTGTCGCAGGTAGGGCAGTACAGGGTGCCTCCATTTGCATGTACGAAGCGATTGAACCGATGGATACAGCCTGCGACCTGGGCAGCTTTGCCATGCGGCTAGCCACAACTTCTTCAATTTTCAACTCGAAGTAGTATTCAGGGCAAAGACGGCCAGCAGCTTCGTGAACCGTCGCCGTCATCTTCTTCAACCCCCATCATCACCTCCCTCTCGCAATCATCGGCTCCTCCATCCAATACCCAAGTGGGATTGCATGGCAAAGCTGTGCTGCAGATTGCTGACTCTGGGCCTGGGCCGCGCTGGTCTGCCTCCAGCTTCTTGCGACACAGCATGTGTTCGGAATGCTTTGCGATTGAGAGCTGCTGAAGAACACATCGTGTCTTCCGCGCACATCGTGACTCACAGGATGATGAGGGATGCTCACGTCAAACAGGCCGAAGCCGGGAAGCCGAGGTCACGACTTGGGATGAGGAGGGAGGTGGTTGGAAGAAACGTTCCTCTGTCAAGGTGACCTCTCGACCTCGCTGACGTCCTGGATGAGAGTTTGCGTGGTTTCAATGCTTAGGGCTTATGAGGGTGAATTTCACGAATAGGAGAGCAAAGGCAATATACGCTCTTCGGCAGTAGGCAGAGGCACATGAAGACATGAAGGTAACAACAACAGGTGCGTACCTGCGTACATGTGCTCGCTCTGCTGATGACCCATCTGAGGCACGGCCAATGATAATGGAGCCCCTTTTTCCATGAAGCAAGGGCTTCATGCCAACCAGTCTTTCGGGTGGCTGCAATGCATCGGCCACACGAACGGAGGATGTTGAAGTCCAGCTAGCCAGTTGTCCACACTGAGCATATGAACAAGAAGAGCGCTCCATGGCCCGTTGTGAGCAGCTCGATCCACAATTGAACGCCGCTTGAGCCCGCTTGATTCCGCTTGATTCTGAAGAAACCCTTGCAGTCCTTGAGGCGGTTCAAAGAAATGATCTCATCATGGCCGCCGTGCCCTGACTGGTCCGTCTCGCCTGTGCGTTTATCTCAGCCGGCCGAGACGGTAGCTGGCAAGGCATTCCAGCGTTCCTCCGGAAGCGGGGCCACGGTAGGTCGAACGAGCCAAATATTAAAAGGTTGCCCGCCAGTTGCCCTTTCAACATCTGAGCAGAATGAACAGGCAGCGTAGCGTTCCACGAAGCGGCAGGCACAGGAATGTATGGCTGTGGGCCGTATATTTGGTTTGAGATGCCCGGAATTTGTGTCAGAGGGGGCATGGTGCCCCACTGTATACTACGTCCAGTATGAAGTCCAGTCTTGTCTGCCTCGCTGGGGTTCTGCGAGTCCTGCTGCCCATCGCCACTGTGCCGCTGCTGCTGCAGAGGAATTTCTGGCAGCTCCTTCAGGGACACATCACCAAACATCTACACTCGAGACCGTAGATGCCGTAGATGTTTCCACCCCCAGCATGCACCATATGCACAGCGAACACTTTATCGAAACCGATGGTTTGGACATTGACTGAGGCCGTTGCTTTCGGCGCACCAACCGCTTGGCCGGTTGCGGGGGGTCGAAGATTGCAGTTCAACTTCACATACCTCTCAACCTTAAGTGGATGGACGACATGCACTTCTCAACTGCACATGCAACGTACACATTCATACTTCACATGTTCCTTTTGCAGGCCACCGTCCCTTGCGAAGTACAGGGCCTACATATGCCTACATGCGATGGGCTTGAGGGGGAGACACTGAATGAATATTACATTAAGATCAGCATTGGGGCTACTCATGGGGCATGGGGGGGGGAACCGCGCTGACAGTGCGCCCCCTGGTAGCCAGCGGCTCATCGTGTGTCTCTCAGTCTCCCTCTTTCTGACTCTCTTTCTTTCTTTCGAGAGGCTCAGGGCTCAGGGCCCCCAAGCGCACCCCAGTTTGCTGGGAGCTATTGCAGTGGAGGTTGCTTCTCTCAGATGAACCAGGGCAATCAGCCCTCGCCCTCCACTACTCTCCGAGTCTCTCCCTTCCTCTCCACAGCTCTCCTCTTCTTCTTCTTCTTTCTTCTTCTGATTCTGCTTCTGCTTCTGCTTCTGCTTCATAGTCTTCTTCTTATTATTCTTCTTCTTATTTGCTCTTCTTCTGATTCTGCTTCTGCTTCTGGTTCTTCTTATTCTTCTTATTCTTCTTCTTCTTCTTCTTCTTCTTCTTCTTCTTCTTCTTCTTCTTCTTCTTCTTCTTCTTCTTCTTCTTCTTCTTCTTCTTCTTCTTCTTCCCCTTCTTCTTCTTCTTCCCCTTCTTCTTCTTCTTCCCCTTCTTCTTCTTCTTCCCCTTCTTCCTCTTCCTCTTCCTCTTCCTCTTCCTCTTCCTCTTCCTCTTCCTCTTCCTCTTCCTCTTCTTCTTCCTCTTCCTCTTCCTCTTCCTCTTCCTCTTCTGCTTCTGCAGGGCTCGAAGGGCGCAAGCGCCCTCGGCCCAGTAGGCTTAGACTGGAGACAAAGACTTCTGAACTGACAAGTTCCCCGTCATGAACCTCTGAGAAACCCAACCTATGCTTCTCAACCCAGCAGTCCCCTTTGTCAGGCAGCCACAGCTAGGTTTGCTCCCTGTCCCAACGTGTGACTGCTCTTCTTTCCTTCCTTCCTTCCTGCCGAGGGGCGTGAACCATATGCCCAGACACAGCGTTCCCCTTTTCCCTACATTGAGTCAGGCAAGTCAGCCCCCCTGAAGTGTCCGTGGGAACCCATCCAAACCAACGGCCTACTGTGCCGCTGACGCGGTAAAGAGGCGCCCACTCAAAAACATCCTAAACCCAACCCACCGACATACCCACCCGGATGCGCTCCCGCTTATCTCCTCCGGAAAAGGTGTGTCCAGATCAAGAATGCGCATCTGAGGGACTCTATTGGTTGATCCCTCGCGTCTCCGAGGTTTGTCTGTCAGTGAGACCGCCCTGAATTTGAGGTCTGGGACAACTTGTAGCTTGGATACGGTGAACCTTGTTCAGTCAAAACGTGAGCTACAAGCGGCCTCCACCTTCCCAATAAGGGTACTGTCCCCACAAGGGGAAGGAGGGAGGTGAGGACCCTCTCTTTTCTTGGAGTGTCTTTCCCGCATGCCACCCCCAAGCGCGAGCTGCCACCGGGCGTCGGCTCGAAGAAACGGCTCGCCATCCAATCCTTCACATCAGCAACGGCTCCCATGTATCTTTTGCGTTTTATAGCTGGTCTTCCCATGGATGGAAAAAGCCGATCTATATCGATGAATCCTCAAAAAGCAAAGCTGACCCTTGTCCAAAACCAGCCGAAGTGTCTTGCCAGCTGCAGCTTTAGACAGCTTGCAGAACTGAGTGGTGCTGTGGTCTGCTCATCTTCCTTAGCTTGTTAACATGCCGGCCAAACCGTTAGGGCTCCGCGTGAATCTGCCAAGCTTTCCCTCACGGCTTTACCGTGCACGATCACCACCCAGCTTCCCCAAACGAGATCCCTCCGACCATAACGATCAGCTCCTGCCCTTCGAATCCTGAAGTTTGATGTATCAGGCTGCAGTAAGTGAAGCTAGCGTCAATGATCGCATAACGTGCAAAGTTGTCCAGTGGAGCAAGGTGATTGTAGCGTACCTGAGCAGCTCGTGCGATCAGATGTCACAAGCACACTACTGGCCTAAGTACAGGCTGGGTCCCGAATGAAAACATGTTTCTCAACGTGAGAAGTGGCAGTCAGCTCCTCCCCAGGAGCAATATCTCGCTTCGCAAGAAGCTCAACTTTGCCAGTTTTTGGCGTACAGGAGTATTCCACGTTTGGCTCGTTGCTGTGATTCACCAGATCGGCCAGTGGCGCCAAGTGGAAACCACACTTCGAAGCAAGGTTGCTTGTTTCAACAACCAGCCGGCCCCAAAGCGCATCTGCAAATGTTAAGGGCTGGTGGCCCTCAGGGCTTCTGTTGTAGGCACCCAAGGCAGATAGCATGCTCGCCCGCGTGCCACGCACTGACTGAAGAATTGGCAGGAACTCCGGAACTTCCCCAACTGCACGAAGAGCAGACTCTGAGGCTGCAAGCGGTACACCCAGTGACTCGAACTCTGCCAGAGAAGGGTAGGATGCGATGGCCATCCTGGCTAACCGGAGCCTCTTGAATATTGAACCTTCTTGAAGAACACAAAGAACGAAAAGAACAGCTAGAAGCCACTAAGATGCCAGGGCTCTGCCAGAAACGGCCTGGCCCATCTCCTCTGGCGCGCATCTCGGCTACCCTCAGGGCTAGCTTGCACTGGTCATCCCGGCAGCCTGCAAAGCGCCTCGCACGACATCTCTCTCTCTCTCGACATCGCCAGGTTTTCAATGTCAAGTAAGTGACCCTTGATTTTGCCAAGTATATCATGGCAAGCTATGCATGACATCCCTCCTGCCGTGCGAATCCTCGGCGCGAATGATTTGGCTCGGCGGTGCTGTGTAGATCACGTCGCCCTTCTGGATCCGGTGTCTGGGCCGCAAAGCGCGGGTCCGAATGATGCCATGGGTGGTCAGGTCCACTCCTGCACATCTTTCGGCGCACGTGATTGTGTTATTGGCTGCTTCGGCTAGCGGCTAGCGGGATCTCGCAGTGTTTGAGGTCCGTCCTAGGTCAGGATCCGAAGCGGGCTGCCTGAGCATGCCGAGCTTAACATACTCGGGCAATGACCCGCCTGCGAACCTGCCGGGGACCTTCGGGAATGCTTTGAGAATGCTTGTGCCAGGCAGCAAGAACTGCAGCAGTGCTTGAGCGGCAGGAAGGGCTCCATGTGGCATGGCAATCACATTCCTTGCTTTCTGTAAAATGACGAAACTGTCGCGCCTTTGCATCTCTGCTTGGTTGACTGACGCTGAAATTGACGATAGCCACAGTCTCGCTTGAACCATGCGCCGCGGAGCACGACACAACGCAAGTACGCAAGCATCTAAATGCATCTAAGCGCACATGAGCCTAGCGAGCTTAAGCAATGCACAAGCGCACACACAAAGCACGACCAAAACCGGCAACGGAGCGCCTGCGCTGGGATCGAACTGCGGTGACTGTGGCGACTGTGGCGATGATGGGGACTCGGGTTGCGGCTTCTTGGTCAGGCCTGGCAATAATCATCGCGACAGTATCAAGTGCATCACTTGATCGAGGGTTTGCAAGCTATGCGCGAGGGTTTCCATGCGCTTGCTTTCTCCACACTTTCGCAGGGCGGTATGTGCGGAGCTTCCCAATATCTCAATGTTCATGTCGTCACGATAACAGATTTCATCATGACGGGCTCCACCGGTCTATCATTTTGTGTGTACACCTTAGAGATCTTCACCGCGACGTCGTACCCCTTGATGACTTTACCAAAGACAGGGTGTCGAGCATCACCACGCGAGAACCAATCCAGGAACGTATTGTCTCTTACCTTGGAAGCAGAGGACAGCAGCAATGGCGCTTGTGCACTTTCCATGTGGAACGTGACTGCCCTGCCCCCGTAAGACAAGCAACGTTGATGAAAAATTGGGAACCACCAGAATCCGGCTGGCCCGTGTTGGCCATGGACAAAGTGCCCTTGACATTGCTGTCTTCAGAAAGGAACTCGTCCTCAGAAACGTGTCTCCACCCTGCCACCCTCATCTCCCCCACCTCCCTCACAGCTTTGGTATGAACGTCACCGGTCCTTAATGTTGCCACCCCTGAAGCGCTTTTCGGTGATGCCAGTGGCCAAATTTTGGAACGACCCATCGGACGGGCCACCTGTGCCGGCATAAGGACTGGATGGGTCCTGCCAGGATGCACCGGCAACCGATCATGATCAAATGATGAAAAGATTGGGGGGGGTGGGGGGGGGGGGCCTGGGGGAGTTCCTCAACTGACCTCCTTGTCGATCTCAAAGCAGATGCTACAACAGCAGCCGCATCATGAAACCATGCGTGCGCCGGAGTTCAATACCGCAATCCTGAAAATTCACTACCTGAAGTTTGTGGCGCGAGTACTTCTGTACCTCCCAACCCCCCCCCCCCCCCCCCCACCCCCGCCCGGGAACTGTCCGTCCTTGGCATTGGGACAGCCGAACTGGATCATGAAGTTTGGGATCACACGATGGAAATGCACGCCGTCGTAGAATCCCGACTGAGCAAGGTCGATGAAGTTCGAGGCCGTCCTTGGCACCCGGTCCTTCGCCACAAGGAACAAGTCCAGTAAGGCAAGGCTTTCTTTTTTGCCTGGGACTCACATGATGCATCATAGTCCGCCCATATGTCAGCGTGATTCAGCACGATTCTGCATCTGTCAGCCCCACCCCCCCCCCCCCAACCCACAACCCCTCCAAGCTTGCGATCGTGCGCCCCCCACCCCCGGAAATTTCGGTCCAAGAAGATCTCGGCCTCGATAACCCCAAGACTCGTGTCGAGAACTGCGACTGGGTTCGGCCTGAGAACTCCGAAGGTGGCCTCAAAGGGCTCCTCGCCGCGAAGCAGTGCCTTCAGAGTGAGCAGCTCGTAGGGCTTGCCAGAAACCGTCTGGAAGATCCAACCTGCTTGAACGCCAGCCCTCTCCGCTGCACCATCCTCAAAGACCTGCTTCACCAGGCCACTCTCCGGGTCAACTTCCATTCCCAAACTCCCGGGCTGTAGTGACACCTTGGTTTCACAGCATGTATGAGGTGCAGGAGATGTATGTAGATATCCATATAGGAAGATGTACGAGTCAGAACTTGAGCCTATACATTGCGCCCACGCACGCAGACGTGATGCGTGCGAGGGGGCTGGCGTGAATGCCTGCTATTGCCGGGCAGTGCTCGTGAGTTGCGTGTCTATGTGAAGTAGGGTATATATTTCTTGTACCCCCAAAAGGACACCCGGTATATACACTCACCAATATTAAAAAGGAGCCTTATATACACTCACCAAGAACATTAATATAAACCCTGCTTCATGTGTGAGCGCATTCCTGCGCGCACGCGCATGCGGGCTTGAGGCCAAGCGGCAGTTCGAGTCTCATCAGACAAAGAACCCACGCCAGGAATGTACCCAGATGGCGCCGCAGAGGAGGCCACCAGCTTGCGCTCATCCCCTTGGTGGCATTTGCCGGGGCTTTCAGGACGGGTGTCGAAAGCTGGTATGTATCATGCAGTGTGGCATTTGGTACTGTAGCCTCCGAACAGCTAGCAGCGCAGCTAGCAAGCAGCTTCTGAACAGGCTCAGTCTCGGCCAAGGCGCGCTGGCAGCGAGGATTGCCCACAAACACGTGTCCATCCAACGCGAGCCAGACTGCCACAATGGCAAAGCTGAAGCTGCTCAAACGCACCGGCGGATGGCTGCTGCGGCTTCGCTGGGGTATAGCACCCCTTGGCTGCATCCGCAGCCACATCACGGCTCATAAGGCGATCCACACGACGCACTGAATGTTACGACCCCAGGACACGTGGAGCAAACCTGCTACCCATGAGTGATCTGAGATGAACTCGTGGCTGGAAGGACTGTGCATTGGAGTTCGGTGGCGCGGCTGTTACGACCCACTGTCTCGAGTGTTCATCTGACACAGCTACACCGATTGCACGGTTCTCAAAACATGGAAGAGTGGTCATTTGGCCTCCCTGCTGCTTTCGGCAATGCCCCGTATACATTAAACAGTATACATCCTTTCGACTGAGCCAACCACTCCCAACTCTCTTCTCCTGCACCCCTGAAGAAGCCCCCGAACTACCGAAGAATCTCAAACGTGCCCTCACGGCCTGGGAAGGCTTCCCCACTCTTCGACATGGCAGCTCCCCTGCCTCTGACAGCAGAACTGTCAGAGACAAGCAGCCAGCGAACGCTGCACGGGCTGCAAGCTGGATGCATCGCTTGGGTTCCCGCTCAAACGAGCACTTCCCGCACGACCTTTCCACCAAACATGACCCTACCAAGCACAGATCTGTGAGGAGTTGGGCTTCTTGCTCGCTGGATTTCCCTCACTCCTCACTGAAGAAGTTGCCCCTGCACACATGGAGTCAATCAACATCCTCACTGGTCGCCATATCAAAGGCAACAACTGACACATGCAGGATTACATCTGGAACGAAGCAGTTTTCTTGCCTGATCGTTGTGCACCGCGTTCTTGCTTTTTCCCTGCACCTGGCCCGCCAGCAACATTGAGTCTGTCCTCCGCTTTATGCCGCCACATGGTGCATTCCGTTGCGGCGTGGTGTAGATTCAGTGTTTTGCGCCTTTTTGGTTCTGGTCTTTGTCTGATTCGCTCCTGACAGCACTGGGAAGCACAACTCAGGACAGAACTAAAGGATACCAAAGGCACAAGGTGGAAGAGCAGAATAGCTATTGCATAGTCGCTTGCGTCCTGGGTGCATCGGCAAGGCGAACCTGGTGGCGGGCATGCAAAAGGATCCAATCCAACGTCCAATCTGACAGAACCACATTGGGCCCACCATAAGTGCTAGTACGCCTCTCCGGGATTCCATAATACACCCCCAGGTCAAAAGCCAAAGTATAAGACATATGGCGGATTTCGAGTCCAATCCAAAAGCTAAACAGGTTGACGTGCCGCTCTGGGACAAGCCAGCAGGTGAGGCATGGTCCAGGGTCTTACCATCTACTCCAGGCAAGCTTTGCTTCGGTGGGCAGGATGATGGGCTTCTAGTGTGCCGGGTTTCATCTAACTTAACTCGCTGACTGTTGCTGAGCGCCCCAGCACTTTTATGTCGCGGAGGGCTCTCAAGCAGGCCATCGTCTCGTGCTGTGCGCCTCAGACCAGGCCAAAGAAGACCAGATCAGCACGCTGCGCGGCATCCACTAAGCCGATGGCGTCGCGCTTGTGGCCAAGCTGCTCTTCTCCGGTGCTTCTGGTTGGTCGCCTTAAGCACCCTCAACCCCTAGGCCCAAAACCCTAAGCCCCAAACTTAGCCCTAAACCCTAACATGAAATGTTCAGATCAAAGATTCACGCAGCTCAAGGAGTATGATTGAGCACATGCTTCACAAGTTCTTGGCCGCTTCGGCTACTTCGTGGCTTTTGAGAGTCGCTGGGCCTTGGCAGCGGCTTCGGAGTTGCTTTGAGATGGTCTGGGTGCGCATGCGAGGGGCGCAAAGAGACGCCCTTTTGTCCGCCATGCAGGCGCCTTCATCTCTCCCCTCGTCTACCAGTGGCCCAGCTTGGAAAAGCCGAGCAAGGCTACAATCACCAAGAAAAGGTTGGTGAAGAAGTGGGCAGCGACCTTTAGAGCGGTTGGATGCCCAGATGTGCGAATGCCAAGGGCACGATGTAGAGATATCGGCGAACATCTGGGCCCGAACTGTGACCATGAAGAATCGCCAGGCAGCCTCCACCTTAAGCACTTCTGTAAATTGCTCTCGGGGATTTGGAGTGCTTTCAGGATGCAACGCAAAGGCCACGACCTTGCCGGTAACCAGTGCCAGGGGATCTTGTGTCCACGTAAAGAAGAGTGGATGGTTGGCCTCTGCTACAAGGATTCGGGATGATTCGGGGCACCTTCGGGGCTTTCACTCGCCAAGGGCGCGCCTTGATGCCGAAGGACGCTTCTGCTTGTTGCACTGCCAGTCGAAAGTACTGACGCTTGCCCTGACCAATCGGTCACAGAACAGCACTGCAAGGACGCTTGCGGAGCATGCTTTCCCACCCTTGGCCACGAGTCTCGCCTCGTCAAGGTAGCGCAGGCCCGATCGAGCATGAAAGTTGCCGTACCTCACGCAGCGCAACGAGAAGCCTGCTTAGAGACATGTGACATGCCTGAATTCTGAGGCCGAAGCTCTCCACAACGAAACTGCTGGCTTGAACCACTGCAGCAGTTAACGCCAACTGCCCAGAAGTCGTACGACCTTCATGCTGCGGCTGCACTTGCACACGATGCTCACTTTTGCCGCACATTGGTTGCAGCTGCAGGCTCCCAATGTGAAAAGAAAGCGGTTTTGCTCTTTGGCTGGACCAACCCCAAGGCCCCAAGCTCGACACACAGCTCTGCAAGTCTGTTTGCACATGCACTTCAAAGCGCTGTGTCTAGGAGCCTCTCGACGCCAAACGGAGCAGTCTAGCAACACTCGACGCCAAACACCGCGGACAGCATCCCTCTACAAGCCCTGCCGACTCCAAAGTCCTGGCATTTTTGGCCCCAGGACGAAATTGTGAGGGTCACTGGGTCCAGTTTCTTGAGGGAGGTCGATCACTCGCGATGCAAAGTTGGCAGAGAAGATGGAGCCAGCCCAGGGGGCAGATCAAGTGCGGCCTGCTTCTCCTGCTTCTCCTGCCTCCGTGTGTATCTGAAACGCAAAGTACGTGGAGAAATCATGAGAAGTCCCACCCGGCATCACCCGGCGCGCGAGCGCCCACACACACACGCACACACACACACACACACACACACACACACACACACTGTTCACACGCATACACATAATACATGTCGTGTCGGTCTCCCCAAATATCATAGGACTCTTGCGAGCCACTTGCATAGAGTAGAAATCATGAGGAGCCCCACCCCCGCCCCCCCCACCCGGGCACATTCCGTTGCACGAGGCCTGACATGTGTGTAGACGTATGTAGCTGTGTAGGGTGATGGGCGCCGGCAACCACGTAGAGGCACAAGATCGAATGGCACACTCGGGCAGTCGGAAAGCTGCAGGAAGTGCGCGAACAGATTTGTGAATAGATCATCAACAAGCTGGTTTGAAAAATAAAAGTTTGGCTGCCTGGCTGGCTCGCTCCTTTCTTCCTCTCTTCCTCTCTTCCTTTCGTCCTTTTCTACCTTTCTCCCTTGCTCCCTTGCTACCTTTCTTCCTTTCTCCCTTTCAACCCTCAAACACTCCAGCTCTGATGGCCTGCCCCTTTCCATGCAAGAACAAGGGTTGGGAAGGTCCATCTACCGCTCCTGCTGAAAGCAGGCTGCCGTAGAAAGGTTGAACCTCTCCTATGCGTACAGACAAAGTGTACACAAACATGCAAACCCCAGAAAAAACCCAGGGTCTCTTTGGGTGCTCCCCGTTCCTACTTGGTTGAAGTGAAGGTTTCCCACACCTCACCCTCCAGTTGAGACATAAGTGTAATTACACTCTCTTTCGGCTCTCTCTATGTCTTTTTCTTCCTCTTCGTCTGCTGCAGGGCCTGAGGGACCAGAGAACATAACCCATCTTGTCTTCTTCTTCTTCTTCACAGCGAAGAGGCCCCCCACGTGAAGTGGCCCCCCTGGCGGAGTGCCCACGGCCACGGCGGCCCGCTGTTCAGTTTGTCCCGGTGAAAGAGACCCCCGTGTTGGGTGTCGTTCTGGTTGGCCTCTCAGACGTCCCCTCCCTCCAGCCGGGTCGTCTCCATAACAAGATCTCGCTTCTTCTTCTTCTTCCTTCTTCCTTCTTCCTTCTTCCTTCTTCCTTCTTCCTTCTTCCTTCTTCCTTCCTCCTTCCTCCTTCCTCCTTCCTCCTTCCTCCTTCCTCCTTCCTCCTTCCTCCTTCCTCCTTCCTCCTTCCTCCTTCCTCCTTCCTCCTTCCCTCCTTCCTCCTTCCCTTCCTCCTTCCTCCTTCCTCCTTCTCCTTCCTCCCCCCCCCTCATTCTGGGGTCCTCCTTCCTCCTTCCTCCTTCCTTCCTTCCTCCGCTCTCCTTCCCTCCTTCCTCCTTCCCCTCCTTCCCTCCTTCCTCCTTCGCCTTCCTCCTTCCTCCGTCCTCCTTCCTCCTTCCTCCTTCCGTCCTCCTTCCTCGCCTTCCTCCTTTCCCTCCTTCCTCCATCCACGTCCTCCTTCCCCTCCACTTTCTCCTCCTTCCTCCTTTCCCTCCTTCCGTTCGCTATCCTCTTTCCTTCTCTCCTTCCTCCTGTTCCTTCTTCCTTCCCCTCCCCTCGCCTTCCTCCTTCCTCCTTCCTCCTTCCTCCTTCTTCCTTCCTCCTTCCTCCTCCTTCCTCCTTCCTCCTTCCTCCTTCCTCCTTCCTCCTTCCTCCTTCCTCCTTCCTCCTTCCTCCTTCCTCCTTCCTCCTTCCTCCTTCTCCTTCTCCTTCTCCTTCCTCTTCTTCTTCTTCTTCTTCTTCTTCTTCTTCTTCTTCTTCTTCTTCTTCTTCTTCGGGGCTTGACGGGCGCAGAAGCACCCTCCGTGCACGAGGCGCGCCCTATCCACGTCAAGGTCGGCGTGAGACTGTATGATGCCCCGGGAGCATCGCGTGAAGACAACAAAGCTAGCGTGTTCCCCGCTTTCTCAATGCCAGTACTTCCCCCACGGAGGCTGGGTGAGCCTTGTGAACTCTGTCAATCCGAAAGGAGATGTGTGACCGGTGAGAGGCCCTATACACAAATCTCGCTCTCTCTCTTCTCTCTGCTCTATCTGTCTCCTATTCGCGTTCAGTTTCCTCTGGCTGAAACTTGGAGAGGGGTTGAAATTGCCCAGAGAGTTTATTTATCCTGTTTCGGCACGCTTTCGTTCTAATACGACGCACTTTGTTTTACTGTGTTTCAGCAACGTTACGCTCTATTGCCTTTCACATTGCAAATCGGAACTGAACACTGACGATGGGCTGCCCACGCCCCCTCCAAAGAATACATGAATTAGGTGGGTGCACCTGTGCCGTCACAGCATGCCCCTGGGCGGGAGATGACATGGGACTGGCCCACAGCACCGTCAACATCGAACTTGTGTGGTTAGCCAGTCCCACGGAGAGGGAAAAAGTCGGCCGAAACACGATGACATTTCATGGGGGGGGGGGGGGGGGGGGGGGGGGGGGCGGGGATTTGCTTCTTAAACTACGTATTTCAAGCTTAAACTCGCAGCTTTCTCGCCAAACTTCGCGCGTGCAACAATTCGCAACAATCGCATCGAAAACTTGGCAGCCGCAAAGATCGCTGGAATGCATCAGCAGAGGCAAGCTTCTGTGGCAAGGGAAAGTGAAAGCACATGGCATCGATTGAGCCGACCACGCCAAAGCATCCTCGCCGCTGACAATGGGGACGACGCAGTACCTCATTGGCTCCCCATGGCACAGCAGCATGCAGTCCACGTGTTCACACGGTTCCCGCACTCGTCGAAGTCATGGAAGCTCATCGACCTCAGCGCGATGTGCCCTGAGGCCTATGGCATGGGATGCCATGGGCCTCGAGTTTTACATGTGGTTCTCGCATGTTCTCGAACTTTCCAGGTTGCTTACTTCGTGAAGTCAAGCTTGGTGTCTGAAGCGAAATAAACGCGGCCGGCATCCATCAACTGCTGCCCCTTCTGGCGGGCAGGGTCCACGGCCTCACCGGAAGCCCCGGACAGGGAGATTTAACAGAAATTGACCTGATGTACTCCGGGTGTCTGGGGCTCCACACAGGGTAGCTGCTCAGATTCTGAAAGTCCAAGGCCGCCTGAGAACAACGTGCCGAACAATTCCACGCGTCGCAGACATGAAAACATAGCACCCGGAGGATCACTGGAGACACCATCTTCAGGCCTCCATCGTAGTGCGGAAGGTGTAGTCACCCAGAACCGCCCCCATCGCCACAGCAAGCCCCAGGGTTACTGCGAAAAAGGCGTACCTGACTGAGCGATGGCATTGGATAAGCAAAGCCTGCAGTGCGCGCGGGCACCACATGGGCTGAGAGTCCACGATGCGGGAGAATCGGCTGAGAGCAAACCTGCTTGCCGGTTCGCAGGCTAAGTGGGCAACATGGAAACCAATGGAAACCCTAAAAAAACCCAAGGGTCAGCATAGTGTCAGCGCCGTCCGCTATGTCAGTCAGCTCAGGCGCTGACGATGCGGCAGAGACAAGGAGGCCAAATGCCTTCTACCACAGACTAACATCTAGAGGTGACGTGGGGGTGACCTCACATGTAAGCCGGTAAGCACTCTAAACACACACACACACACACACACACACACACACACACACACACACTATACTTGTCAATATATACTCTATATGCGTAATATATATATATATATATATACACATAATATATCCGCCGACCCCAGCAACAGCGGGGCGGCGTCAGTGAAGACCCTCCCTGCCCTCACCGCAACCTCTTCCCCCTTCCCCTTCCCAACCATTCCACTCCACCTCTCCACTTGGCCTTGCCTCTGCCCGTAACCCCCACCAACCCCTTCTCCTGCCCCCCCTCCCTTTCCCAACCATTCCACTCCATCCCCCTCCCCTACCCCTTCCCCATCCCTGCCCCCCCTCTCACCGTACCCCCAATCCACCCACCACTTGCCCGCCCCTCACCGTACCCTGCCCCCCCTCCCACTACCCTTCCCCTTCCCAAGCATTCCACTCCATCCTCCTCCCCCCCTTCCCCACCCCCAATCCACCCAGCCACTTACCTCATCTTTTGACTTTCTTCTGCCCCCCCAACCATTCCACTCCATCCCCCTCCCCCACCCCTTCCCCATCCCCCCTCTCACCGTACCCCCACTCCACCCACCACCAACCCCTTCACCCCTTCCCCACCCCCAATCCACCCTTCTGGGTGGGGGGGGGAGGGGTGGAGCAAACGAGGAGTGGAGTGGGTGGGAAAGTCAGTCACCGAAGCGAGTTGGGGGGGGGGGGTTGGGGGCATGCGCTGGAGCCCTTTAAAGCATCTGATCCAGTCTAGAGAGGAATGGTTGGGAAGGGGAAGGGTAGTGGGAGGGCAAGGAAGCGGTTAGTGGTGGTGGGAGTGGGGGGGAGGGGGGTAGGTGGAGGAGATGAGGTCAGTGCCTGGACCCCCCCCCCCCCCCCCCCTCCCACCCCCCCCCCCCCCGCCCCCCCCACCCCCCCCCCCCCACCCCCCTCCACCCCCACCCTTCTCCAGCCACTTACCTCATCTCCCCACCAACCCTGCCCCGCTCCCCCACCACCCCCCCTCTCACCGTACCCCCAATCCAACCCCTTCCCTGCCCCTCTCCTCCACTACCTTCCCCTTCCCAAGCTTATCCACCTTCTCCAACTTACCTCATCCCCCCTCCCCCCCCCACCACCAACCCCGCTCCCCACCGCCCCTTCCCAACCATTCCACTCCATCCCCCTCCCCTACCCCTGCCCTCACCGCAACCTCTTCCCCTTCCCCTCCAGCGCATGCCCGACACGCCATTCCACTCCATCCTCCTCCCCTCTCTAGACTGGATCAGATGATCAGATGACTGACTTTAAAGGGCTCCAGTGCATGCCCGCCCGCTCCGCCCGCTCCGTTTGCTCCGCCCTTCCTACCCGCCCCTTCCCACCCCCCCCACCCCCCACCCCCCCCCCCACCCCCCCACCCCCCCCCCCCCCCCCCCACCCCCCCCCACACCCCCCCCACCCCCCCCCCCCACCCCACCCCCCCCCCACCCCCCCCCCCCCCCCCCCCCCCCCCCCCCCCCCCCACCCCCCCCCACCCCCCCCCCCCCCCCCCACCCCCCCCCCCCCCCCCCCCCACCCCCCCCCCCACCCCCCCCCCACCCCCCCACCCCCCCCCACCCCCCCCAACCACCCCCCCACCCCCCCCCCACCCTGAGGAGTTTCGGGTTTAGGGTTTAGGGCTCAACATGCAAGGGTTGCTACTCCCACCTAGTTTGTCCACGGCCTTACATATACCGTTTCAGAACTTAGAACCAAGGTTTACGGTTTCGGGGCTTAGAGCAGAGGCATTATCTCCCAGAGTTGAGCAGGAGAAGGGGGGGGGGGTAACCGAAGGGATAGGGTTTGGGCAGCTTGGGCGTTTGCCTCCAAGGGGTCGGCGGCACTGGCGGTAGCCATTAAATCGGGCAGCGCGAGGTCCCCAAAGGACCGAGCAAATGCGGACCTTTTAGCCCGGGTCGTCCCGGGAATAGCCTTGCTGGCCTCTGGCCTTCTGCGAAGCAGAATTAGGCCGGACGCCAGTGCCGCCGACCCCCGCGTGCCGCCGGTGAACGGTTTTTTTTTCGTGGTTTTTTGCGTCGCCACGGAGGCCCCCAGAGGGCGCGCATCATGAGCATCAGCGGGTCCAGCCCGGGACCCCCAGGCGCGCATCAGGAGCATCAGCGGCTCCCGGGGCGGGACCCCGGGGGCGCATCAGGAGCATGACGCCCCCCAAAGGGCGGGCATAAGCGACGTGTCTCAGCCCGGGGCTAGGAAAAAGGGAGTTTAGGGGCCTTATAAAGTGCTTAGAAACGTTAAGGGAGTCTAGGAGCCTCAAACGCTTAGAGATTTGAAGGGAGTTTAGGGGCCTGAAAATGCTTAGAAGCTTAACGCCTAGAGATTTTAAGGGAGTTTAGGGGCCTCAACATGCTTAGAAACTGCTCGCCCCGGGCTTCTGCGTGCGCTGCCCGCCCATGGGCGCAGCCCCTTAAAAATATATATATATATATATATATATATGTATCTAGATGTATACTCTATATATATTTATATTATAAGAGAGAGAGAGAGAGAGAGATTTTTACAATACGATACATACATAGTGTATAGATATAGATATATGCAATATCTAAATGCTGTAGTCTGACCGGCCCTGGGCCTTCGAGATGCTGAGCCAGGGACTGCGATGGCCCAGGCCAGATGGGGGTTCTCATAGTGTACCCGGAAGGCAAGTGCCTGCGCTCGCACGCTGTCATCCGAAAGCCGGGAGACTGCGGTTTTTGAAGCTGAGAGAGCCCCGGCCCAGAAGACGATCCCGTAGGCCACTGTTGGAAGCAGAATGTTGAGGGCCACTGACATAGCATTGAGCCGTTTCCTGAGAAGTGAGCGTGCTCAAACGTTTCATGAACAGTCCATCTCAACCAAGAATCATCCAGAATCCTAGGCAAGCCCTTGGTCCAGGGTTTTGGGAAGGTTGGGTGGCACCAGTGATTGCCGGTGATGTCCGCATCACTACGGAGCACGTCTTGAGCATAGCTTGGATCGGGACCGTTTTCCCGGCACAAAGGCCTGCGTCCCAAACTTGGCTGAAGCTCCTGGCATGAGTTTCCGGAGCCCCCTGCAGCTTCTCATGGAACGCACCAGCGAATGCACCAGAATAGGCACCGGCACACGCCCCACATGCCCGACTGCCACCTGTTTGCCCGAAAGTGCTGTATGGCATGGCCATTGTTTAGGGGCCGGGCGCCTCACGATGGAAATGAGATTCAAATGACATGTCTCAGCCGCCGAGCAAGAATGACCACCTAGCAAGGCCCACCAAGCTCACGACCTTTTGGCGCGCGCTACGTTGAAGGGTTCAAGGCTCAGCAAAGGTGCAGATTAGTATCTGCACCTTGCACTACTGAGCCAGTAAGACTGCGGCAAAACCGACAGGGTTTTGGCACACCAACAGACCCGCCCACCACCTCCATGTTGGAGCCACATTTACAGCTTTGTCCTGAGTCCCTGACCGAGATTGCTCCAAGTTCTGTCTCTGTCCTTTTGCTTCCTCTCGTATGCCCCCACCCTGCAACTGGAAGGTGTGGTGTCAGTAGATGTCAGCAGTGCCACCATGTTTGCGGAACTGTGCCAGCCTCGTAGGGCCCAGCAGGTGGAGACCAGGAGACTGCTTCTGATGCTGCGTCCTCGGAAGTTCTGTGAACAGCTCCATACAAATAGTGTATGCAAAAAATGTGTGTATATATATATATACGTATATATATATATATATATATGCTTGTTTGGGCATGTCTGCGCCCGACGTGCCTCAGCAGGAGCAGGTGAGGCCCATGTCCGCATCTCGGCCTTTCGACCTTGCGCCTCCCGTCTTTCTCACACTCAGAAAAGAACCGCTACCAGTACAAACATGTTACAACATGTGCGCGCAGTGTCACGGCACTGTACTGCACATCCTGCCACCCCGACTGCCTCTTTGGCACCTTGCGGCTGCCTGGCTGCTGCCCAAGCTGCTGTCGCAGCCGCTTCCGCAATCTCACGTGCACGCTCCGCATGTTCCTGGGCAGAAGCTTGCTGATCTTTCATGGCCTTGGCGGCTGCCTCGAGCTCGACGTTTCGCTGCTTTGTGCTGCTCAGCTGGGTTGTCAGATCGCGCATTTCTGCAGCTTGTACCGCAAGCTCTTCTTTGGCCTGATGCAAGTCTTCTTCCCTGCGAGCTGCAAGGTCAGCCGCAGCTTCCAGCTCTTTGTTGCGTTTCTTTGCTGCACTTAGTTGATGTTCCAGATCCTTCAGCTGGGCCTCACGCTGAGCAGCGACTTGTTCCCTCAGTTCAGCTGCTTTGGCTGCCTGCGCAGCCTCTTCTGCTGCCTGTCGGGCGGCCACAGCAGCTGCCTCGAAGACTGCCTCGTTCGCATCATCCTCGGGTGCTTGGGACTTGTGCGGTCGCCGAGTGCCATCTGGCTCGTGCACATCCTGACGTCGGTTGGATTTCTGATTCCGATCGTTCCGATCGTTCCGATCGTTCTTCCCGTTCTTGGGGTCCCTTGCGCGAGGTCCCTGGGCCTCCCGAGGCTCCTTCTTGGAGCCTGAACTCAGGCTTCCCAGGCTTCCCAGGCTTGTCTTCTCAATCTTCTCATTCTTCTCTCTCTTCGGTGCAAGGAAAGCAGGCCACACCGATGGACAAGTGTCATGCTCAGGGACCCCAGGAATCTCGGGAATGTGAAGAGCGTCCTGTGCGAGAGCCTTGTCGGTGAATGGAGACCGCTTGTGTCTGGCATCTGACTTCACGTGTCCATGCCCACTGCTGGAGTTGGAGCCCTTCTTGCTGTAGGTGCTTGAGGCGTCGTCTATATCTTGACTTGACAGAAACTGGCGATGCTGGTCAGCATTGCGTCCATATTGACGCTCAGCCTCCTCGTCGTCATGCCCTTTGTCATCTGAGCCTCTCTCACGGTTGGCAGTTGGTGGGCTCTGGGTGGCCCAACCAGGCCGTGAAAAAGCCGGAGCGTCTGCCCCTTCTCCGTGCTCTGGTGGCAAAGTCCCTTCAATGCCTGGACGGCCTGGATGACGGGCCGGCTGCGCCGCGTCCTCAGACGATCCACACGACACGGCATCATCACGCAGCATATGCTTGCGTATGGTTTGCCTTTGACCGCGTATGTTTGTGTGACATTGCTTAGCACACACCCGGCACACGCCTGCGTTTTCCCCCCAGGCCTCGCTGAGACTGTCGATGGGACCGAGGCCCGTCTCTTCAGAACCTCTGGCGCCCCGGCGCTTCGGCAAATGCGAAAGAATGTGAATTCACATCTGGGGCGGGACTTGGCGAGGGTTGCTACCCTGTTCTCAGGCAACCCTCCGGAAACCCTCCGCCCTCGTCCCAGTGTCGCCTCGCAAGCTTCCACCTCAGCATGACTCGGAGATGAGGACATCACGACAGAATCAATACACATCAACCCGAAATCGAAACGCAGCGCCTCAATGTAAAGCCCCGCTCAGCGTCCAGCTGCCATAAAGACGGTCACGCATGGCGGCCCGCAGCTGCAAGTTCTCGCGACGAATAACATCGACCTGTGGCCATATGTTGAACCACTTAGCATGCTCTTTGCTCTGGGTCTTGGGATGTCTTGGGTCCACACATCTCCTTCCAGCAGCTTCAGAATGGCAGTGAGGTTGGACACCTTACATTGCACAGACTGCGCGGACTCGACTCACATCCTTCGATCCAAAAACGTCGCTGGCCTGCTCCTTCGTTTCCAAGCATTGCTCCAGGACACCATCCACCTGTGAACCACGGGGTGACGCCATCCCGGCAGCCTCGCAGGCAAGGCAGGGGCAGCAACCTTCGCAAGTCTGATTCAGAATTAGAGATGTGTAGAGTCTGCTAATTCTAGGGCTCCCAACACTGGCGCCCAGAGGCATTGTCATGGGCTCCTGCACTCAGTAAAAGACCCCGCTTGGAGCTCCATCCGATTCCACTCTTTCTTCAACATGGCAGGACCAGAGTCCCGAGAAACAGTCCAGTGCAGAACTGTGAGGCGTGGGTTTCAGATTCGCCGTGGTCAAGTGCAGCCTCACCCCACGGGCCTGTGGTATGGTGGAGGGCCCTGCGCCAACGTTCTGCATCCTCAGACATCACAGCTGTTTCAACCACCGGGGTTCCTTCGTCCACCTCCCCCAACACTGGGTCGGCACCGTATGTAGGCATTGCACTCGCTTGGTCAAGTTGCAGGTTGGATGCAAGATCTCACCCAGCATCAAGGACGGCATGACCCTGCTCTCTTGCTACAGAGCTCGCCACAGACTTCTTTCCTCCAGCAACTGACCCATTCAATTCTACAGGCTTCAAGAGAAGCGATCGCTGCAGTCAAATCGGCGTAAACCTCGAGAAGGAGCCAGCAAAGCTTTTGTTCACTGTCCTTCTGAAAGCTGCCGGGTACCAGTACAGTTAACGCCCCGGCCCAAGAGTGCAGCATTAACTCAATGTGGCAAACTTTCTTTCTACAATATGTCAGCTCCAGCTTCGCTCCAGCGAATACCTAGAGCAGAAACCCGATGACCGGCATTGGGTCGGAAGAAGGGCCCCTGTGCTTTGGCGTTGAAGCACGAAATCATCACAGTAAGTGCATCGTAGCACGCCCGCTATACGCTGAAGCGGAGGGCCGTTGGCCCGTTGGGTCCCAGCATTTCCAAGCCAGGAGGCGGACGAAAGCCTGCAAGCAAGAAGTGCGCTGCGATCACGTGGAGTATTTCTCAATACCTGGAAATGCCTGCAGACATGTGTAGGTGCATTAATTAGGATACCCTATGCCGTTGTCGGCCATACGGTATCATGCTTGCATATGCTTGCCACCCAGAGCTTGGTTGCACCTTGTGTGGCAGTGGTCGCCTCATGACTGGCCGTCGTTGCTCTGTACCTTTGCACATTGCGGCCCGCTACTTTGCGTGGAGCCCTTGTAGCTGACAGCCATGCAACAAAAACCCATGCTGAACGCGTGTTGAGCAATGCCCATCCCTAATGGACATGATCAGCGCTTGTGACGCAGTGCCATATGAACGAGTGGCGATGGTGCCAAGGCCCCTTGCATGAGGTCTTCTACCTGCAGACGGATGCGCACCCCACATTGCAACAGTTTTCACTCAAGAATGCCCAGCCTCGTCTTCGTGGTACCTACAACAGATCGCAGTGCTTGCGCTGGCTTGTACCGCTTTTGCTGTGCTGCTGCGCTATTGCACCTCTCCCACTCCGGCTCCAGAAACTTGCTGGCGCCAGCGTCCTTAGGCCACGGACGGTGAGGGGCCGCGCGGCAGGTGCCTACCTCTCACCCTTGGGGCAAAACACCCCGTGGATGCACGAGGCAGAGCAGGCATCACGTCTTCCCCTCGTCATTCCTCCTTTGCTCTGCGGTCTCTTATGCGAGTCTGTGAGTCTGTGTCTGACTTTCAGTGGTGTTTGCTGGTGCGTATGTGCATGCTCATTTGCGGGCATAAGCGAGATCCAATGGGGCGGCCACTTGCAACTGATGTCACGGGACTGCCGCTGAAAATTACCTTATGGCTCTCGAATTGCCTGCGCTATGAAGGCATCACCTTGGCTTGAGGTATGCAGCTAGGTGCTCTCAAAATGTCTTGGTGGCCAGCCATTCAAGAGTAACTACCTGGATCGAGGAGTGGAGGTTGTGGCGCCGTCATGGCCAAGATTGTTTTTTGGTCACTGCATGCATGTCCTGTCGGGAATGAGTTGATTTAGTCCTTCTTTACGCTTTTTGCGTGTTGGTATTTTTCTGTTGGTCCAGGGTTCCTTTCCGAGGAAGTTTTTGGAACTACTTGTATTGCCTCAATGTTCCTATTACAACTTCTATTTCTTCTATGCTTTAGTAGGAAACCTCAAGCTTACCTGCGTATTCTCCTCGGAAAATCTCAATGCTCTGCATTGCGTGCGTTTCCTGTGAAAACCTCGGCAGGTCCCTCTTTGCTCTACTTGATTTCCGTTATGTTCCTTGCAAAATCTCTAACTCCGATTGTTTTCGTGGAAACCTCCGTTCCTGTGTAGTTGAATAGGAAACCGCTTTGAAGGATGCATGGACGTTTCGAGCTGGGGGGGGGGGGGGGGGGGGGGGGGGGGGGGGGGGGGGGGGGGGGGGGGGGGGGGGGGGGGGGGGGGGTACGCATGAAAGGATTCATACATGGTGCTTTATGTCAAGTGATCTTCATGCGGTCTTTCCTTCTCAAGCTGGCACGGGTTAACAACAAAGCGCGCGGGTTTGGGGGAGGGGGGGTTTGCAAATACAGTGCTCGAAGGATTTGGCGAGGATTCGAATGTGTCTTTAGTGCAAGTGCTCTGCATGGCAAGATCTTCTCTTGAAAGCAAGCTCGGAAAACAAGTATGTTAACAACAGCGGGGTCAAAGTTGGGAAGGGCGCCATTTGAACTTCGATACCCACTTCTTTTGAATGTATGCTTAAACGGAAAAACCTCCATTTCCTCTAAATCTTCTGAGAGGCAACTTCGATTCCCTCCGACTTTGGATAGGGCAACTACACAATTTCCTCCAAATGTGTGAATAGGAAACCTTAACCCAAATTTTCGTTTAAAGGCCAAACAAAATTAAGGGGGCCTGCGCTACGTAATCTCTTTCCCGTGGAAGAGTGGGAAAGTGGGAATTCAGCTGGACCTTTGCTAGGCTGGGGCGTGGCAATGTTGGGCACAGCTGATCTGCTGGCGGCAGTGACGTCCAAGTAGGCTGGCAAAGATAAGGATGCTGGTCGGGCCGGGGGTGCGAAGGTCTATTGTTTTCCAGAGCAGCATTTCCTTTAAGACATCTGATACAGAGCCCAATTGGTTTTGACACGCTTTGTGGCAGAAGTGGTGTCATTGTTGTTGGGGGGTTAGCTGCTGTCGCTTTGCCGCTATCGCTTTCGCTATCGCTTTGCTATCATCTTCCTCTTAGCTCGACCTGCGGGCCTTCCCTCCCCCTCAATTTTTTAACACATGTCCGCCTCTCTTCTCCTTCTCAGGGGCCTTTGATGGCTCAAGTGTTTGCAGCAGACTGAGCTCTCTCAGAGTCTCTCCTACTACTCTCTGAGTCGCTCTGTCTCGCTCGCTAGTGCGCAAGCGCTCAAGTGGGCGCGATTGCATCTCGATTTCGGCAAGAAGCCAGCCACTCGGAAGCGCTGCCAACCTGACCAAGGCTGACTTCAAGGTTTGAAAGAGGGCATGGCATGCTGTCTCGAGTTGCACCGAGGGGTCTTGATGTTTTTTCCACTCGCGTGACGCCGACTCTTTCCAGGCACTCCATATGTGACACTATGTGACACGCTGTTCCTGCTCCATTCTGGGGCATTGCATCTCACAAGAATCTCACATGATATAAGCTGGTTCGCTGCTGCGCTGCATGAACCAGAGGTGATGATGATTGATGATGAGACATCGTAAACGCTCAGCCCAGAAAAAGGTGAAGTAGTTTCTTACGTATTATTAGCCCAGCCCATCTACCGGCAACCAGCTGGTAGCCTTACTTTCTCGCGGCCCTGGGTTCAGAGCTCTATGGGCAAATCAATAGAAGCCAAAACGGCGGAGCCAGTGCATGTATTGCAGCATGGCACCTGCTCGCGTGCAGCCTCTTTCGACTGCACTCAGCTGTCCGATTATTCTGCAAAGCAATGTGTCTCGCAAAAGGGCCCGGCGCGCAGTTCACGCATCAGGCGCCAGCCACGGATCTCACAGAACATGCTTCTTTTCCCAACACCGGAACCTTGAAGCACAAGGGGGCCACGGCCCGCGGGCTGTGAGATGAAATGCGAGACACAATGCAAGTGCACGGACCTTCAATCCAACTTCGCATAGATCCGCTAATATCCGCCAAGTGACTTGTTGTACAATGAAAGACCTGCGACTATGATGAACGCAATCGCAAAGATGGAGACGCCAAACATCCTCTTGTGCTGACTCGCAAGCTGGTCGAGCATCTTCTCGTTTGATCGGCTCAGGGAATCCAGGTGGCCACTAATGTCGCCACCGGCTGCAGATTTGTGAACATTCTCAATATCGATGTGCAAATCTGCAAGCTTTTTGCCCCGAGCGTCCGTATCCCTGTGCGCCGCAGCATGTATGTCTGCAAGCTCCTTCTTTATGGCCTCAAACTCCTCGCCTAGATTGTGCCCTGTCTTCTTGTCGATCTCTGCCTTCACGCTTTGAAAGCTCCTGGGCGTTGTGGCGGGTGGGGCCGGGGGGGGGGAGGGGGAGAGAGTGGGGCAGCATCTGCATCTTTGATTATACAAGCCAAGGCGCGCTTCCACAGCGGCAACGCGCTTGCTAAGTGCCTGAATCGCTGCCTTCATCTGTTCCCGTTGAGGCTTTGATTCGATGACGAGCTTGAAAACCTGAGGCCCAGGAGCGTTCGCAAACCTTGCCAAGCCCCCCTTTTGCAATCCAAGCAACCATGTTTGTGAGCTCCTTTATGGCCTGCACTCCAGAAGCAAATCATAAAGAGAAGGCTAAGGGGACTGCATGCCATGTCCTCGCCTCAGACTCAGCTCGATGATCTCTGAAGCTGGAGTGGGCACCAAGAACGTCTTCTTTGTCCCCGGTTGGGGCTTTCACATCGGGGACACTTGCCATGGAATCCTCACCTTGCCCGTCTGCATAGTTCAGGACCTGAGGCGCTCCCTGAAGTACAACTAGCAGGACCTAGCCGGATGTACACTGCTTACAAACACAGAGTCAGCGATTCAGCCCTCATCCCTTCTGGCATTTTGTTTCCTTGCTGGTCGTTTTACACATGGTTTGTTGAACGACACATCCATGTCTCGTTTCTTTGCGAGGAGACACAACCTCGGCTAGACTTTGCAGGTGCCTGTCTGCTAGGACCCCCCAGCCGAAGACCGTCCGTATACCGTTCACCAGAAAGAAGACCATCATGAGCGATGAAGAGCCCATGACCCGGCCAGAAATAGTTGCCGCTGACCACTGCAACTCAAAATTGCCGCCTGGTGGCTTTGAGGCCTTTCAATTCCACAAATGCACTTCTCTCCCGTGCAGGGTAGTAGGTGTCTTTGGAACCACCATAGCAGGAGAAGCCAACGAAGCCTCCTGCCTTTACATTCCTCAGGCTGCCAGGCTTCGGGTGCATCGAATCGACGACATGAAAGAATTCAATTTACGGCCGTACTTCATGAATGAAAAAGGGACCTCCACTTTGAAAAACATCTGCTATTTATCGAGCGGAAGTGACGCGTTGAGAGTGATAGTGCCTTTCTTCTCGCCTTTGTTCTCCACTGTGATCACAACCTCATTAGGCTTCACTCTGATTTGAACCAGGTAGTCCTCCCCGTTCTGGAAATCGAGCTGCAATTCTGCGTCCTTTCATCGTCCGAAGCCAGCGAGGACAAGACAACACGATGGATACTGCAATCATGGAGATGGACTCATAGCTTCGGCAAACTTGCTAAACACTACTGTATCAATATCACTGGTGGGATTTGCTACGCAAACCTCAAAAGAGTGCAGAACACCACATGGCACAACAAGAACGCGCCACGGGGAGCACCAAACGGATAACTGGTGCTCCAAAGCGGAAAACTGTGTGCACTGTGCCGCAGAGCACTCCCAGAGGGTGCAAAGGTCAAAATCCCAAACCCTTGCATTGAGTATAGGCCACTGAAGGCACCGAGATGCGGCGCCCTGAATCAAACCCTGTCTTCAAGAAACGAAAGGAGAACGTCAGCCTTTTTATCAAACCCTGGCCTAAAACCCACAAAACCCTTAACCCCAAACCCTAATCCCTACCCTCAAACTTTGGCCGAAGTCTCAATCCCAAAAACGCTAGCGGAGCCCCAAACAATGTAAAACCACGACGACGGCGGCATGTCGCTAGCGTCACGCATGCGCAGGCGACCACGTGAGCGTGACTTCTAAACCGCAAACGGTGCGAATGCAATCTCAATTAAGAACGAACGTGCAAATCATGCCCCTCCCTGCTATGTTTTCGCGAAACTGCGCAACCACATCGTACTCGACACATTCTTTGACAGCGATTGAAGCTATTCAGTTTTATTAGTTTTTTGGTTTGAAGCTTGAAGCTGTTGGTGCTGTGTTTTGATCGCTCAAGTAGCTTTGGCCAGCTTCTCGCAAACCCCCAAAAACAGCACTCATGCACGCCCCAAAGCCCGAGCCGCGAGGCAAACCCGTGCACGCTTAGCATGGGTTTGCGGGCTGCACTGCAACTCGCAGATTCATGGCGGGCAGGACACCTCCCTCTGAAACCTGGATTGAGGCTACAAACATCGTCTGATTTTCTGCGCTGACCTGGCTTCTGGTGAGCGACCCTTCTGTTGATTCCAAGTCTCGTCACCCCAAGAACCCTTCCCTTGCGCCTAATTACATGACTTCTGCTTCTCATCATGTTCGTGGTCTCGAGTTTCGAGATGTCTGGTATAAAAGGAGAAGTATGTTCAGACAGACAAGTTAGGGATACCGGCGCAGCTGAGGGTGCGGCAGCCTTAACGAAGGATGAGCCAGAATCACCGTAGCTTGCACTCACTGAGCTCTTGCCGACTTCATCCCTGCCAAAGAAAACCTTGGGAAGTAACTCAGCATTCAAGAGGTGCGCACCCCTGTTAGCGCGCGCAGCTGCTCTATGAGGCCAAGTCAAGACAAGCAGCCCCAACTCCTTTATACTGCGTCCTATATCCAAAGATGCCAAGCCCCATCTGCTTGACATATGGTGTGTACCATGTGCCCGCAATCAACTCATCTTGGTTGTGCGAATGCTTCATGCTTGCATCAATCACGACCTCAGATGCGTTCTCCTCAGTATACCAGAAGGCGAAGCCATCGTGCTCAAAGCCTGCTACTCCCGGCTTGGCGGAGAAAGTAAACTCTGCCGAGAAGTCATTGGTCTTCAACGGCAATTTGCTGAAAATGGTGCCTACGCGATCAGCAACCCCTGGCGTCAGGATGAGACTTCTGTGGCTGGGCATGGTCGTCCCTGACAAGTGCCACATCTTTGCCAGATGGTTGATATCTGGAGGGTTCGAAATTGAGTGCCCTGGCAGGGGCGATGGCCCCGCTTGCGCAGAGGAGGGCAGAAAGCCTGCTATCGCCAGTAAAAGCGCAGCGCTACGCATCATCCGGCCCCAGGCCATGAGGCACCAGCGGTCGGTCAGAAATCAGCGGACAAACTCTCGCAGTTTCTTGGTCCTCCGGGGCCAAAGTGCATCGTCAAGCGACAAGCAAAACGATCATTCCATAACACTCAACTTCAGTATGCACTTCAATATGCACTGTTCCATGCGCTTTCTGCCTCCGAAGCTGGCTGGCCCGCCGCAGCTCGCACAAGAGCGCGGTTCGGCGCGCGGCCCTATCCTACAGTGCTACAATGTGCTACAGCTTGAGCCCACATGACACGGCACAACCCTCGCGCACCAACATGCGGTTCGCCATGATGGCATGCATCATGGCATGCATCATGGCATGCATGATGGCATGCATAGCAATCATAGCAACACGAAGTCTACAGTCTACAGTCGCAGGCCTTGTATACCGCACGTAAAGATTCTTCTGCTGTGGCGGCTCCTGCCAGAGAAAGTGGCTTGCGGCTGCTTCTGTCTAGCCAGCACAGCAGGTCAGTAGGTAAGCAGTGCTAGGTCAGAGGGAAGTTGGCATGTCCAAGCAGCTAGTTTTTTATTAGGTCTCCTGCAAGATCAAGAGCTGGATCATCCAACTCTACTTGAGACGGATCAGACAGCCACCCCGCAATCGTAACCTGCATAACATCACTTCCACAGCAGGCAACTCACTCCACGTTGCAACCTGCACTGTGTGAGTGCAGTGTGACACACGATGGCATCTCCAGCCTGCGCATGCTGCCCTGCAAGGGCTTGCGAGGAAAGTCGAGGTTGCAGCCTGGGAGAAGGTTCCCGAACTTCGAGGGGGCCGGTTTCTGCAATGGTTTCCACCATGGTTTCCGCAATCGTTTCCGCAATGGTTTCCTCATTGTCCTGCGGTTCCAGCCACTGGTAGATGGCTTGGTGTGTCGACATTGGCGGCGTGGAGTTGGCATGGTCAGCATCAAGCAGGACGCGAGCAGCATCTCCTTGTGATGCTGCACCTTCCGGAACCTCAGGAAGATCCACGCTGGTTTCTTCGAAGGCATCTGCATAAATCTTCGCGATGGCAAAGTGCTCGTGTTCCACTTCGTCCAGTTTTTGTGCGTCCAGGGGTGCAGGCGCAAGATCCACCGCCTGGTGCATCCCTTTCTGCAGCTTGGCAACATCCTTACATGTTGGCCGAGGAGTCAGCTGACAAGCAGAAACGGCTTTCTTTCTGTCAAGCTGCCTTTGCCATGGTTTTGCTTCTTTTTTTCGCTTTGCTTCCTTCCTAGCAGGGCTGACAAGGACACATCTTCAGGATATCTACTCGGGCCATGGCTTGGGCCTTTCTCGACGGCTGCTTTGAGGCCTCCCCACCTGCAAGCTTGCAGTCTCTTGCAACGTGCAAGACGTCACCGTGACTCGCCCCACGTCAACAGCAGGTGATCTGCACGGAGCCTTGCTGTCTGAATCTCTTGGAGCTGGCGTCTGTTCCTGAGGGGTGAGGGCAGGAAAGCCATAGACTTGACAACGGGCAAGCAGCAAGTTTGTCTGATTGCAGAAGAAGCGCCTGTGCTGACTTCACTGGGCTCACCCATCTTGGACTTCCGCGTTTTGCCTTTGCCCGGTAGTTCCAGTGAAGTCTTATCGTCCTTGTGGTCTTTGCTGCGATCGTCTCCATCAGGTTGATCTTGCTTTGGCTCGGCGCCAGCATGCGTGTCCTTCCACGCATTCTTCTTGCGCCGGCAGCGGCCTGGTAAGTGTTGCACACCCTGGTAAGTGTTGCACACCCCCGAAAACGCGAGGGCCGACCCTAAACACACACGCTGAGCTCGCAAGGAAGAAGAGAAGGATGAAATGCGATATGTTCTCCACCACGCTGAAGCACAAATACTGCTGTCGCGTACGGGACGTATACACTAGAGCCCATAAAGATTCTCAACTTGGCGGGCCTGGGCATGATTCCTGCACCACCAGGATGCAGTCTCGCATGCCACTTATCACAATGAGAAGCTGTGCCTTAGAATCTAAACCTGACATAGGCATGCATTCCACTGCGTCTCACCGACGTGCGCAGCTGCGGCCAGACTGGTGCGCCTGTACTTGAGGCAAGATGCGAGAAACTGAAAGCTAAAGAGGTACTGGATGACCTTCTCCGAAGTCGACCAGGCGTCCTTCCGATCAGAGCCAGCAGAAGCAGAGGCTCAGCAAATGAACATGACGTTATTGTGCACTTGTTTTGGCGCTCTACGATGCCATGTTGATCGCTTGGCATGCGATGAATCCTCCTTCTCCATCAGAGGCAGAACTTCATCATTACTCCACCACCTGGTCGCAATCATGGCTGGCTGTATCTGTCCAGGAAATAGTTGTGAACGCTTCCACTCGGACTGCGAAAATTGTGACCCCCACCCGAGTGGGTCATTCTCCGTACTATTGTCAGCCAAGTCGACAAAGTATTTGGCATACCTAGGAAGCGATCGGCCGCCAGACGTCCCAGAAACTGTGGACGCAAGAGAGAGCTTGGCATCTTGCGACTCCTTGTCCTTGATACTCAACGCGTGTGTCCTGAGCGCTGCGGTGCACATTCGAACTTTGACCACACATGGTTCAGCCGAGGCGCTTGTCTTTCCATTGGGCCTGCACATACATCACGCATCTTGTGACTGCGCATAAAGAGACTACAGGTGAGCCAGCATCCAGCCTGATCGATCTGGACCGATGGAAGATGCGGATACGGACACTTGTACGGCTGCCACAGGTGCAGCCATTGTGCAAAAAGCCGTCCATGGAGCTGAACCTGGCCGCCTCAGCTTGTGGGGGGGCTCCAGCTCGTCACCAAACTGCCCCTACATGGTGTCCTTGCATATGCTGAGACTGCTGAGATCATGTCCGCTCATTTGGGCGATACCATCCAAGCCTTGGATTGTGCACTGCTCGGTTGCCGCTCTGCATCTGCTCTGGCATCTTGGACTCCAGCGATCTGCCAGTTCTGTGAAGTTGTGTTCTGGCCTGGGCAGCAGGCTCAACATTGTTGGCTGTACCAGTACCAGCAGGGCAGCAAGGCAAAAGAGCGAAACCATGTGCAAGCCAGTAGCATAATTTCCCGTGCGATGCTCAGCAGCTTAGCGGCTGGTGCAGCTGGGGCCTGTCTCAAGAAACTCGAAAGGCCGTAATCGTTGCAGGATACAGCTCATGGAAGCACATCAAAGCTTGAGCCACCTCCACCGCAGCCTCCACTCGCCTCAGCAAACCTTGGCAGCTCACCCCTGCATGAGCCAAGGATTGACTCGATGCAAATCAACCGAACAATGAGCCTGGCAGCCTGCGCACTCGTCGATGCAGCATATTGCGAAGTGCGGGTTCGGAGCTACGCAATTGTGGGCTCCATTCACATAATTTGTGACCTCATCGCACATCTTTTTCTCTCTCTGCTGGTTCTCTCTCTGTGACTCTCTGGCTCGCTCGCTCGCGCTTGACTGAGCGAGATCCCTATGGAGGTGCTATTGAACCTCTGGGAGCCTCACCAGGATGCTTGGAACGGATTGGCTCATGTCCAGAAGCCCCAGTCCGTGCAATTTCCTTGGTGCCAGCAACAGAAACTGTCTGGACTTGGGTCCCCTGGCATCAGCCCGAGCTCCCCTGCCCAAACGGCCAGCATATCAATACACACACATACATATATACATATATATATATGTGTGTGTACATATATATATATATGTATATCTGTATTTCCCAAACAGTGAGTCAGCGCCAAGGGGTTCCTGGAAGAGGAGTAAGAAGTCAGCGATTCGATAAGGGTCACCCGACTGCACAACACGCCCACCCAACATGGCCAACTCATCGATCTGGATCGATTCGCTCACGCGCCAGGGCATTCTGCACATTGAATGAGGAAGCTAATTCAGCCTGATCGGGACATCAGGATTCAAGCCAACGCCTCACAACACGAGCACTTTTCTAGGATTTCGACTCTCACACTCGCACACGGCCGGCAAGGCATCGGTTGGTAGGTTCATGACTGCGGGTGAAAAGGATTTAGGGCCCACGGGTGCCCAACAAAATCGATGCTGCCAAATCCCCTTGGCCGAGGGGACCCTCCAGCACTCTAAGACCCCATCTCTTCCAGCGCGGGCTCAACGAAACCATGCTGGAGAGTTTCAAACACCTTCGACCAAGACTCTGGGAAGACTCTCGGAAGAAGAACTTGTTGCCGGCCGCCTGCCATCAAAAAACTCATCGACCATACAGGACGCTCTTCATGGACGGAGCTTGTGGCATGCGAGGCCTCTGGCACGCCGTAAAATGCCTCACACAGCTGCGCCCTTATTCATTCACACCTTGTTGAAGATGTAAAGTGGCTGCCCTGCCTTCAGCGAAACTCTGCCATGACCAGTCTCGTCCAAGCTGCGCATGAGGGCCTGCATGTCCTGACCTGAGAGGCTGTCAGGAATTCAACTGTCAGAAGTGGAGACCTCGTTCAACAGCACCAGTCAGCAATTCCAAAGAGCTCGAGGAAACATACATTGCTGCGCAGTGGCAATCTGCGTTCTGGAAAGATCCATATGCCCAGACCAGCTCAAGGAAGGCTGGCAGAGCGGACTTGAACGAATAGCTGTCGGCCTGGTCCATCGGAATTCCATTGTTCCATTAGCGCTGTGGCAGCTATGCGTGACACCCCCTATCCATCTCCCTATCCCTGGAATGCATTATCGTTCTTTGCTATCGTTTTGCAAGGTGTTGGGGCATGCCTGGCATATCATGGCATACTCACCTGCCCAACGACATGTGCTGGACTTCCAATGCTTCGTCGGCTTTAGTGCTGGAATCGACTGTTCTGTGAGTCGGGTGGATATTCACTGCTGGGTTTTCGTTGGTCGCAGTACAACCTTCGCAACGGGAGTCGACCTTGCCGTGAGCCGGCTGGATTTTCAATTTGTAGTGAATGTAGTACAAGCGTAGTACTGGAACCGATGTTACCGTGAGCCAGGTGCACTTTTGTATCGTTTTACAGGCTTAACATTTCCGTTTGCCGGCAAAATCTTCATTGATTACTAGTACAGGCTAGATACTGGAATCGACATTTGCAGGAGCCGGCTGATTTGCAGCACAAGCCGAGTATTGGAATCTACCTTTCCGGAACCTTTGATTTGTTAGTACTGAGTCAACATCTCCGTGAGCCCTGTATTGCCTTGCTTTATCGTTATCGTTTGTATCTCTTATCCTTTTCTCGAGCACACTTCCCATGCGCGCAATTGAGGGCGGTTCTCTTTAATTGTCGACATGGTTTCTAATCATCGCCCCTCTTCTCTGTTGCATGACCAGGTGCTGCTGGCAAGACGTGGCGTGCAGTCTCCGCCACCAGCTTCTTCAACTGCCGCCACGACTCCGCATTCTGGGCAGCTGCCTTCTCATGTAGACCTCACGCTTGCTTGACTGCAACAGGTCCCGGGCCCTTTCTGTCCCAGCAGAAAGTCACGACCTACCACTTGTTCGGCCACATTCGGCCACAAGGCGAAATCGGCGGATCATGGTTGCGTCTGTGCCCAGCTTCAGGGTCGAGGATTGTAGAAGCACAAGGTCCCAGTCGTTCCTTGGCTGTGGTTTCATGAGAAGCTCTTGCAGGTCGAACCGACTCATGGCCGAAGCACACGAGGACCACTGCCGAAGCCAGAACTCTGCGAAGCTCCTGCAAACATTCAGATGCCTAAGCCTCACGGCCAAACCTTCCTCTACATGCCTCGATGGACCGACCCTGAACGACTGCAGCAGGGGGTTAAAACCTAAAGCCTAGAAGCCTCTGCGCGGCGAGCCGGGCCGAAGCGATACGCAGAGGGGGCTTTCCAGTTTCCAGCGCTTGGCTCCAAATCTCCAAACCCCCCCCCCCCCCGGCTCTTCCCCCGCCCTTCCCCAGATGAACCCCTCTTGGAGGGAGCACGCCTTGGGTGCAAGCAGCTCATTGGCGGTGTGGTTGCGAAGCCTCCACGCGACCTTGAGCGAAGGGCTGATGTATACTCTGCAGTTCAAGGAATCACGGCACGAGCTGGCACGAGCCGGCACGAGCCCCTAAAATCCAACGTTCACCCCCTTGGGCCCTCGTCAGAACCAAACCACTGGATGTTGCCCAGCTGCTTTGAAGGCAATGCGGACCTCTTTCATGATGAGCCTGCAGGAAAGGCTGCTCCAAGCATGAGTTGAGAATCCGCGACAGAAATCGCAGAACGCGTTCCGCAACGCGGTCCTCTGCAGAACCGCTGCATAGGCCGCAACTTCCCGCAGAGTGTAGGCATAGTTTGCTGGTAAGGCCTTATAACCGCCAGCATTGAGCGGGATTTCTGTCATGCCATGAACAAGAACTAAGAACTGGAATTCGGAAAGGTTCTGGCCGTTGCCATTGCTTGGGAAAGCTTGGAAGCCCTCGTTTGCAGCAAGCTCAAGTCAGCCAAGGCCTGCAAATGCCCAGGCGAAATCGAAGCACTGCACGCATTCCCAGAATCTTGCACAGGCCTTGGCTGGGTCTGGATTGAAAGGGTTGCCTTCCTGAAGACCTGCACAACAAGCACTTTGAAGTCACGGGTATGCTGGGAGCAAGTCGAAAACATTGAAGCTTCCTGGGTAATCTCTCCGGGCATTGAGTAAACATGATGCAGCAAAGCTTTACGGCAAAACCCTTAGAGCACCCAAGATGCTTCGCGCGCATCAAATCACTACGTGAGGACTCGAAGCTACATCCCAATAGAGTCGGTTCATCATACGTTCACTTCAGGTACCTGAAATTCCGAGTAGGCATCCTGCACAAGACGTGTCAAAGCGCCTCGCAGGTTGATGCCGAAGTTCGTGTTGAAGAAAGTGTGCCTCTGTTTCTCCAACGCGTCTGAACACTCACACACTCACTCACTCACATACTAGTATGATTTCCGACAAGAGCAGCAGAAGGGGCCAAGCTGCACAAGATGCGCAGCAGCCCGAGCACCCACCCGACCCTTCGAGGTCTTTGGAAGGGCTCGGAAGCTAGGCTCCATCCACGCCTGACAGGTCTAACTTTTGGGACTCTCAACCCTGTGGTAGTTGGTACTACATCCTAAACCCGGGTTCCGCGCCTGAGCCTGTACAAGCAGCGGCAACGACTCAGCCTCTTGCCTTACACTGATGTCCAGCAAGCAGAAGAAACCTTGACCTGCTGATCTGCCGGCAAGATGCTCGGCTAGAGAGCGAAGTAACCGTGCTTCTAGCCCGAGGTCCAAGGCCACCTCCTCACCGGAACCGATTCACCAGCTATGCTACAGCGTCAGAATGTTGACTTGTAAGCTAAAGTAGCTAAAGCATCAGCCATGGTCCTGATGAGGCTCGACCTGCCAACAGAAGGATGCAAGTAGGAGCAGGATGCCGGAGAAGATGACATAGCAGCAGAGACCGGGAGCGACCTGCATGGAAGCTTCAAATTCCTAAACCCAAAAAAAGCCTACATGGAACCCTCCAAAGTGCCGCCGGGTCACGGAGGTTGTCATGAAGGTTGCAGAAAACGTCGGCACACGCTAATCGGATGCTTGATCAGCTGACGCAGCACATGTTGGGGCCCTTTTCAGGAGATCCTTCTGATGACTGTCATGACTTATCACCACTTGTGCATAATGGGTCCAAACAACTCATATGGCAAGCATCTTTAAGACTCGGGCCCTATTCAAGAATTGCGGGTGTGTGTGTGTGTGGGGCGGGGCTGAAGCCGATTTCCAAGTCTGAGCATGGGACGGATGGGACGGATGTGACTGCCTCTGTGGCCTCACATAGTTCGTATAGACGGGGACCTTGTAGCCAGCGACCTCCATGTCAACACACACACACACACTCAGCTCAGCGTGGCCACCAGAAGCAACTAGGTCCGAGGTAAGTGGTCGGCGGGCGGTTCGCTTGGACATCGCAGTGAGCATCCGGTGGACGTCACCGATGTTGCCTGCCATGGGCAAAATGGCTCAGAGTTCCAGAGTTCCAAGTTCCAAGAGTGCTTTGGGCCTCTGGGGAGCGGCACCGTGTGGGTGCTGCCCCTGGCCTAGATCCGGGTTCAATTTTGTTCAATTTTCTCCTTCTGAACAAGATCCGCAAGCGAGCGACACCGGCAGTGAGATAGCATCATCAGCTCTAAGGTGCCATGGCCGCCAACGCCTTTTTGTTCCCCACTTTTCGCACGTGACGGAAGCTGGGCAGATAATCCTGGCAATGCACCACGACATGCCGCGAATCAGTGGGAATGTGCAGCAAAGTGGCCTCAACCCAGGCGCAGCACTGCACCCTCAGGCACAGGCTGGCTCACCACGGCCTGCAGAACTTGATGTCATCTTCCAAGGGGTCAGCTGAATCCAACCCAGCATGCAGCATGCCTTGACGGTGAAAGCGTGCTTGCTGCCCATTGAGATCTGCAAGCGCACGTTGGCCTGATAGCATGAGAGAACATGAAAGGCACGTTACTGTACAATATGTACTACTATACCTGCATCGGACATCCGACGCACCAGGAATCAAAGGGATGCGCAGGGCAAAAGGCCTCCTCAGTGGGTGTGGCGCCAGCTCTCAGTCGTCCGAAGGCCGGGTAGTACCCAACACCGACCTCAGCTGTTGGCACATTGTCGTCATATTTCTACCATTCTTCGGTGTACTAAGGGCACTATTGTAATGCAAGCAATATTGGGGTCAGGGCTGGCTTGCCAGCGGCGACATGCTCGATGCGCCCGGCGATCACGGCGGCGAGGATCTCCTCGGCACCTCGATGATCGAAACCATCTGAATGGCAGGGTAAAGTAGTAGGCTGTGCTTGACGCGAGCACGTTCGTCGCTCCACCGAACAGCCGAGCAGAAGTGCGCAACCTGGAGGTATGCTCAAAGACTCAGCAAGGTGGCACATGCAGACAATGCGGACATGGACCCATCCGCCTTCTGCACTGCCGGTGTGCACGCCCTGGCTTGCTGCACTGCTGCCTCAGATGCCCAGTGATACACTTCCTTCCCCAACTGCAATCTGACAAGCCGAGGTTCGTCAGAGAGCGGCTTCAACAAGGCACCTGGTTGGAGCCGACCTTCCTCCCATTCGCGCAATACCTTGGTCCGATGCTGTCATGGTGTGCCATTTTCACCGCTGCTTCGCAGCGCCGCTCGCACATTTGCAGATGAGCCGCTTCTAGCCCGACAAGAGTGAAGGCTCCTCGGCTGCTTGCAAGGCGAATGCCCGACGTCGTTACGACATATCCCGCGTCTGTGCATGGGCTCTTCAGTAGCTGGCATGCCACCATGCATCCGACGTGCCCTTTCGTGATGGACAGCTCAGGACCTAAGCCATGTGATGCCACCCAAGTGATGCCACCCACGTGCTGCCAGCCCCATGACCTGTGTCCCGACGGTCTCGGTACATGTTTTGAATTGATCATCGCAGGTGCATGAAATAATTTGCTGGGCGCGCGCACACATAGAGCATGGGCTGGGAGCTATGTCACTGCAGCGTGGACAGTAGTTGGCCTGATATGTCGGGGCATGTTACTTGACCGGCTCTGTGCATGCGACTTGGATTCTCTAGGGCCTGTTGGCACGTAGTGCACCGGAGCAACGCTCCCCCTGAACCGCAACGGGTACAGAGTTTCCCTCGCCTCGGCTGCAGCAGCCCTTGACAGCTTTAGCATGTGTTTGGCGCCACTTCTGGCATGCAGCCGTGCACTCAGTCATGGACATGTCCGGCATGGGCTGCCAAGATAACGGCGGCTCTGCAAACAGCACATCACCAACACACAAGGTCTTTGTGGCCAGCAAGACCTGAGCACCAATCGGCAAGAATTGCAGCTGCCTCGGACATGGTCGTCATCTGGGCCCAGGCTCCATCAGATCGGCTGGCCAGCATGCTGGAAGGCACGATCTGTCCAGTTGCGCAAGTTTTAGGCTCATCTGTCCAGGCCCCACTTTGCCGTGGACCCGGCCTCGCTGGGATGCATGAGGATTGGGGCCGGACGGGCTCTGGACGAGCACACGCTCCGGTGGAGAGACCAATGGCTTCCTTGGCCCAAGGTACCATGATCTATCAGCGTCGCATGCCCAAATCCAAGCGGGTGGCTACCACAGCTCTCGTCGCAGTAGCGCACCTCGCGCAGGTGAGACAGCGTCTAGGACCCTAGGCCTGCAAAGCGGCGGATTGCATTCCTACTTGAACGACACGTAGCATACGTCACTGCAGCATTGCAGCTGACAACCAGAACAGCACATAACACGGAGGTGGAACGACCTACATCAGCATGGACTTGTGCAGCTATGCAGATGCATGTGTGCATCTTAATGCTGGACCTGCTTTAGTGTGCCGCCCCCCCCCCCCTCCCCTCTGATTTTGACCCTCTGTGAACAGTCCAGGTTGTGTTTTTTTTTATTTTCATAGGGAGGACTCTATACAAACTCAAAAGGGATTAGATCAGAATCTTAGGGACCACCCCGACCCCACCTAGGAAGGGATTACGGTCTCTCTTGGAAAGGAGGCCTCCAAGTTTCAAAGGCCAGGCCATGAAGCCAAGAGGCCAGCGCATCGAAATGCAGAGCCCCGGGCCCGGTGCCAGGGCATTAAAGCAGGTCCCAAAACAGTGCCCACTACACCGGCGGGTCTGGATTGATTGAGACAAACTACTTTATGGCCTGGCTTGCCTTCAAGATTGGGAGGCCCGGCCTGTAAGCCAAGAGGCAAGGGCGGTTTAAAGTTGGCTTCAACACAAGCCCCCCTTTCTGGAAAAAAATCTGGGAACGGCTTGACTTTAAAGGGGGTCCCACCCAGCACACCGAGACAGCCACAGGGTCCTTGGCCTTTATAGAGGGGGCCTCTATAAATGCGCATCCAACCTTACATACATCATTAGGTCACCGGATTCACATCATTACTCTTATGATTCTTACGCTGGTGATTCTGATGATTACTTCTATTACTACTGCTCCTCGTCGTCGTAGTAGCTGCTGCCATCTCCGCCGGTTGACACAATCGTTGATTCTTCAGCAGCCCTTTTTGTCTCTTTGCAGATCTCAGCGGGTCTTGCATCGCTGGTTGAGAGGTTTTGAAGAGCGGCACGCTCATGGCGTGGAGGCCGGCGCGGCCACCGGGGCCGAAGTCGCAGGAGGCTTCTTGGAGCGCAGGCGACAGGCAGCACAGGCCACGGCTGTAGGCAGCAGGGAACTGGCCAGGGCAACGGCTGCCGACACCTTGAAAAGCGTGACCTCTCCCAGGCCGTGCAACAATAGCCCACCAATCCAGGCTGCGCTGCCCTGACCGACACCGACCCAGCAAGAGCCCACAAGGCTTTGCATGGTCGTCTGGAGTTCTTCAGGTGCAACGTCGTGAACCTGCGGATGCGGCACAACATCACGCACCCTTCGCAGCGAGACTGCACCAATCCAACCGCTTCCAACTTCCAACTTTCCTACACTACAACCGCAGCAGAGACTCATGGAGTGTGACGGCTGCGTTTGCAATGGAGAAAGTGATGCCGTGAAGCAGCTCCCCAGGAAGCACCCAGGCGGCATCCCAGAGCCACGCAATCCAGGCCTGGAAAGGAGTAGTGAAACTAGCAGCTGATTGGCAGCTCGTGTAGCGCCCAGCTTCTAACTGCAACGCCTTGCCTGCCGCAGGGCTGTGCACAACAGTGCCAGGCTCATGATGGGCCTGAGTCTACAGCCGCACGCGGTGCTCGAAAAACAGGCCGGGAGCTACACATAGGCAACACCTCCATAAACAATAGAAACATCAAGTGACTCCACCCTGCTTTGCGAGGGGCTGCACATCTTGCTTGGTTACATCTTGTCTTGACGCGCTCCACCCTGAATCTTGGGCCTGGGACCTGGGAGTCCACGACAAAGACCCCCAGGCCAGGAGGTCGAAGGGGGGGATGGGGAGTGTGTCCAAATTGCTTTCTGGGCATCTTTAGCACGGCCTCTTCTCTTGAACTTCTTCTATAGAAAGAGGCAGGCCGGCATCCTACTCCTTGCACCTCCCCACGCCACGATGTGCGCCAAGCTGCATGATTCCAAAGCGGTCGATGATACGATTCGCGAAATAGAAGAAAGGAACCTCTGATATTATCATACACACTGCACTGAGGCCCATAACCGTTGAAGACCCATGCTTCAGGTGCTGCAGCCTGACATATGTGTACGTTTGCATGATGCCCTCGCCGAAGCCCAGCGACACCACGATGATCAGAGTTAGGGCAATGCCTGGTGTCACGATGAAGCGTAAAAGCTCCCGCAGGCTCGGGGAGCGTGGAGCTTGGGAGCGCTGATCTCCCTGGACTCCCTGGGCTTCTTCTGACATATGTGTCGCATCTTCCGCATCTTCCCCTCTTTGGCCAGTGGCCATTTCAATGGGCGTTGAGAGGAGCTGCTCCCGGGACGAGGCGCGTGATAGACCGACTGCGATGACCGACATCATCAAGCCAACGGCCAGGCTCTCCAGAAAGACGACATCATAGCTGAGCGACGCATGCAACCACTGAGCAAGGAGTCCAGTCAGCAAAGATCCCGAGGCAAAGCCAAGGCCCCCCCATAGCCTCACCTTGCCGTAGGTCTCCTTCCCAACATTGCGCAGAGTAATCTCTGTCAGCAGGCCACCTGGAGAGATTGCTGCCTGAATGGAGACAAGTGCCAAAACCCACCAGAATCTTAAATGCGCCGGAGCATATCTGAGAGTTGGCCAGATAACACATTGACAGCACGCCTTCAGAAATGATGTTGCAGCAAACAAATAATGCCTCTTCTCCGCGGCCGTTCGATCTGCCAGGAATCCTATCAGAGGGCCTGTTACGACTGGTGTAATCAACCCCAAGGCGGAGATGAGACCGATCGAGGAACCCGAGAAGCCAGCTCGCTCGAATAGGATGACGACGAAACCTTGGGGCCTTTGAACTGCCCATGCAAAACCCGACAAGAACTGCAGCAGAATAAGGTTCACCAGGGTGGCGGAGAACATGAGCTCACCCTAATGCCTTCCTCGCAGGGTATGCTCCAACACGGCTCCTCACACCTCGAACGAAGAATGGCTCTTCTTGGCAGCTTGCTTCCCTGGCTAAGACAGAACCTTACAACTCTGAGCCAGAACAGCCCATGGCCAGACAAACTGCAGCAGCTGGTTTGCAAAATCAAGCCGCAGAGCTCATGCCGACTGCCTGCCCGCATCCACCACATGCCCAAACGGCGCCACACGAACTGCATGAGCCACCTGAAAGCTGAGCGGCCCAGCGTTAAAAACCATAGAACACGGCAGCGCAGCCTCAATAAGTCGCTGCCTCTACATCTGCAAGATTCTGCAAGTGTGAACGTGGGCTGAGTCGGAGTCATCTACTCGCCCCATCTGGGATGACCTCATACTCGTTTCGTCCGCCAGGTCGGCAACGAAAGATGCAATGAATGATGATGCAAGGCAGACACGCCTCCCCCACACCATGCTTGTAGCGACCGAGTTTGTGCGGCGGAGCTCGTTCGACTAAGCGGCCTGCAGATCCAACAAGCCACATGTCGCTAGAGACCTTCACCATGATGTGGGCCGTGGGCAGCATCGGTTGTCAAATTCAGCGCCTTTTCCTTGTCCTTCTTCGAAGTAGATTTTGGGGCCCCAGCAATGGGCTTCTTGCATGTGCATTTTCTTCACACAACATTGATTTGGGTTCGCTCCAAAGACTTGATTTCAAAACTCTGGTAGAGTTGAGAAGCAGATTGGGTTGACAAAAGGAGCTCTGCCGCTTTCTCTCTCCTTATGTAGTCTGTTAGTTTCAAAGGGCGGACGGGGTGGGCCTCCCTTACAATTCCTTCAAACAAAGATAGACGAAGGCATCATGGTGACAGTATAGAACAACGAACGCGCAGCCACACAGACATTCCCTTTGCTTAGTAAGGAGCCACCAGGAAAGTCTTAGGAAGTCCGTGCGGGTTTGGGCCAGCATGGGCGGCCTGAAGCCACAAAGTCAGCCCATGCAGCAGCAACCCCCGTGATGTCAGTGTCATCCAGGACCTTGAGAGCACTCCGGTGCGTTTGGCTTTTCAGCATGCAGAAAAGCTGAGTCTCCAGCTAGGATGGAAGTAGTTTCTGGATCCTTGTGCGCCATACGACAGCCTCAGATTTCGAGGCCATGTGCCAGGCTGTGATGCCTTCAGTTGCCACACGTCCACTGCATGTTGTTTCTACATGTTTCCCAGGCCGTCAAGAACCAACTTGCCTCGTCGCTGCGATCTACTTCTGCGGATGGCAGCAACGGCTTGGTGTACTCAACACACTGGAGTCCCAAAATTTGGCTGCCCTGGACCATGCAGGCCCATACCTCAAAGGCTGGGACTATGTACATCTCTGCCTGAAAGGAAAAGCATTCTGCGTGTCCCTTGAGGACGTACAGTCTGCAGCCATGCCTGTACAGTCTTCAATATCTTACAATGCTCAATGCCCTCTCACAGGAACTTGGAGTCGAGGGCATCAGGAAGTGCCCACTCATTCCTGCACGTCATAAGGATGCATACGTGGATAAGCGGAGTCTCAAAGTGTCTCAAACTCCAGATAGAGTGTCACTCAATGTCACGCACCTGATCCTTCACAATTGGCCGAATCGTCTGCTCTGTGCGGGATTGCCTGGAATGGGTGTCTTTCGCCATCATATCTGGAGCACATCCACAGCAGACTCTGCTCAACGTGGCACAGGGCGCCTGATGATGTAGAAAAGATTCATAAGCTGGACCTGTTGCCAAAGGTCGCCCGTCCACAGCTGACACAGCTGACAGAGCTGTTACTTGCTTTGCAATTAAACTAGACCAAACACAGGGCCATCAGTCCAAGCTGCGCTGATAAAGAGAACGACGCATGCGGCGATTATGCCCGCAATCAGCATGTTCTGGCGGTAGATGGAGACGGTCACGGCTATAAAATTCTCGTAGCCCTCCAGTCCAGATCCGCAGTAATCCTCTCATTGGGCTCGTGCGGTGTGTTCACTCCGCACAGAATCCAATGGCTCCTGTTGGCACTGCTCCAGGGTAAAGCCAGCACCCGCAGCCATCTCTATGATCTTGCACACGCCCTGCGCAAGGCATTCGTCACACACCCTCGAAAACAAAGAGAAGCAACTACGGAACGCAGAGGATCAACCATCCTCTGCTGAACTGAACTGCTCATCCACGCCAGAGATTAACGGGCCTGGCATCATTCACTTGCGACTTGGGATCACAAGCAGTAGAAAGCCGCGAATTCTGACATGCTGCCAAGTAGCAGAACCTGGGATGAGACGGATCCGTCAAGATGAATGCCTTTGACGGCACGTTGTGTCAAACGAAAATGCCGGCTCCTTCTTTTTGGCACTTCGATCCTTCCTAAAAAAACTTTGCGCCCGCAGACTTGTCACATGGGACATTGTTCGCGGAAAGCTCAAGACCACCTCAGCTTAGCCTTGCTGGCATCAGGAATCTGAGCCGTGGACAGCGTCCTCTGCGAGGCCTTCGTGCTGCGCCTTGCACTGTCGTGCTGCTCCATTGGCGGCGCGGATGTCGAAGAGCTCCGTGGGCTCACAGCCTGGTCAAAGCACCGGCGAGACTTGGAAACGCTTCGCAGTCACTCACCTTGACAGGCATTCACAGGTGTACTGACATAGGTGTACTGACATATGTGGACAATGCAAGGCTACCGAGGAGAAGGCATGTCTGATATGTTCGGCATGCGAAGGACTCCATGCGGGCGTAGAGGGCCTGGGTGCCGAACCAGAAGAAAGCAAGCTCCGCACCACGAAGGCATTGAGGATTGGTGGCGGGTGCATTAGGCGCCTTGTGCGTGCAGCGCAAAGCCTGACATGTTGTCTTTGGTGAGCGTTCGGGCCATATAAAGAAACAAGGACATGATCAATCGACTGACTATAATGTGTATAACTGCCCTCCTTAAATCCTTAGCATGGCAATATAACTGACGCAATGAATATCTCGAATATGACAAATACATTAGATAACGGATATGACTAGCGAATGTGTAGAATTAAATGGGTGTAATGGCTAAAATGAATGGGCATCATGAAGATAATGAAAACAGTGAATGCGAGGGTCATAAGGAACAACAGTAACTAAAGACTTATTCTAGTGGTTATATCGCATGAACATAATACAATGAGCTTAATGCGTTGCATGAATGCCAATGATTGTGTTAGCTATATTACCATATTTGTTTCATGAGTTAGAGCGACGCTCTTGGACTTATTAAGTATGTTGATTGTATCAGTTTTGCCAGTAACATCAGTAAAACCCTGTGAACTACGCATAATCATTATACTAATTACATTATTCATTTTTGGTATACGAAATATTTTCACAATGTTCACATGCAAATGATCTTCCAATGGATGTCGAGATATTGTAACAATCAAATAGATGATACATATATATATATGTATGTATGTATTTATACGGGATGTGATTGATAAAGCCCAGAGATTTCAAGAAAATGATTTTTGGCCCGAACCCTCGAGCCAAAAATCCCCAAAGTGCACAAAAAAAACACCCTGACATTTCAAAAACAAACTTGACGGCACAAAAGCCGTGGAAATGCTGAAACCTACAGGGAATCATAAAACACCCACATAATGGAAAGCTCGGCGGCTCCACGATTTTAAACTGCTTGAAAAGATGGTCAAAGCATGCTAGTATTCTTTGCAACTCGTGTTTTGCATGATCCAAAGAACCGATAAAATACATCATATTCATGGTATTAATGATACTGATTAATTCTGTCCAGTATGCGAATTTCAAAATCAATAATACGTATTTGACCTATTTTAGTGAATATGATGATAGTTCATACTTGTATTACGTACATTGCGTGTATATATATATATATATGTGTGTGTGTGTATATATATATATATGTAAACCTTCCTTATTATGCCAATTATATGAACCACCGTACAAGAATTCTATCAACCTCATTCATAACATGTTTCTGTTATTTATGGTATGTGCGCATATGAGTTTATGAATGACACCAAATATAAAGTGATTTTAAACATGTATAACTACATGAATTATGTATGCTAATTCATACAGGTATATACCCTTATTCATTCTATAATTATATCATAATATTCAACTACATCCTGTCATCTACGAGGCCTGGCGGCCACAGAACCTTTTTTGCGGCTTTGTTTGGAAAATTCGGGCCGGCTCGAATGTTCCAAAAACTCTTGAAGCACCATCGAGCAGGCTCGACTTTACCGAAAAAACACTTAGCTTCTGGCATCCACCAGACTGCTGGGGCCACAGGTTCTGGAATTTCGGGTTCGGTTAGAAGTTAGAAAGTTCGAGCCTGCTAAAGCTTTGACGACCTGGTCCTTCAAGAGTGTTTGGAGAATTCGAGCTGCTAGTACGGTCCCCATTGGTCCCCGAACTATGGCTCAGCGGCCCCCAGGTCTCTTAGATGACAGAGTTGCGGGCATTCGGAAAAATCAAGCCAGCTCGAGTTTTCCTGATCGTAAGGTTTTCTCACAATGTAGCTTTAATCGGCCCTGTCGGCGTTTCAGCCCCCTCACCTTCTCAAATCCGCCTGTTTCCAAGCAGACTGAGCCTATGCCTATATGTGTGTATATAGACATGTATCTGTCTCTCGCTGTGGTGGCCCCGACATGCCTTGAGACAGAAGCTTCAACAACAATTCTCACACAGCGTCTAGTGCCGCAGCTGCCTCAGAAGATCTCAGGAACTTTGAATTTGCACACCAGGTTGCCGAGTGGGCGCCTTCCTCTGACCATGCCCCGCCAGATTCGCCAGCCTTCGTTTCGCAAGCATGCACCCTTTCCCAGCCCTCATGGAAGGTAGCTGGTGGCTCCTGTGACAGAGAGCTTCTGCTTAGCCCATCCACATCCTGCGCGTATTTGGCCTTCAGGTCAGGCGGCTCTGGAACAAAACTTGCGACAAAGGATATGGTGGCCTGGCTGCATGCGCACATGACACTGGACATGGAATCTACGGCAGCCGAGCATCAAATAGACCAGCGGTGCAGATGAATACGATGAGCATTATCAGGCCGATCAGAAGATAGACTATCATCAGGCAGCGGTATCCTTTCCTCATCAAACGATAAGACGTTAAAAAAAAAGAGGCTATGTTCCTGTGTACTGCTTGCAGCTCAGCGAAAAGTTGGAAGTTCAGTCGTGTTGCCGAACAGCATAGATTCCGAAGCAGGCCAAGACTGAAAGGCCCACGCCAGCAGCTAGCACCACATAGACTGCGGCGGTGCTCATATAGCCTTCGATGACCTGCACTCAGAAGGTCTCAGAAGCCCCGAACGACCTGCTTGATGTTTGCAGATTTGCTTGGGCCTCCTCGTTGTAGAGCACGAAGCCGGCAGCAGCAGCCGCGACCACTCCACACAACAGCACGAGTGTGGTGAGAAAGTAGAATATCTTCTTGGACTTCTCCTGTGCGATAGGAAGAATCACCGAACGACCGCAAGAGAGCACAAATTACCGCAACCAGCCATCGAGCCAGCGGCATCACCACCAAGGCAGTCGGTTTGTTACCCAAATCCCTCCTGGCGTCCGGCAGGGCAAAGATAGCTCTTGCAGCAGAGGCCCCAGAAGCAGATATTGACAGGAATCAAAACGACCCAGGACCTGAGAGTTGCTGCATGTCGTGAAGTTGATTACGGACCTGTACAAGATTCCCGCTGCCCTTTCGATCTTCTATATCATTTCCAAGCAGCAGCCCGAGCAGAGCTCGCATGCAGGGGTCACCCATGAAGTCTTCTTGGCATTGGTTCAGGTTGGAGGCGTGGTTAAGCAGGTCGCTCGCCCATTTCTCGGGCCCTTGGCTCCCAGATGTCATGGCAGACACATCGGATTAGTTCTTTTTCATCAATCCGGCCTGCAGAAGCCACCTCGCCTGATGGCGCACTTTTGCAGGAGGCATACCCCAAATCCTCCAGCACGCTCGCGTCACCTCACCAGAAACATCCAGAAAACTCTGAATCACTTGCAGCGATCAAGGTTCTCAAACTGATCAACGGCGGATAACCAAAGTCCCGCGGCCTGTGAAGCATTCAACGTCACACAAGGATTTGCCATTCTCGATGCGGCTGCTGCCCGTGCAGCCAGGAACGCACTTTGCCAAAGCTTTGTCCGTTGGGCTTGCCTTCATGGATCACAGAGATACAGGGCATCAGTAGAAACAGGGTCGCCCAGAGTCGCCCAACGGTACTTCGGAATCCACAAACGCTTTCTGCTGCCGTGCATCTGCAGACCAGGTTCGGTCACATTTGGAGGAGGCGAGCCCGGTCACTGTCTGGACGGTTTGCCTTCAATGATCTGCAGACGTGACAAGGGGACAGACAAGCAAACAAAGATGTGGCAAGAACGCAACTGGAGACACGCTTTGGCCCCTACCTCTCTCCACATCTGCTGCTGACGAACGCACACCCGCGGCCCTGACCCCAGTGGACGCAGTCTGCGTTACCTTGCAACACTGTTTGTTTCGATCTCTCTTCTTCTTCTTCTTATTCTTCTTCTTCTTCTTCTTATTATTCTTATTCTTCTTCTTATTCTTCTTCTTCTTCTTCTTCTTCTTCTTCTTCTTCTTCTTCTTCTTCTTCTTCTTCTTCTTCTTCTTCTTCTTCTTCTTCTTCTTCTTCTTCTTCTTCTTCTTTTCTTCTTCTTCTTCTTCTTTTCTTCTTCTTCTTATTTTTCTTCTTATTTTTCTTCTTCTTCTTCTTATTCTTCTTCTTCCTCTTCTTCTTCTTACTCTTCTTCTTCTTCTTCTTCTCCTCCTTTTTCTCCTTATTCTTCTTCTTCTGCTTCTTCTTCTTCCTACTTCTGCTTCTTCTTCTTCTTGTTCTCAGCTCTCTCTCCCTTCATCTCTCAAGTCTCACGCTCATTCAATAGACTCTTCAGCGTGCATGCAAGATAGCTACTGTAGTTGGCGAGGTAGTGGCCCATGTCTTCGAACGCTGCCAAAGTTATGGCTGAGACAGCATCACCGTCTCCGTAAGCCATGACATCGTCTCGCATGACTCTTGTTTCGTGATGCGAATCTCGACCATATGGTGGCCAGCTCATCAATGGCAACCCTTGCCACTGGTCATCATCATCGCACCCAAAGAAAGATTTGGCAACTTCATAGGTGCGGGTCCCCTTGACGAAATGATACACTACATCTTCGGCCCCGTCGGCATCCACCACTTTTCCTCACTGCATGTGGGGGTGAGCAGCTCTCTCCGTACAACTGCTCACAACTCCTACACGGCTTGAGCTTGAGAGCATTTTTGTTGCTCCCAAAATGCTTCCAAGCGTCGCTGCTCCAACAGGGTCCGACGCTGCCCTCCGCTTCCATAGGCATTCAGCCATGCGCCAGAGCCGAAGCCCAGTCCATGAAATACTTCGTGTATCACCAATCCCTTCGCTGATGACATCAAGGTCGCGCGTGGTATTGAGAAATCATATCGAGAGTACCAGTTAAAGACAATGTGGATGGGCCTTCCATTTTGATCTGCAGAGCATGAACCACCAGTACCACCGATGCCCGGCACTGGAGAAGGACCCGTCACGCTTAGCACGACGTCTGCCTGCACGCCTGCGTCACAGAATGAGTCCTTGGCTGGATGTTAGTGCTGGCACACCTGTACCGCCTAGACTTCGGGCTCAGCAGCTCAAGAAGCCATCAAGGAAAACCGATGATGATTCATCCGCGCTTCAGGAACGACAACGTGAGAACCTTTCGCGCAGTCAGCATTGCAGTAGCTGCCCAACTGGTTGGTAGTCTTCCACATAGATGGATACGAACCTTCGGACTTCTTGAATACCAAGCTGCCCTGCACAGGCTTAACACTCAGGAATTTGGGAAGGTCTGCACCATGCTTGTGAACTGCATCGATGACGAAATCACGCCATTCCGGAGTGATTACATCCTTGGCCGTGCATCGGCACCACTTGTCCTCACTTAGAATGTCCATGCCAACCACATCACGGTTGCAGTCATCGGGACCTGACCCTGTCGGCTTGGGGTCAGTTGGAAAGTTCACACGATACCAATCGCCTTCATTGAAGCAGTACCTGTCCCGCAAGAGAGGGTTTGCTTGCACCTTGTCTTGATACAGGGTGTCGAAGTTGTAATGGATTCGAATGGGGTTGGTGTTCGACTGCGAGAGAGTTCCTTCACCCAGCCGCCGGTCTTTGCGGCCACGGGCATACTTCTGGCCTTGTGGCTTCAAAGGTCTGCCATGCTTCTGATACTTCTCGACAATCTGGTCCAAGAGCGGCTTTGGTGAAAGCCCTCGGAGTGGCACTTCAAACCCTTGTGACAGCCTCCTGCCATCGAAATCCTCTTTGGCACGAGCGGCATCTGCACGGATCTGCTCGATGATAAGACCGGCATTCATGCCATCTTTGTCCTTGCGAGCATGTCCAGCAACCTCAGGTGAGACGATCCATGCAAGAAGACACACATAAGTCAGCGTCCATCCATTCTGGGCGAGCGGGTAGGCCATGCAACTCGTATGCCCACAAGAACCTCAACGGGTTGTTGCAACGCAGCCTGAACTGGTGTCAGACACTTTGCGCTTTGAGCCAGGGTCGCAACAATCAATCACAACGTTAGTCAGGCATTTCACAATGCCCCCTTTCAAGGAAGACATCCTATCGACAAGTCTGCAATTTTGGGCCATGACAACTCTCCAGGTCCGCCATTGCTTGCCTGTACCTCGGGACCCACTGGAAACAATCAGACATATTCACACAGATCTCAATGGCAAGCACGGACCATCAAGATTCCTGCTGATGTCCGCCATCTATGTGGAACATGTCGAAGCGTACGTCTGGGTGCTGCTGGTGGTATCTCGGCCTACAATACCAACAAAAACTGATGCAGTGCGATGCCATTGCACGGACAATCATGACGCGCAGGCTCTTTGTGGACTTGTGGCAATTGAGCTTGCGGGGAGTTGCTGAGCTCTCAGCAAAGTAGTAGTGCTCGAGCCCTCTACCAGCTGTAAGCCTGGCCATCGTTTCGGGATCTGCTCATGCTCTCCCAAGGTCTTCCTTCGGCAAGTGGCAGAAGCCAAGCTGCTGACGACCTTGTCCGAAAATGGATTGCAGCACCTGTGTGTCACAGTGTGATTCTGGGTAAGGTGACTGATGAATGCAACAGTATAGCATCTCGACACGCACCTCCGCACAAGGCTTGGTGTAAGCGTGCTCGCACAGATCGAAGGCCACAACCTTCACTTTGGGATTTGCAAGCCTCAGACTCGGCCGCTTTGAACAACAGACATGGCGCCCATGCTCAGTGCTCGCTGGTCTTCAAACTACGGACTGACTGCAGGCCTGGTATGCAGCCATGCCACAGCATCAAGCAAACAGAATGCCCAGCATTGAAGCCAATTTCGAGAAGACTGGGATCATCTCCTGAGACGATGCAGTACGTAGATCCAGTCAAAACTTCACCAAGTATCCGTGCCTACACTGAAACAGCTCCACTTGGCGCGCGGCTTCGTGCAGACAGGTTCTGCGACAGCTGGAAAAGATTCCTGTCTATGCTGCTGCCTACATCGTTCTAACCCAAGCAAGCCCATTCTCCGCTCCTCTGCTTAGCTTCCATGTCTGGCTGCGGGTCCCAAGAATTCCTTAGGGCAAGTCAATGTGCCGCGTCCACACGAAACCGACAAGACCCACACTGCAGTTCTCGCTGGTTTCCCTTGGTTCGGTCCTTTCCTTCCCTCCTTCCTTCCTCCCCCACTCCCCGCCTCTCTCGCTTCGCTCGCGCTCCCTCTCCTCCTGCATAAAATCGATACAAACCACGTTCGAGTCCCCGTATCGCCAGCATTCGCCAGCCCACACCTCATCCCTCGTTCAGCTCGAGCATACCCAGCCACCTCACGTCGGCTGACGCTGGAAGTCGGTGTCTGAGATAACTGGCCACCCGCAAGCCCCCGCCACTTTTCCTTGTTCTTCCCGCGGGCGCGAGGGGCCCCCCTTCTCTTCCTGTCTTCTTTCTTTCTTTCTTTCCTTCTTTCTTTCTTCGGGCATGGGCGCGAACCCCCGGGCGCCCACGCCCGCCCCTGTATTCGGGGCCGTTCCTGGAAGCTGGTTAGGGCCAAGACGCGTGGCTCAGTGGTTGCCTTCCTTCCTTCCATCTTTCTTCTTCTTCCTCCTCCTCCGTATTATTCTTCTTCTTCCTCCTCCTTCTGCTTCTTCTGCTTCTTCTGCTTCTTCTGCTTCTTCTGCTTCTTCTGCTTCTTCTGCTTCTTCTGCTTCTTCTGCTTCTTCTTCGGCCGAACTCGCTGTCTCTGTCTCTCTCTCTCTCTCTTGCGCGCGTGCCTTCTTCAATCAAGCTGCCATGTGTGCATGATGTTGCCTTCACATGGCTCTCCAGAGGCCTGGCCGCTAAGTGCGTCAAAATCAGTCGAGACAAGGCTCAGCGGCACTTGCACTAGTTTGCATGGGGGCCTCCACACACGCCCGCAATTTTCTGAAAGCAAAAGACCCAATTGCCTGTCGGCAAGTTGTCGCGGCTGGGCACACATTGCACCTACGTTTACACACGTGCCTCTTCAAATGCACCCATTGGCTAGTGCCAAGCCGTCATGACAGAGATGGCACCTGCAACCGCCCAAAGCGTTCAATAGGTTGAGTCTGATTGGCACGAAGAGAACTTGAAGACCCATGCAACAGGTGGGAAAACGTAGCCGCAGCTGTTAAAACAAGTTTTCAAAAGTCAAACAAACTGAGTTGCATTAGTGTTGCCTTCTTGTGGGTCCCTGCAGAGAGGGGTGGTGGAAGATGAGGATGAGAAAACCATGGGCTTGGTTTGACTGCGAGACAAATCTTTCGAGGGCGTTGTTGGCTTCAGTCCGATGATTGTCTGATAGGCCTGCGTGCCGCTCATCTCTGTTCCCAGACACTTGTGTGTTTGTGTGTGTGAGCGTATGTGCGTGCGTGTGCGGGTGTGCGCGTGTGATTGTGTGCGTGATGTTCAGAGTCCCCCCCGAAGGAGGAACCCGGCCACGACGGCCAAGCGGGTTCGCGGCAGTCCGAGCTTGGTCTCCAACGGTTTTCATCGGGGCCCCTTGGAGTGGTCGGCTTCACCACTGTCCTCACTATGTCTAATAGGGTCCTCTTCCTCACTTTCAGCTTACATGTAGTAGTCGGTGTTGCCCGTTTCCACGTTCCCCCTTTTTTCCTCCTCTGCTTCTTCTGCTGCTGGGCTTGAGGGAGTGCAGGCGCCCTCCCCCGCGCGCAGGGCGCGCCCGGCTGGTCTCAGGATCCCAGTGAAACCTTTTCAGACAGAGGCCGGAGGCTTCCCCCCAGATAAGCTATCCCGGCTATCCCCCACTATTGCCCCACTCTGCTCCGCCTTGTGAGACTGCCGGCTGTTCCCAACCTGAGCGTATGTGTCCTTTCTCTCTCTCTCTCTCTCTCTTCTTCTCGTCCCCGTTGTGGGTTGTTGCACGACGGATTGCTGTCCACTAGTATGTCAAGTGTCGACCGCATCATGAACTGGCTCATGCCATGTTGCGAGGCGGCACTTGTAACACCACCCTGCCTGTGTTCAAAGCGGCACCCGCTGCGCGTGCCATTGCACACGATTCAAGGTAGGCTTATTTTTGCCGACATCCAGCCTGTGTGGCTCCATGCTGAATTCTGAGGTCAGTGTCGTGGACATCCAAAACACGCATTGCGACCAGTTAAGGGAAAAGCTTGGTCGGTGTGTTTACAGGTACCATGTATATATGTATATGTGTGTAAGTGACGCCATGTATATACGTATATGTTTATACAACTGCAGAATATACCTTGGTATTACACACACATGCACACAGACAAAGTTAGACAGAGTGTGAGAGAGAATGAGGACATACTAACTTCTTGCAGAGCCGCAGCTTTGCACGTCAAGTCTACTCTTGATCGAAGAATTCGGCGAAGAGTGATGAAGACTGGGCTCACAAACGCGGCCCCTGGCGGAAGCGGAAGCTCCTTGGCGAGTCAGGAGTCAGCAAGAGGCGCACTTGCTCAGTTCGTCCTTGACAGAGCCACTGATAAGCAGCACACAACCCAGCGGTGACAGGTCTGCGGCAATGGTTGTGCCTGCACCACTGGCCTCTCAGGCTTGAGGCGTCTCAGGGTCGTTGAGAAGTCAGGTGCCATTGAACTTCGCACCGGTTTAGCATGTTTGGCGCCTATGTTCCGCCTGCGGACTTCCAGGCACACTTGCTGCTGGGCTTCCTGCCGTGGTCTTTCAGAAGTCTGGTGAGTCTGCTGAATGCACACTGATGGAGCATGTCCCCTGCTGTTTGCATGCACCAGCAGCAATGCAGCGTACTGAAGCATCAGGCCAAGAAGCATCAAGCCGAGATTTACAGCCTCGCCTGACACACAAGCACTGCCCATCGTAGCTTGGGCGGGTAGCACCAGCCTTGGAAAGCAAGAGAATGTCTGCCAATTGTCTGCATGCAGACCGCACAGGCGAGTGCCATGTTGCTTGAATTTCGAGTACAACAGCCCTGGGTCGCATGTACCCCGCTTATGTCATCTTAAGGCAGCAGTGTACTGAACTGTACCGTGTCGCGCCGTACGGTACTGGACTGCACTCTGCATGGGCAAATGAAATACCTCAGACCTGCCAACGCCCTCCGTCCAAATCCAGAGATGCTAGCTATCCTAGCCGAAGCCCTTGAAGAGACTGCACCCAACAGCGACCTGGAGCCGTGTTCACCTCTTCCCGCAATTAATCATCCTCTCACCTCTAGCAAATTTAGAAGACATCGCATCTCCTCCACCTTTGCTGGGGGGCTCAAGACCCTTGATGACCTTGGAGGCAAGAAGTGCAGCTAAGTGACCGCGGAACTGCCGACGATGGCAAAACAACCCCACACGGCGTTGCATGCACATAGGGAGCTGCGAGGAGATTTGGGCCTTGCGCCACCTGTGCCGCTTGCGCCGCTTGTGCCGCTTGCGCCGCTTGTGCCGCTTGTGCCGCTTGTGCGGCTTGTGCCGCTTGTGCACGAGCTGCTTGCGTGGCTTCAGCCGCTTGTGCAGCTTGGACTCCTTGCATAGCCTGTTGTTGGGCGGCTGCCTGGGCTGCCTGCGCTGCCGCCTGTGCCGCCTGCGCCGCTTGCTGAGCCGCCTGCTGCGCCGCCTGCTGCGCCGCCTGCTGCGCCGCCTGCTGCGCCGCCTGCTGCGCCGCCTGCTGCGGAGCCTGCTGCGGAGCCTGCTGCTGAGCCTGCTGTGGAGCTCCCGGGGAGCCCGAGACCATTGGGAAGCCCTGCAGGCCAAGAGGGCCAAGAGAGTCTTGGAAGACCTGCACCGGGCCATCCTGTGGAAGCGAAATTGGCTCAGATGGAGGTGCCCCAGGCAACAGCTCCACTGGTTGCCTTGGACACCAACACCCATGCACCACTTGCTTCTCAATATGGCACTCACAGCATTTCACAAGTAAATGAACTGAATGAATTCGGAGGACTCTTGACAGCCGTTGCTCTGCACGAAGATGCCAGGATGCTGAGAGGTTGGGTTGGCAGCGCGCATGATCTGAGCATAAAGAGTATAGCAGTTGCTGTGCCAAAACGCCTATTGGATCTTTGCAAAGACTTTGGCCCGGACAGAGGGTATCGTAAGGCTTTTCGGTGATGTGGGTTGCGGAGGAGGGGATCTCCCGCGACTTGTTCCACCGAAGCACTGGCCTGGTGTGGTACCGGAGCCTCAGCCGGCAAATGCGATGCACCCCGCCAAAGACGACAGAAGAAAGCTAGCAGCCAACTAGCATCATTCTCAAACCCTATAATTTTAACCAACTCCTTCAAAAAGTAAGCTTCAACACCTTCCTGCCACCAAGCTGCAAGGGACTGGGGCAAAGGCAATGCCTTGCGGTACTGCGGACATGGTCCGCACCGGTGGGCTCAAGGAGCGGGCCTCAACCACCCCACAAAGAAGAAACCGGGATAAACCAGGTTTTTGCGACCTCTCGTGTTATGAACTCTCAGTGGAGAGGGGGGAGGGGTGGGGGGGTCGGAGACTGAGGCCCTCACGAACCGGCTCCCAAGAGGCTTCGCTGGTGATTGCTGCCTTCACTGATTCGGAGCCAATCGCTTAACATCCCTCTACGAGTTTGCGGCGACACTCAGCTCACTTGTGTCCTTGGCACCCGAAGACTTTCACAAGGTTCTGGCAGCACACACCACACCAACAAAAGGCCACCACCACCACCGCAGCCACCACAAGAGCTGGACACTAAAGCACACTCTAGGGTTCTGGGGGTTCGTGTGTTGAGAGGCACTCACGAAGCCCAAGCAACAAGCTGGACGGGGGCGGGCCCCGATGCACAACTGTACTTCATGCTGTTACTGCAACGATCTTCTCAGCTGCAGGCACAGGCCACACCATTCCTCGATATGGCCAGCTTTACGGGTGTCGTGCGAAATCAATGACATTTAGCAAGCCTAGATCTGCCAAAGATCGAAACGGAGAGGTTGACCGCAAATCTGGACTGGTCGGTGTCAAGAAACCCGCGGGCCTTGCAGGCTGCAAGTTTGCATGAGGTTTGACCGTTTGCAGGCGACATAAAGAAAGAGGCGTCAATGCGCTGGCCACACCACACCACGATGCGCCCCGACAAGGCTGCTGCAGCTGCATCACACTTGGTGATGATGCTCCGACAGGTATGACCTCTGCAGCAGTGTGGCAGTGCAGGTGCATCCCAGCGGGCATCTGAGCATGAGCGTCTCATGCAATCAAGGCATAGACATCTGGAGTCAGTCTGTGAGCAACCGGCTCAGACATGAAGTTCCTCAGCAAACGGATGCAGTTTTTGAAGTGACTCTTGGCCAAGGGATGCTGTCTATGCTCTGAGTTGCACGCACATCAGCCACAATGCCTTCGGCTGCATTTCGCAAGATTGCACCATCTACAGAGTGCATTTCAGCTAGAAACTGAGCCTTCCATGCGGCTGACGACTTCTGCCAGTCGTCGGCTTCTCCGATCTCTGTGCCTGCAAGATGGAGTAAGCATAACAACCCCCATGCATGAAAACTAAGCTGCCAAGCTCAAAGTGCGACGAAAAGATGCGCAGCATGCGACGCCTCTCTGGCCGTGGCCTTTCTCACGTACGACACTTTCTCGAGCCAAGACCGCGTGGTTGATGCTGACATCACGGTAAACAAGTGCCACCGTGTGCCCGTCTGACCAGCCCTTAAGATAATCAGATTTCAAATATGCGTATTGATGCAGCACCCCCTTTTTGCATCTGGAATGGCCAAGCGATCGGACTGCTCACTACTTTCGCGCAGCCACCTCTCCTGCATGCCATGTTGGAACCATCCGTGCCCGACTTGATTCGTGAGGTTAGGGTACCGGACTTGGCAACTGGGCAATCAGCTGACACTTGTTTAAACGATGCGTTCTCAGCTTTTTGGCCTGAGCTTGTGTGAGACGTCGAACACACCACCCTCACGAGGATTCCAGCTCTGCTTCCAGAATGCTTCTTAGCTTGGAGTCTTCATGCTCTTGAATCAAGGGGGCTGCAGTCTGTGCCGCAAGTATACACCAGCTGATCGCAGAAAGGCTGCCCTGCTGCAGCCATTGCTCGGCTGAGAGTTGCTTGGGCATGTTCGAGTACGGGAATTGTGTTCGAATTACCTGCTCCATCAGGACCGGATATCGCCCGACATAATCTTTGATGATGGAGCGCTCGTGCCGCCAGAATCCCACAGACATGAGTGTGAATCCTGTCCATGCTCCCCACATGAACGGGATCAGCGGGCCCACAGCGAGCATGACGCTCAGCTGTCCACACACAAGACCAAAAGTGACCGCTCCGAATGTTGTGTATGCCATGAAGCGACCGACAAATTTGGCACGGGCTGGTACAGATATGCCAGATGCCGCAACAAGCTCAGTTAAGCCTTCCACCATTGCAGAGGCTGAGGGAGGTTCACCCTAGTCATTGGCAACACTTGTGTGGCGGCGGCAAAACAAGACAACGACTAAGTCAGCATCAAATCGCCCCACGAAAGTCACTGCACTGCGAAGTGATGCGGCATTGCCCGCTCCTTCGTCTTCCGTGAGTGCCCATCCAATGGGATCATGGCCTCTAGGAAGCTGCAAAGGTCAGCAGGCAGGGGGCCTCACCGACAGTGCAAGAAGAAAAAGCACAAGTGGTCTCCGGCCTCCCTGCACCTCACGAACTACTGAAGCGACTCAGGAGCCAACTGAAGTAACTGATGTCGGCGTTTTCGACGGTCAGTCCTCTCTGTTCTGTACTGTGTGCGGGTGCTGCTTGTGGGCTATTGCATTATGTCTCGCACATGCTCACACCTAAGACTCTAAGACGCCGGATTCTACGTCATGAGCCCTTCTGCTGTCTGACATTTGTCCAGATTGTTGTACACGCATGCAAGAAAAAGAATAAACAGACTCGCCCAACCCTTCTCTCCTAGAAACGCTGCATGCAGGAAGATACGGGGAACCCACTGATCCAAGTCCTTGGCATTGTTCACATGGCAGCGTCAGGGCTTCTGGGCTTCTCATGCATTGTGGTATCGGCTACTCCCTCCTTGAGGGGCTGGCTGAGAAATCTCCATAAGTGGTGTCCCCTCAGCCACTGAGTTCTGCGTCTGCCATGGTGATGGAGTGCTCTGCTGCGACGTTGGACACAGTGCAGTTCTGAGATGCCACCAAGGAGTGGAAAACCTTCCCCGCTGAGGTGCGCCTTCAGCTTTGAGGACAGTGTGCGGATGAAGATGGCGCGAAAGGGGCCCTGAGCGTTAAGCCCGAATCTGGTGAAGCCTGCCCGTAAGGATCTCAACCTGCGCACATCACGATGCCACCTTTTCCCTATGCCTTCGCGGATGCTGCTGATAAGCACAATTGCTGCAAGACGTGCAAGTGGACTTGGAGCTCAGGTTTGGCAGGTTTTGGCCACAGCTTGTTTTGTTCAAGCTTTGCTGCTTTGCACATGTCAATACGTCGGCGTCAGCCATCTACTCGAGATCCACGTCAGCCTTCGCAGCCGCAAGATTCGGCTAGCAGAGCCAACCGTGACCAGAACAAGCCAGAGAGAAAACTCAGGCAGGGGCAAGGGACGCCTCCTTAGCAATTGATTCTGGGCTAGTAGCCGCAAGTAGCATCCACTGAGTGATTCCCGCGACTGAATGCAACATGTGCCGAGTGCTTGGAGCAGTCATCGACAATACCACAGCCGGCACACTATTGTTCCGATTTCGGGTGATCCACATATCGGATCAGCTGCAGGGATGCGGAGGCGAAAGCGTCTTCAGGCTCATGCTATATTGCCGTCGCCGGCAGAACTGAATCAACGGCAGGTGGGGAAAGAGTGAGACATCGAAGGACAGGAGAGTGAGTGAGAACTGCTTCGCAACAAAGAAGGAAGTAGATCACCTTCACTCAGAGGACAGGACAGTCTGTTGGGAAGCGTGCCCTGAGCTCTTAAGATAGGGTCATCAGGTTCAGCCGTTCTGCCGGTTGGAATGATACGCGGCATGAAAACGAAGTGCAAAGCCGCAGGGTGGCGATTGCCGAACAGCTCACAAGATGACCCAGAAACTATTCAAGTGCTTCCGCACGATAGAAGCAACGGGCATGGTCCATGGCACTGCAAAGACAGCCAGGTGATCCAGAGATAGGAGATATAGGAGCTGCAGGGAGCTACACAACAGCGCGGACTGGGGCCTGTGACTGTAACTTGCATAGTGGGAACCTCTAGATACTTGGCATTTGGGAAGGAATGGGCTGGGTGACAATGCGGCCAGGCTGCGAGGGCAGACTTCTTGCTCCTCAAAACGTCCATCTCCATGATCCGCGCCTGCTTCTTGGCCTTGTAGTCAGTGATGAGCTTCTCACACTCCTCGGGGGATGCAGGAGACATCTGCGCAACCGCAGGAGAGAAGGATCAACTGAGCCATGGCTCGGCTTGCAGGGTGGAGGCAAGCTGATCAGTGAGGCCCATCTGCTCCTTCAAGGCCTGCACAAGGGAAGACAAGTTGCACGGGCACATCTCCAACTTGTTAGGAGTCTCCCAGTATCCTCCCTATTTGAAGAGTTCGATGGGGGGCTATCAGAAGATTTAAGCCACTACCGAATTCCCTAAGGTGGCCTTCTGCCTGTCCTGGATGCGCTGCGACTCGGCGGCCAGGGCCGCTTGACCACCAACGAAGTCCGTCAGCGTGTAGGCATCCTTCCGTCTGGAGGCACGCGCCACCTCGCAACGAGTTCCCCGAAGGAATATGAAACAATGGGACGGGTATTCCCTTCTACTGGTACTAAATTATAGGCGGAAGACATATTTGTTCAAAGTACCGGTACAAGCCCATACCACTACCAGTAGCCGCCATGTCCACCATGCCATGTGGGCCTGGATCATCTCCACATAGGCCGCCTGGTCGGCTGCTTCGCCTCAGGCCATTTAATTGAACCCACATTTCCAAATGGCCCACAGCTCCCGAACATGTGGCACATCTTTTGGCTGCTCACACGGCTGCATAACCTATCCTACGCCTTGGCCATGGCTCTATTCAGGCTTTGCAACTGGGCGTCGAAGTTTCACTTGCTCCACCTCTCCCCGCACTGCATCGATGACAGCCTGCAGCGACCTCAAGTCAGGCGACACTGCGCCATGGCATTTGGAGGACGCACTTGAGTTCCGGACCTCAGCGCCGCCTTGTTGTCTGTTGCTGGTGAGGCGGACTCCAGCAAAAAGCCAAACTCCTGCAAGCCACCGGCGTGGGAGCAGTCTGTAGACATCTGTAGAGGTCCTCGTCGTCTTTCATTGCTTTTTGGCCACCCAAGGTGCCGCCCTGTCGCGGAAGAGTTGAGGTCAAGAGCGAAAAACCTGCGCCACCAGCGCCTCATCCAAATACTTCTGGAGAGAGTTCATGGCTTTGTGCATCACCTGCTTGTCTTGCAAAGTCAGGTCTCGCACTTCTTAGCATCGAGCGACGCTTGCTGCATCCGAGCAACGTCTACAGCGGCAGCACCTGCCGCTGCGATGTGCTGAGCTTCTGCTCCGTGAGTGTTATCGTGTCCCAAGTGCAGCGTGCAACATGTTAACACGCATCAGTATCAGCAATGGGTGCAGCGAGCTGCTGAAAAGCAAAGGCCTTGCGCAATTGATGTTGCCAGATGCTTGTGCTCCTTCTCGCGGAGCTTTGTAGCTGTGGCCACCACCCAATCAACCCGAGTGATTGCCTTCCTTTGATGTGCTCTGCAGGGCGCACGCCACGTTCACTTGTTTAGAAGCAATGTTCACATTGAGCCAGGGGGCTTCTCCGCGGCAACATCCCGCTCCAACGTTTCAAGCTGCTCGCTCAACCTAAGCACCCACGATGCAACACGAATGCAAATTACTGCAATCGATAATCGGGGCTACCTGTGTAGGTGAGTGTGATGCCCAAATGTCATAATCACCTACCATAAGAACTTAAGTAAGCTGCGACCGAGGATCGTGGCGATGTCAGCAGCTTTCGACTGCGCTTTCTCACTGAGGGCTGCCTTAGCTTCTTGGGCCGAGGTCGTTTCGTCCTGAGGTGGCACGGTGGCACTATGTCGTTTGAGCAAACCATGCCGGGATCACATGTGTGTGAGCAAACCATGTCACTTCAGATCTCCGTCCTTGCACATTTGAATCTTGAGGTTGTCATCCTCTTGTGCCTTCTCCAAGACCTCACTGCCCGAGCAACTTCAAAACTCATCACCGTGTGCTCATCAAGCTTCAGAGCGGTGCAGAGACCATCGAGTCAACCAGCTTGGTGATCTTCTCCAAGGCAGGACCTTTTAAACATTTTTAAACCCAATCTCAATTCCTAGCGTTCTGAAACGACGAGGGCGACCAAGTGTGGCTAAGTCGGCAGAGCAGCTTGGCTTCCCTCTGAGGGCACGGTGCTCGGAGGCCTGCTCCTGCACCTTGTGCTCATTCTGGTGCCTCCACAGCCACAGCTACAGCCGCTTGCATGTGTCGAACCTGTCGAACCATGGCATGCAACTCATGCAGCTCGCCCTCTGCCTCTGGACGACTTGCAAGAAGGTCACCAGGGACGCGGGCTTGAAAATCTCTAGATCCGTGCCAGAAAGCCTGCAGTCTGTAAGTAATGACTGCGGGACAGTGTCGAAGGAGAGAAGCAGAGGCTGGCACATCAGCTTTGCTGCACTCTGCAATGCCTTCTGCTCCTCCTGCAGTTCCACCTGCCTCGAAGCACGCAGGTGGGACAAAAATGCAGGTATCGCTAGCTTCATTTACCCACTTAGCGCTAGTAGTTGCTGAGCGTCATGGATGTATGTTGGCCACGGCGAATCTCGCACCAGTTCTGTAGACTCTTCTCAAGCTTGTCAGCATCATCCACAAGAGTAGCGGTGTCCTGGCAGCATGAGGCCTTCAGGGAGCACCCTGCAATGATTTAAGCAGATAACGCACGGCTCCTGACGCTCCATGCGAACAGTTGCCATCTGTTTCTGGAAGGCCGCGTCGCGTTCGCTCTTCTGCTGCAAGCTCCTGCAGCTGCAACACTCAAGCCCCCCACCCCTGGGCACCCCAAACGTATTTGTCCCGACCTTTGCAGAGACTTGAGCTCGTCGGTTTTTGCCTTCCTCTTGCAGGGAAAAGCACATCAGCACGATGTGGGGCAGCATTCCGACAGAATCCAAGGAAACCCTTCTCTGCCGAGGTGCTCCATGGCCGCAAAGACTGCCGCTCTTTTGGCCTCTTGCGCTTTAAGCTCTTTCATGTCCTTCTTCACACCATCCTGCCACTTATTCTGTGGCTCTCTGGCTATGGTGAACCCTTCACGTGACACCGCTCGAAGGATGGGGACTGTCCAGCATACTCTTCAACATCTCCTTGGATGTGCCCAACGCGAGGCTTGCAGAAGCACTCAGCCGTGTGCCAGCCGAGTGGCCATAACTTGAATCTTCTGGCCGGCAGTTGCATCTGGCGCCTGCAGGATCTCCATGAGTTCTGCCGTGCCTTGGCACTTGGCCACAAAGAAGCTTCAAGCACGTAAAAGAACTGCAAGGACGGCCTGCCAATGCTGCCCTGATTCTACTTGCAGACAGCGTCAGTCTCTGGAAGGAAGCTGCATCGCCAGTCTGGATTAGCTTGGTTTTCTCGGCACCTGACACACTCTGTCTGTCCTTTGATGCACCGCTGCATCACACGTGCTCTGCGTGTCTCCCCGCGCCTGCAGACCTGAGCCAAGCACATGCAGTTACGAATTCGTTCACATTTTCAAGCAGAGAGAACCTAGAAAACAGAGAGCTTTTTTGGGATTCAGATTTAGAGTCAGGAGGCTCAGCAAATCTGTCCCCATCCGCTTGTCCGATCTCCTTGCAAAATGCCAATAGGAGTAGAAAGACACAGGCAGTCCCAAAAGGACCTTAACAATCAGACCTTTGGGGTCCGTCTAGCGGATCCGCCCTCAACAAAACTCCGGGCTGGTGAGCTCCCCATATTCCATCATGTGAGTGCGCCTTCTGAGGAACTCTTCATGCAGGGTATTGCATCTCGTCAGGTAGGTTCTCTCGACTGCAACTTGATCGGTGACGACCCAGGAGCTGCTTCCGGTGGCTGATAGGCACTGAATGATAATCACCAAATAGCAATCATGATTTTCAATGATGATAATACTAACAGAGGTAACAATATTAATAACAAGATGACAATTCAATTACAGTCACGATGATAAGAAGCATACGGCGCTATCCAGTTGAGGGAGGGATCCGTCGACTGGAAGTGCACAAAGCACAGTGTCCAGAGATCATGAGGGGTCGTAGTTTCTCAAGAAAAGGTCCCACAGGAGGCGACCAAAATCTTTGGCAACTCACATCGCCAAACATGTCTGATAAATCCAAACATTGCAGAACCTTATGTCTGTTGTTGCCTAAATCCGTACAGATTTACAAGCTAAGCCCCTGCCCTCGGTCATCCCTTACTGGACTACAATTTTGGCATCGCCGATTCTTGCTCTTCTGAAACGACTTAGGAGCTTGAAGAACACTGCCGTCCAAAGCAAGTATAACCATCAGTAGTCGGCAGGACGGCCTGTGCATTCAGGAGCGCTTCCAGCCGCTCTCGGTTTGCTGTCAGTGTGGCCAGCTCCTGAGCAGGGGCGGCATCTGAGCTGTTACAAGCCGGCTGGTAGCACTTCAAAACTCGTCCTTCTTGTAGCTCTGGGTCTCGTCCAGGCGAATGGTTTGGGCAGTCTGGAGGGCGGACTTGCATGACGCTGCGTCATTCTCATGCGCCTGCGGGGTCGATGAAAGAAGGGGGCGTCTCCGAGTTTCTCCGAGCCCGCCTTGATCTCTTCTTGAAGCGCCTGGCGCTTCCGTTCTGCCTCGACTAGCGCCAGCTGCAAGTGGGGAAGTTCGGACTGTGACTCCTCCCAACGCATGTGCTCCCGCAGATGCATTGCAACGTATTTGCGGTTCGCGAATACAATGCAGATACAAGCTGCTGCTCCTTGAAGCTTTTTTCCAGCGATGCTTCTCCCTTGGAGCCTTTGCAGTGAGGCTTCAGCACGCATGGCTTCATGCTCTGGGCACGCGGTCTGGAACCAAGCAGCAATAGCTGCCAAACTCCTCAAAAAGCTTCTTTTCCCTCCTGCATTGCATGGTTGTTGGCTGCTCAAAGGGGTGCCAAGGACATTCTCACCCAGCTCCTGTCTCGAACATCCACCCTCTTGGCTAAAGCCTTGAGCACCCGAACGACCTCCTTCACCGGCGCAGCTGCGACCTCCAGTAACATATTTTCCATTATGAGCTATCACAGCCGTCATCCGCAGAAAGGGCTTGCAGAGTCCACTGCCTGGCCATCCGCCGTAGCTGCTGCTGAGGCTGCCACGCCTGTCCATGTCAATGTCCACGTGGCCCAAGACACACGTGCATCAGAGCAAAGGGAGCTTGCCTTGCCCAGACACTTCGCCGTCCTCATCTCCTGCTTGCCATGAGGATCTTAAGGCCCTAAGCATTCAGGCAACCCTCATCACGAATGATTCTTGCCTGCATTCGCCAAGCCCACCTCCACATCTACCAAGTCTGGTTTGATATCCTGTCGGTCTGAATGAACAGCAAGCAGCCACACCCTCATATCACGCCCTTTTACAAAGCAAAGGCTTGAACGGTTAACGGCTTAAGCATACCTTCTCTTTTTGCCGATTAGCTTGGGACTGGGCGAGGGTTGGTTATGACTCCTCATTGTTTTGCTTAAGTAGCTCCGCCTTGCCGCGATACATTACACTTCGGTCTTCGAGAAGTGAGGCGTCATTACGCTTGTTGAACGATTGCCGCCCAGACACCGCGTCATACTGTCTTGGGGTATTCTTGACGAGGCGCTCACAAGCCCATTTCGCCATGTGTAGGCCGTGAAGTCGCACGCTGCACCAGTCTTTCCATTGCCTCAAACCTGTTGTCTTTCAAAGTCGGTCCCCCCTCCCCCCCAGATACCGATGTCCTCGATGTCAGCAAGCACTGTCGTCGTTAGAAGACGTAAACGACGCCATCATTGTCCGTCAAAAACCCTGTCACATCCAGTTCCAGTCCGTGCTTGTCGATTGCAATAGTTATAGCTGCACCGCAGAACTCCCCCCCCACACCACACCCCTTGAAGCTGCAAATTTCAAAGGTTCTCTGACGTGCCTTCATTCCCGGCCCAAGACCTATTGAGCCCTGCGACCTTCCATTTTGGTCTGTACGTATCGAGTTGGAGTTGCCGTGGGCACTTTGCAGGCTTCTTGATGTCGCTCGACGGGCCCTTTTGGCCCTGTATCTCCAGACCGTTTTGGATAATCTTCTGAGGCCCAGAGGCCTGCGGGTACAGTTGGCGTTAAGCGTTTCTCGCCGTCTTCTCGCCTGCACACTCAGACGCCACCGGATGAGCTCGCATACAGCTCAGGTCGGCCATGCCACCTTCAACCCCCATAGTCTGGGCCAAGCATGTGGAAACGGCTCACAAGAGTTCCTTGAGAGCAACGGCGAGTGGTAGCAGAAGCCACGCCGAAGCCTGCGACCAAGACTGCGCAGATCACGCAGATCATGCAGGCCAGAGAACTTGCATGGCTCACCGTGACAGGCAGGCCTGAACCACTCTCATGTCCCAGGAACAGGAAGCACCTCAGCCTGGGAGACTACAGGTTGGAAACCAACATGACATGACAGGCAGAGAGGCTCCGACTCCTCACTTCATTGAGGGCAGCAAGCCCTAGGGCGACATGGAACTGCGGGATACCCGCTGGATCCGAGCGAAATTCGAGCCAGATATGGTAGGCCAGTATGCCGAACATCGTGTGATCACTGGGGACGTGCGCGCTTCTTGTGCCAGTGGGCCTCTGCTGCCTCTGCTGCCTATGCTCTTCAACCCGGCGCCTCGATCAAGCTCAGACGTTCACCCAGAGGTCCCTGGAAGTGCGTCACACTTTGCACCTGGCCATTGCGACTGCAACGAAGTTCAACTTGAGGTTTCATGCCCAACGATCCTAAACTTCTAGGCCCTGGGCCAAGGTGTGACTCGGACGGCCGCCTAATCCTGAGGAGGCCACCACAAGGGCACCCGCAAAGTGGTCTCTGACTTTCTGCACTTGCGTCTCACTGCCTGTCACACTTCGCTTGTTGCCGCGTTCATCCCACACGGTCCTGCCCACAGCACACCAGGGACCGAATGTACTGCAGGCTACAGTAAGTTAGCACATCTGAGCTGTTGACTTCAGGCGAGCTGTGATCGACCTCCGTGCACGGTATCCGTTGAGCTTACACAAGGCTTGCGCTTGTCGAATGCCGAGAGGGGAGCCCGCAGTTTTCGAGAGGGTAGTGCCCACGGCATGCGCAAACATAGCCTCAGCATAGCTTGTTCCGTTGTTCCCCACGTATCAGTGGGCCTGTGATAGGCCCGCAGCGCTTCCGGACTCTTCGCAACAGAAACCTGAGATGCACCGGTGATGAGTGTCACTCCCACATCTTGGAAGAGAGGCGTTGGGCCCTCGGTCGCTAGGGCCGCAGCGCTACCTGGCCAGCGTAGTATGCTGAATACCTGCACTGGTGCAAGGGGCGGAAACTTTCGGGAGAGGTCTCAACACGTCACTGGACATGAGGCCACAACGTTTTCGCGAAAGCCACAATCCCAGAAGTGTATCTGTCCAGCCTGAAGCCGCTAGAGGAGCCCTTTGGGGCAGGGAGTTTGCGTGAAGTTCTGCGAGTCTGGGGTGCCAGCCTATGAAGAAGCCCGTGCCTCACACAAGGCACACATTCGAAGATGACAGGGCACCCGCTACGACATCTGCAATCATTTGGCTTTCCCAACACGAAGACTGGACACTGGGGAGCTCTCTGGGCTTCTGCATCATGCACCTGAGCATCCCAACATCCCTATCAGACGCTCCTAGCACTTCAGACGTGACTCTGCGAGGGGTCTACGAATCATGTCCGCAGATGCTTCCGAATCCAGATTGATGAGGGTTCGGCAATGGGAGTGCCTAGGGCTGCACCATGCCATTCCCTCACTGCACGACTGCTATGCTGCACGCATCTTCAACACGGCTGCCAAGATGCGAAACTGCTGCTGCAGCCAACTTTCCAGAGACGTTGCTGCGTCAGCGTCTGCGCCTCTTGAAGTTCCATCAAGCATGCCGAAACTCGTGAGGCTGACTTGATACCACTCGCTGCCTTGCGACTGGCTTCCACTCCTTTCCATCTCCATCATGTCAGGCTCAGCGAGCCTGTCTTTTCCAACAGACATTGTCCACCCTGGCCGGTGCAGGAGCGATTGCAGCTGGAACATGAGCCCCCCTCCACTCCCCCTCCTGTGCCTGGTGGCTTCCAAAGAAGGCAGATTCCATCAGACTCAAAGCAAATACTGGGCGCTGCCTGCAACCAAGCAGTTCACATGTCAGCAGTCCAAGAAATCAAGCCCTACTACAACAACAACGCGCCTGCTCAGGATGCAGAGATGGCAAGGACTGCTGCGGGAAGCCTAGCACAAGTCAAAGGTGTGGCTATGTTTCGCCACATACAAAAAAAACAATCAGCACCACAGCAAAGAATTGAGACCCCATTCCAAAGCCAAACGCTCTGAGTTGCCTGCTGGTGAGTACAGGGTTCCCAACAACAGCCTTCTCCTTCATCTCCGCGAGCCGGGTGCATATCGACATGCCGAGACCTTGCCAAAGCATGTTTGGAACCTTGGAATCCAGCCGAGCAGCTCCCTGCAAAATTTCGAGCACTATGCAAGAACTGCTGCTAGCAGTGCTTCGAGGATCCTGAAACGGCGCACTGCCGGTCTCAAGCAATAAGCAACGATGCAATTCCATGGCTAGCATCAGCCATGGGTCAAGAGCGACGAAGGATCAAAGGCTTCAAGGCCCAAGGCATGTTCCACTAAAGCAACTGTTGCAGCAGGTTTTGTGTTGACGAGTGCGAAGTGGGAACATGGCCTTGCAGACATGGTTGTTCCAGAAGAAAATTGAAATTCCATGTAAAAGTGGGAAGAACCCTGCAAGCTTGGAAAATTAAAGCATCTGATCTTGCAACTTAAGGGGCAATGGTCACAAACGGCCCGTCACAAGCTTGCGGTCAGAAAAGGCACGGTGCAGATGGACCCTATAGTCTCGGAAGCCCTGAGCAACGACAGTCGCCTTGCGACCGACACTCCAAATCTTAAGCGGGGGGCGGCATGTGGCATGACAAAGCAGATGCAGAAGGTGTCTACTTGGCCAAACAGAGAACTGGATTAGCTGAAGAAGCAAAAAAAAACACTAAGGAGATTGCTTCATTCTCACACCTCCTGCACACGAAAGCAAGCGGTCGATTCTGAGTCCACGAACGGTGCACCTCATCTCAGATGTAGGTAAAATGCACCGCATGTCTTCGAATCACATCTACGAGGACAACACAGCATGTCAGGGGAGGAGGCATGACGGAACATTGAACCAAATCCCTTCATGCGAGCGACATGCAACACAGAACGCCAGAGGCTGCTGCAAGTCAGCGGATGCACCCTGTTCCTTTGTCTAAGGGTCGCTACATGGTCCCTTAGTATGGCCCCTTAGCTTCTTTAAAGGGTTGTGATATATGTCAATGAGTCTTCTTCGGTGCCCTGTCATGCTCTGCTTTTCGTTGGGGCTGAAGTGCGGTTTGAGCGCCAGCTAGACGCGCACAAAGCCGCAAGATCACACCCGGGACAAAGTGCATTCCACTCACTGGCAACATCTATATGTCTAAGAGCCTAGGTAAAAGTCAACAGTGTCGAATTGCGCTTGAGGAGACTTCGGGGATGCCGCCTGGCAATGCAAATTTGCATATGCGAGCTGGCCCCGACTCCCCGAAAACACGGGCAGAAGCGGCAACTGGCACATACTGCCGCGAGACATGCAGGCTTTACTGCATGAGTAGACGCAGGAATGGCAGCTTCTGGACCTCCTTTTGCATCTTTACATCCGGTCCTTGGCTCGCATGCTCCAATCACATCCAAGCTCGTACCAACTCGAGCAGCAGGTTGGTCCAAGGGGCTAACAGCTGCGGGCTATGTTGCGGCCGTCTGAAGCGTCTGCAAAATCTTTGCTGCAGGCGACGGCAGCCAACACCGGTCCATTTCCTTGAGCACAGCCGGCCGCACCATCTTGTTCAAGCTTCAAGCTGTACTCAGTTTGTTCCGGAACGAGGCACCACATGCACAACCGCATCCAAGCAACTGTTTCCTCGACTCTGAACTCGTGAACACCTGCCATCGAGTCAAGACTTTGCACATCCTGGTGGTTCATGCCAGCACGGCAAATGCGATGCCTGCCAGAATGCACATCCCGCTCTGCAGGTCCTGCAGCGGGTCTGCAGTGGGCTCAGGTAGGCGTAGAAGCCAATATTTGCTGATGTGGCGGGTCAGTCGGAGTAGCCAGCCTGTGGTTCGGATGGCTCCAAGACCTTGGTAGCTGCAGCCACTAGGCACTAGCCATGTCAGGGGGAGCAGAGTAGCGACCGCTTGGCCTTCGGCACATGAGAGCCGCCTCCACGTTCCATTCGTCGACTTGTTGTCCAGAATTTTCCAACCTTGGCGTGCCAACCGTTCTTCGATTTCCCTGCAACTCCAGCTCTGGCTGCATGCAAGTCACCCTTGGCCGTCTTCTGCAGAAAGCAATGTTGGCGGGAAACGTTGGCAAGCATGGGGTCGCTGATCTGGCAATTGGGGAATTTGTACATTCAGCGGAGCGGCTGACGACGAAGCACAATAGTGCACAAGTGACACGCTGATTTCGAGCCTGAATGGTGCAAGTGTCAGCTCGGCCAATGGTGCACAGCTGCTCTGTCAGAAGCAACCTGCACCAAAAACAAAGCAAGCAACACCCAAGAATCTTGCCTCCTCGACCCTTTCTCTTGCCCAGCCTTTCACCCATTCGCGGCCCTGAAACGAAGTCAATTTCCAGTGGAGCCTTGGCCGTGCATTTGCTCCCGGGGGGGGGGCTACTGTCGGCACACATTCGTGCTGTGCTGTGGTGTACTGTGGTGTTTTTTCGGCCGCAGACCCATGGCAGAGACCTGCACAGCATCACAATGCCAGTCCACAGTGTCTACAGCGTCGAAAATCGAAATTGGTGAAAGTAAGGCCCTCTTCAAGTTGGGCGAGCTGTGGGCGCTGCGATGAATGAGGATGCAGATCAGGGGCGCCGGTCCTTTGGCGTTTGTGTATCAGGTAAAAGAGTCGGCTCTGACTCATCTTCACTTGCCTTCCTTCCACTACAGTTGATGCTCTGGGAAACGCTGGGAGATGGATGTGGGCCCATGTGCTGAACGACTTTATGGCTCACTCTTTGCAGCCTGGGTCAACTCGTCGACTCTGCACACTACTCCGACCCCTTTCTTTGACCTCTTACAGCAGGAAAAATCTGGAACAAACGGCCCTCCCAAACGCCCGCCCATTTTGTGCGACTTTGCAGTTCACATTCAAATTCAAGGGAGGACATGGTAATTTGTTGGTCTAGTACGGGCATCTGGACACAGAGTATTCCTTAACGATTGGGGCCAAAACTGGATCTGCTGATATAGCTTCTTGCGAGTGGGAGGTTAGGTCGCAGTTGTTCTCGCTGCTCTTCATGAGCAACGGCAGGCGACAAGAGATTTGCCGAAGCAGCAAGCTGAGTAAATCATCGAGACAGTAACACGAACCTGATCGCCTGGTTGCCCGAAAGCGTGTCAGCCTTGAAGACCGTCATCATGCGCTCCATAGGTCCATAGAGCCAAGCACACAAGCAAGGAAAGGACATCGAAAACTAAATGCTTAATGACGTGTGCTGTTCGACCTGTCAAGGTTCCGCTTTGGGCTCCACTTTACTTATAAAGACACATCACGGACGAAATCAGACAAATCAAGAACCGGCACAACGACTCGCTGGTGCCTCGTGTCCAGGCCCTCTGGATAGGATTTGCACATCCTGAGCTGTCATTCTGTACTGCAGGTATATTTTGTACCAGCAACGGGCTGCCAAGATCCATGGTGCAACGTACGACAAGCCCAATGTCCCAGAATCTAGAACATGGCAATAAGCCTAAAGCCCCAACTCGCCCCTCACCTGCTCAGCTGGGCATGGCCGCGGCAACTACAAAACATGCCTCAAGCGCATACCGTCTACAGTTGCATCCAGGCACTTGTCCACTGGGGTGTCCCAGACTTTTCGTGGTCGCCCACCTCGGCCACTGCAAATGCGGCTGCAAAGCCGCAGAATCACAGGGACAAAAAGGCCCTAACTAGAGCGTAACTACCGGGCACTTGGGATTTGCAAATCTGTCATGCTCCCATCCCTAGTGGTACATCGCAAGCTTGCCGCAGGTTCACTGAGGACATTCGAAATCTGCTCTGCCACCTCGTCCGGTTCCTGGCGGAAGTAAGCCGCCTTACGCAAGCTGCACCGACCTTGGCCATTTTCCACATCCTTGCAGTCATTACAGGCCTGCTCCTCTGCGAAGCTGCTCATCGACAGGGTGCGTGGAAAAGGACTCCCTGCCGACAAGCGAAGCGCGACAGCAGCCAACATGCCGTTGCCTCGTCAGCCTCTCAGAAGAGAAGACGAGCTCATGGAACGAGCCATGGCTGACATGCGTTGCCCGCGTTTGCCATGCCACCTGCACAGCCCCAAGTCAGGAAAGATACTGACGCCACACGAAGAAAGGTTGAGGCAGACGCACGCCTATGGGCATTGCAGTGGCCCCCGCAGAAACGCACAACCAGCTCGGCGTTTCCGATGCGAAGCCAATCTCCACACTTGAGCAAATCACCTTCTGGTGGGACCTTCGGGCAACTTCTATGCGGGATCTGATGTACACCCTGGATGGACAGCTGAGCCTGCACAAAAGTCCCCCATTTGGAGCCGGTATCCATTAGCTGGTACCTTTCGAGAAACATGTCCGCATCAAGTTGTAAAGAGCCACCGTTTGCTCCGCCGTTGTATCCAAAACAGTGCTCGTGGGTTTTTTCATCCAGTCCTGTCGGTGTCAGCATTGTAGCAGATGGCAAGGTGGGATCTAGAAGCAATGGGCTCGTTCATGACCTCGGCTGCGGTGGTGAACTTGATTTCGTGTGAACTCGTCACTTTGGGCCCGTGCCAAGTCGGGCAGCATCATCTTGCGCTTGGAGCCTCTCATGGCAGTTCTGGATAGTTTTGGATGCCAAAGTCAGAAGGCAGAGGAAGTTTCGATTCTGATCACGCTTCATGCCTCGTCCCAGCTTTGTCCTGAAGGCCATTGGAAGGCACGCACAGCCATGCCGGCTCCCACGAAGAACTCACAGAACAACTAAGGCGCCCGCACTCCCATCGTGGAGGTGATGCTGTTCGAACTTATGAACACAGCTGGAAGTTGGGAGGTCTGGTCAGAACGGCTGTAGTGTCCTGTCAGCAGAATCCGCGATTGATAAAGAAGTGATGCTGAATCAGCTGTGTCCTGACGGAAGTTCCAGCACTGGCTGTGCGTGCGCGAGATCACCGCTGGCTACACGCAGCAGGAGTGCGCGTCTCGTGCAGTTTAAGCAGCCTCAGCTCACAAAGTGTGAAATGCGCAGAGCATGCGCAATCTGCGTCTTCCACATCTTAACATGTCTCGACCTTATGCTTAACGAGCCCCCGCAGGCGGAATCAAGCGGAGACGATCTCCAGAAGGCTTCAACGTAAGATTTCTGCAGCTGCAGCGCTGCTGACTGCTGCAATCGCAGCTGTCCGCAGACGGTCCTGCCCCGACCCCTTCTGGCATGACCTTGTGACCCCGTGTATGTCCTGTGACGCGCCTTGAAGAGCTGTCATGCTGAACCCCCCCCGCCACGCTGCTTCTGGCCTCCTCAGCACACTCCCATCGGCTTGCCTCTGTCGAGGCCCACCATCGAGGTTCCGAGTAGGTCAACCTCGTGATTTGCATTGCCAAGGTTGAGTAGCACCCCCTCTGGCGAAGATTGGCATTATCTATTTGTCTCTTGCTGAGCCGAGCATCTCTTCCACAAACTTCTGCCATTCCATGCGCTTCCCAGGCTCAGTAGGGCTAGCCCTCATCCTGGGATCCTGCGGAGTACGCCTGCATGATTGAAGCAGCGGCCACGCGCGCGCGCGCGCACGCACACACGCACGCACACACACACACACACACACACACACACACACACACACACACATGTTGCAAGCCAACATGAAAGCGTTACCCGAGCACCCGGAAGCCAAAGACTGGAAGGAGGTGGCCGAGTGCTCTGGAGCCTGGCTGGAGAATGCCGGAGAGCTGGAAGACAAACGCACACCCACTCAAGGAGTCAAACTTTTCGGACAAAAAGATGTGTTTGCCCGGTTGCAGAGAGAAGGCTCAAACAGGCTTCAAATCGCTGGAGGTACCAGGAGAAAGTCTGAGGACTGGGTGGGCTTGATTGTTCTGATGGCAGCGTCTGGTGACTGCAGCGTCCAGCTTTCCTCACCTCTGTGGCGTTCACACACTGAAGCACTTTCCCGTGTCATCTCGTGAAGAACTCGGGCTGTGGCCAGTCGGGCGTGTCTCCGGTTCTGGCGTGTCCAGTTCCCTGCTCAACATGGGCTGCGTGCCTCAGAGATGAACGAACTTCGAGAGCTTCAGGGACAGCAGGCGGCTCAGCAAGACTGCCAGGCTCCACTACTCTTCCCCATTTTGAACTAGGTCTCCCGGCTTCCTGCGGCGCTCTGTTGCGGGGTTGGCAAGGGCAAACCACGATAGACCAGAGTCGCACCCTCCTCAAAAGCCTGCGAACAGAAAGGACAGTAAGGCTCAGGAATGCCCTTCGCCACCTCCAAAGACTTCGAGCCTCCTCCAACAAAGCATCCAACAAGTCCGGGACTGAATGCGAGTAGGCTTCGAGCAGGCAGTCCCATTGATACCGCTGGACCTGTTGGGACTCAGCAGGCAAGTCGAAAGGGCGAAAGGCACCAATGTGCGGCACCGCCCGTAGAGTGAAGAAGTTCGACTTTCTTCTACCAGCACTAGGAAGTTCGACTTCCTCTACCAGCACCTTACTATGTGACTGATGTAAACCAAGTGAACAGCCCAGCCAACTTACAAGACTCTTACAAGTAGATAATAACCGTTTAATAACCCTTCAGCAGAGCAAAGGCCACAAGCAATCCAGCTCGGTGGCCGACTTGGTACTTGGACTTCTTGGCCAATCGGCGCCGCAATGGCGGCAAAAGATCCTGTTTTTTCAGGTATGCCTTTGGCTGACACATCCACTAAAGCCTCACGCACAAGAGGCGTTCGTCACAGTTACTTTGGGTGTTGAACTGAGCACTGACGGACTCACCCGTCCTGCGCACAGAGGTTTTTGAGAAACTCCTGTAGTCCATCTACGAAATCGTGCCAGCTGACCTTCGTCAGGCCGCCTCGGCAAGGCACTATGAGGCCGTGTGCCATATGGCGCCATGTCGGACACCATGACCCACCCGAAAAAAAGAGAGACATTGTTGAAGGATGGACTTAAATGGAGCAGCGAGCCACTGAAGTACACGTCCCAAAACGTCCTGCCACCTATCTCGGACAGGCTGGCCACTGCAGCCTCCTCTGCATCAGAATAAGGCTATGGGGTCGCACAGTTGAACCGTTTGGAGATTGAAACCTTCACCGAGCAAGCCAAGGGAAGCTAGCACAGGTGACTGCTGGCAGGCACGGCAGCACCGGGTCCTTCGCGTGTGACAGCCACTGCCTTAGCCAAGCAATGCTTTGCCGAGGGAACTCCGCAGGACGTGCATTCGACAAGTCGGGTGTTCATGGCTTTTTACAGATTTTTTCAGCCTGGTTGCTTCAGCGCTTCCCCATGCATTCGGAGCAGCGTTTCGGACCTATGCTGGCAGGCCAGCTCCTGCCACACCAACTTGGCCCAATGCCTGAAGCGTTTTGTGCGCAGGACGATCTGAGAGACGGTAATTGCGGTGGATGTTCTGCTTTTGGAGAATACTTCAAGACTTCAAGACTTCAAGAGCCTCGTGGACGCAAGGTTGGTGGCAAGACCATCGATGTCAACGACCAGTAATTCTTGCAGCTTCCTCACCTCGGCCAGTCGAGGTTCAAGTGCAGATTCACAGTGGAGGAGTAATCGCAGTGGTAGGAGTCGTAGCAGTAAACACTTTAGGAGGCAGCAAACAGCCAAATAGACAGAGAAGTGACAGTGGCAGAGGCCGAGGTGGTCCCAGGGAGAGCGCACATGTTAGTGCTAACCATACTGGTAATGGTAATGGAACAAAGGAACCGTAGTCGTAGTCGCAGTCGTAGTCGTAGCCATAACTGTAGCCGTAGTCGTAGCGTCGTAGTCGTAGTAGCGTCGTAGTCGTAGCGTCGCAGTCGTAGCGTCGCAGTCGTAGCGTCGTGTGCGCGTGTGCGTGTGTGAGTGACCCTAAACCCTTAAGCCTTGAACCCTAGCAACCCTGAACCCTAAAAACCCTAAACCAGCCTGTTGTCACCTGGACTTCTCTGACTCGGCTCTTTCCGTTTTTCGACTCGATACTCCGGCCAAGTTTTTTTCCGACGCGCGTTCCGGGCCCTCACTCGAGGGGGGGGGGAGGGGGCGGGGGGATAAGAATGCAGTAAGAAAATAGTAAGCATAATACGAGGAGTCGTAGAACAGCAGCTAGAGAAAGAAGAGTCATCATAGCAATAGAACTAGTCCTCCAACCCACCGACTGCGACGGTCACCTACTGGAGAGAAAGTTTCACACAGAGCTCAGGGCTGCCTCTTGGAAAACCCTGCAGACAGGTGGCTGTGTGTGTCAGAAGCGCCCGGTCACCCTTCACGTCCAGGAACACAAAGTACACGTACATCTCCCCAACCTCGTGGCACGCGGAGTATTGCGACACTTGACGAGTCGCTGCAAAGGGCGCAACTACAGTGCGACTACTATGCGAAAGTCACACAACTCGGGGCCTGTTCGCACCATTTGAAGAAGACCTTCGCAAGGAGCGACTGCGAAGATAGCAGAAGCCGCAAGCCGCACAAGTGCAAGACACAGCTTCTGACTCGTGAACCCCTGCCTCGAAATCCTCTCGCCAATGCTGCAGCAAAACCGGTAGTGGTGGAGTGTTTGTACTTGTGCCTTGAGAGCGAGATTTCCCGAACGGCCCGGGTGCTCAGTGTATTGGATTAAGTCGGACCTCCCTCACCGTTGGAGGCGAGCTTCTCCAAAGCCTGCAGGCACATGCTGATACGTGCTGTAGCTGGGACACTAAAAAAACTGAACCCAAACTAAGAAATTGAAACTAAACAGGCCACGGAAGCAGGACGTGCAGCTGGGACAAGATCCACGCTCGACGCGGCAAATGCGCAGGCTGACATGGCAGCAGGCTGACATGGCAGCAGGCTGATGTGGTAGCTGATACAGCAAAAGGCGAAAAGGTGGCAAAGCGAAAGAGAGTTTTCGGCTGCGGGTCTAAGGCGTCGCGACGGTTTGCTGGCGTTTGGGGCTGTGGTTGCTCGCACGACTACGAGCACACAAAAGATGAATCGCGAAGCCTCGACGCAGAGGGTCCGCATGATTAACAGATTGTGCCGAGGCAGGTTTTAGGGGAAGCTAACGAAACATCAAGGCCTGTAAAGTGGGTTATTACTCTCTTCGGATTGGGTTTGTGACGGCAGGATGCTACAGGATGCTACAGCCTTGCATTCGTTCTACAGACAGGCGGACAGAGAGAGAGAGAGAGAGAGGAGGGGGAAGCCTCTGCATTTGGCATCATGCTTTTTTGCCACCCGCCAAGCCAAAGAAAGCCTGCAGCAGTTGCAACGCGTTCCAGTGCTGGGGAGCGTTCCAGCTTTCTCACTAGCTGGCTCCATGGGAGGAGCTGCTTCCGAATTTAGCATGGGGTTACCGATGGCGTTGCGAAAGCAAAGTAGTGGACAAACTATCATAACTACTATGCCCAAACATCGGCGGAACAAGGGCAGCAGCTTGACAGAATTTAGCCTTCTGGCTTCGAACAAAAACCTGCATGGGCAGATCAGATTCATACCACTACGTCTGCCTGTGCTCATTGACGCATGGCAGCTTGCTTTCCCAGCATTAATGCTTTCCATGAGGTTATTCGATGAGAATGGCTCGATGAGAGGGCGAAGAATGCGTTCTTGGCTTCGCGCTTTGGGTTCATTCAGGTTGCATTGTTGTCCCATCCTGTTCTGAGACCGTCGCAACCTTGTGCCGTTAACTTGGGAGATCGTGAAAGGAGCGCGAGATAAGATCATGTCAAGTCTTACGAGCGCGGTGAAGAATCAAGAGTTCTGGCTTGCATCAGCTGTACATGGCGGGTCAGACTGACAGTCAAGAACATGTGGCTTTCGCACCTCCTCCACGAGTGACCGCAAATGTCGAAGAATGGCCTGCTTAGCACTTTCAGCCCATACCACGCATGCTGCCCAAGGTTTCCACGTGCTGCTGTCACTATGCCAAGTTTGCAACATCGCCTCATCAAAATAAGCTCCCAAGGCAAAGTCGAGCAAGCTGTTTGGCTCTGACGCGCCTTGGAACTGATGTACTTCCGCATACTTCCGCATACTTCCGCATACTTCCGCATACTTCCGCATACTTCCGCATACTTCCGCATACTTCCGCATACTTCCGCATACTTCCGGCACCCTGGTGCACTTCCTTGGTCCCTTGAGGCCGTCACGTCCCAAGATGTCCATCAAATCCCGGAGTGCTGCGCACGCTCCATTAGGAGGCTGCTGGTTGACCATGGCGCCGCTCAAATTGTTGACCTGGATGTCGCAATGCACAAGTTGTGCCTTGCCGGCTCAGGAACCCTGGGCAGTGAACATCTGAGCCCCAGGCAGTTCTCCTCAAATAGCTGCATGGTGGGGCTGAGTTCCCTGCGTGCACGCGCAACCTGACACCCACGCCGCACACCGCCGGACACGTTTCAACTCTCTGGCTAGGGTGACTGGTGCAACGCCACCCCCAGAACGCTTTAAGGAGATCATTTAAGCTGCACCCATTCTGAATGAATCGAGCGGCTTTTCAAGAAACGTCACGTAGCCTGCCATTCTGCGCCCATTGTACTTTGGAGACGGATCACACAGCTGAGCAACAGAAAACATGCAAAACAACGTGACCGATGCAACCTGCCTTGGAGTCCTGGAGCTTTGGTGCTGCCAGGCGGCACGGTGTTTCCAAACCTTCGGAGGGATGGGAAACACCAAAACCTTCGTTTCACAAACTTGAGGTATGGAAGCACCACACAAGAGTTCCAGCGTCTCTTCAAGAATCGCCCCTGCTTAAGCCGACATGATTTAGTGTCGCCAGTCTAGCACTTGGAGTGTTGGGTCGTCAAGGGAAGTTGCCTCAGCCGCTGGAAGAAGCCGCTGGCGGAACCATATGGCATTTGTTTACAACACACCTGTCAAGGGGAGCACCAATGACCATCATGACATCATTGCGGCTGCACGCGCGCATGGCACTTGCTTGAAGGGCAAAGCGTGCGCATCTCTGTATATATCTGAATGCCACGCATGCCCCCTCATCTACCTGCTGCGCAGCCAAGCGGGCCTTGTAATACTAATGTAGGCCTCCAGCCCACAGAAAAAGAAAACAAAAACTACAACAGCAGACTCCCGCTACTCGGGCTGCTGGTTCAAGCAAAAGCTGCGTCAGGGCAGGGCAGACCCAGAGACGACAACTCGAGAAAACTCGAACCGGCATTCTAAAGACCGGGCTTGGACGTGCCAAACAGCGTCAGTTCCCAACACAAGCTTCCAGCTTAAGGTCTGCTCCGTCAGGAGGTCTGCACTGCTCAGCACCTGGGATGTGCAAATGGCAATTAAACAGGCCTTCGGCCGCCTTGGGCCACCCTCCCCCCCTTCACCCCCACCCCCACCTCTCCCTTCTCCCCCCCTCCTGCCCCGCTGCTTTCTATCAGTGGGCGGGTTGTGGGGGCATCCTTTTGCCCTCTCACTACCCCATCTCTCCGTCTGTCTGCCCCTCCCTCTACCGCGCCCCAGCCTCCCACCCTCTTCCCGGCCCCATATTTTGCATGTTCTTTACTACGATTTTTTGTTTGTGGAATGCGTGCCCGGCTCCAACCCTGCCGCCTCCACTCGAATACTCTGGACTCCTTTGTTTCACACAGAGCTTGGCACGCAGTCGTCTACATGCAAGGTGCTCTGGAAGGATGCCAGCGACACGTCGCAGGCCATCTCAATCCGCCGAGGCTTTTTTTGGACCGTACCCCAGCCCCCAGCCCCCAGCCCACCCGCCATTCCAGTGCGCTTCCTTCTACATTGCACGAAGCCGCGCGAAGAACAGGGTTCACACGCCCTTGCCGAGGCGGGTTGGGGAGCACAAAGGGTACTTTTTTGGCTTTACCCCCACCCTAGCCAACAGGTGTGCGAACAACGCGGTCCCCAAAAGGGAATGGGTGCACGAAGCCTGTCAAAGCGCAGAAGCATAACAGCACCTTGCGTAGCATTAAAATTCGCCTCGGCTTCCTGCCGAGAAGCGTCTGGAACAAGCAGACCCGGAGGCCTCCTTCCCCCTTACCCATGGGACCCCCCGCAATCGCTTGGAGGAGCTGCAAACCGATGCCGTGGAGGTCCCGCCTGTCGGTGGCTCCTACAGGGGCAGTGCCTCAAAACCCCCCCATTCCTTCCCCCCACCCCCGCTCCCCCCCCCCACCCCCTTCCCCCCCCCCCCACCCCCCCCCCCCCCCCAACCCCGCTGCCCTTCCTCCCCTTTTTTTGCGAAACCCTCTTTCCTCCTTTCCTGTCCTGGGGCCGGCCCGACTGCCGAGGCGGCGCGCGCAAGCGTTTACAATTATTGATTACCTTTTCGTGCCATTGGCTCCTTGACACCACGCCACGCCACGCCACGCCACGCCACGCCACACCACGCTACACCACGCTACACCACACCGCACCGCACCGCACCGCACCGCACCGCACCGCACCGCACCGCACCGCACCGCACCGCACCGCACCGCACCGCACCGCACCGCACCGCACCGCACCACACCACACCACACCATTCGTTTGTTTCAACGAAATTGCACATACCATGCGCGAAGCAAACCTCGTGTTAAGTCCCAAAACCGAAACCCCCAACGCACAAAGCACGCTAAACCCCAAACGGGCCCTAAACCTTGGACATCCTAAGCCTTTTGCTTCCGGGCTGCTACACCTTTAAACGACCCGCAAACCCTTAACCCTGGCTTTCACAAAGTGGCGGACTTACACCTAGGTCTTGCCACACTTGGACCTCGCCAGAAGGATCAAGCATAGGCCTAACTGCACCGCACTAGGCTGAGGGCTGCGCCTGCAGCGAGCCCATTACGAGCTCAGCGTCGGGGAGGTTGGACATCCCCGACGTCAGCTGCAAAGCCTGCAGCAAAACACCAGCGGTAGCGGCACACCGTTTTGCCTTCTGCTAAGCCCATTTCTCCTTACATCCTGTGCTTTGGTTACTTCGAAAACATCGGAAGCACAGTACAGAATGGCTTTGATGCTCGGTCCGCGCACTGTTCAGAGCTGCCTCTTCCATCTGCCCAAGGTGTTTCACAATATTCGTGCCAATGTGCTCCCAGAGAAGCGGGCAATCTCGGTGGCGGCATTACATCCAATACCATCGCTGAGCGCCACAGCAGGATCCCTAGAACCCACTGGTGCGAGTTCGCCACCATGGCCGATGTCGCCAAAAGCCTGAGCCAGGATCAGCACCTGCCCAGAACAAGGCAGGCCTTTGCTACTTATCCCTTACTATTGTTTGGGTTTGGGGTGGGGTTTCGAGCGGCCTTAATCAGTCTCATGAACTTTCACTCGAATACACACATCACTTCTCTCTTTGTTTTCGCGTCAGATTTTGTTTCGAGAAAGCGAAGAGAAAGATACAGGACAAAGAAGAAGTGATGAAAGGGCCCATCGGCCCTAAACTGTTTTTCAGAGGGTCTTTGCCACCCGCTGAGGGTTTGCTCTACGTTTCGTGATGATAGCGGGCACAATAAGACTTGCTTTTTCTTGGAGATCTTTCTCACCCGGACAACTGGACGAACAAGACTGTGAAATAAAATAAAACATGGGCTAGCAGTAACCCCATGTGGTCGGTGGCCAGTTTTTCGATGTTATCAGATTTCGCCAGGCAGGGCTTGCATCTTTTCCATGATTGAGTTTCCCATGGAGTCTGCAGTTGGCATCTATGACACTCCCTACAGCCATTCCCAGGTGAATCAACTGCACTTAATGCACCCCAATGCAGCACAGGCCTCAGTCAACCCAGCACCACTCATGGCCTGTCGAACATGCTTGGCAATAGACCATTGAAAAGACACAGGGCAACCGCACGTAACCAGGCAATGATATGGCAACCGTCGTCGCACATGCACTTCAGAAGCGCGCCTCGATCGACGCGGAGGCCGTAGCATCCCACAGCGCAGGATCTGTGGCCATAGATTGTGCCGAGGACCACCTCGGCTGGCAACAGCACAGGTCGTGAGGCGATCATGACTTGTACAATCGTGCCCAGGCGACGCCGCGCTTACCAGGCCCTGGAATGAGAATCCTCGGCATCAAGTTTCTGCCAAGAGGACTGTCTGCACTTCGGCGCTCGGCTCTGAACCTGAGATCCTCCTCTGCACTGCGCCGCTGGGTTCCCCCAGGACCTAGCGATCTTGACGCTTGCAATCATTGTAATCGCCACAATCACAGAGGAAGCTGGGCTTCAGGGCGGGCTCGTGCGTCGGCTCAAGTCTTCCAAAAGTCCACAGCCTAGTGGGAAGTGAGAGAACCGCGCCCTGTAAACAGCTCGGTGAACGTCGAAATTCTCTTCGCAGCTTAGGTCATGACATGTTGGCTGAAGACTGCGGAGAGAGTTCTGCCTGGTTCGTCCACTCAACAAGAAACACCCGTGGACACCATCTGAGGGCCAGACGATTTGCATGCGCGATGCTTCATCTGCTGCATCAAGCGGCTGTGTGCCATGGTGGGCAAGGCGAGCAAGAGCCCAGGTCAGATTGGACCTTGCGACTCGCGCAAAAACATACCACCCTTCACGATGCGCTTGTTGCGACAGCACGAGAGAGAAGCCGGCGCAAAATGGCACACAAGAATCTGATTCTGATGCACGTTTTGAAAGCGAACTGTGAGCAGCGCGGAAAATCCATGTTACCACTGTTGAGGCAACTATAAATTAAGCCGCCACTCTATGCCACTCTCACTTCAGCATCTTCGCGTACACTTTCTTTTCCTTTTCTGTTCCCTTGCCCTCTTGGCGAGCCTTTGCAGGTCAAGATAGGTCAAGCTATGCACGTGCTAGCCATCCACCCGCCCTCGAATCATGCCAGCGTGCCTTCTGCAGAAGCTGCTTGGCCTCTGCGTTGCTGCTGTTGGCCTGACAGCGCATCTACAAAACAGACACATCCTGCGTGAAGTAGCGGAACTTCTTATTCCACCAGGGTCAACCTAGACCCAACCTCGAGGACTCTGCGCAGGTCCTTCTCCGCACGAGCCCCGTCGCCCAAAGCCAACAAAGCCTTTGCCCGCCGGAACAGCGCCTTCCAGAGCAGACGGTGATCCGGAAAGGCATGGAAAGATCATCCACTGCACAGGTCCTTCTCGTTGTCAGGGCTTGCTCGAAGGATTGCATTGCACACGGCCTCTGCACGCGCCGAAAGTGAACGAAGATGAACGAAGCAATGCCTACATGCATCTACCATTTTGTGCTCTTGCAGAGTGCCACCCTTCCTCCGCTTCTCGCCACTTCTCGAGCTTCAACAGGCAAGCGGCCTCATCAGTCCGCTACTCCAAACTCTAAAATCTTCGTTCTGTTCGTGGTTTTTGGAGTGCTCTCAGTGGCTCTCAGTTGTTGCAGCACTGCTCTTGGTCCCCGCGCCGCATTCAGTTCGCAGAGAGCTCGGACTTCCTGCGCCTGTGCCCAAAGGGCATTGTCCTGCAAGGCGAGACCCCCCAGGCCCACTGGCCCGATCACCTTCCTCCCTTCTCTTCTCTTCCCGCCATGCAGTAAATTCCCCTCGTGCACTAGCTGATTGGGTCCCTCTGAGGGGTCCGTGAAGCATAAAGCATAGGCATAAGCCTCATAAGCCTTTAAGGCGCGAGGCCTCCCGGCCCAGTGGTGCAACCACAACTATTCTGAGGCTAGGCCTACGAGAAGGATGCTGAAGCCTGCAGAGGGGCAGTTGAATACCTTGGCCATGTTGGCCATGGGCGCATGTCGGCAAGACGCCTAGATGTTCGCAGGGTGCGCGGACGGGCGGCTCGCCCCCCTTCTGTCTGGTTTGTTCTGACCCCGCTGACTAGAGCCTTATGGAGGCTTCCCCCAAGTCCAAGAAAGTGCTCACTCTTCTCTGACAGAATCGCAGTCGGATCTGGCGCGCGCGCG